TGTGACAGGGTTTCTACCTACGTCGATCATCTAAGGAACATTGGTAACTAATTCCCACATTGTAGAGCGATGTTGATCAATTCCGGCTAGAGCAAATCGCGCTTAAGGTCAAAACATCAGCTAAGAAAATTTAGCTCCTAACGAATTAAATTAGGAATGCCGTAGCATCAAATCAAAGCCCCCCGGCATTCCTTCAAGTTGCATACCCGCCTGTGCAGACCTTTTCGACCTCCCAGGATTCGGCTTTCAGGCTGATTGGATGCAGCCTTGCCCTCCAACAACAACCTTTTCCGTGCGCCTATAGCAAAGCTACTTTTAGGCTCGACCGCCCCATGGCATCTTCAGGTACAATTCATATAATGTATGACTACACAGCCTTCGGGGGAGGTGGGCATGCTACCGTGGAGAATCACGCCCCTCTTTCTGAGGGGCTCACCCGCCCTCGGATGGCTAAATGCCACAGCACCCAAATTGCATGATCCAAATTCACCCAAGTATCTCAATCAAATGGCGAAATAGTTGCTCGAAATCTTAATTCCACAAAGGCAGACCACAACTTATTAAATAGTGCAGCGCAAACGAACCCCTTCAAAGTGTGCTTGCTGCGTACCTTCTGTAAAACTAGACCCGAACGTTGTTAATGTTGCTATTGCCATTGTTGACATCATTATCGTCGATATTTCAGTAGAACGCCACCATCATCCAATTATTACTTTTTACAGCCTACTCATCAGGAGGTGAGAAAACACGTTCGATACATTGGGTACAATATAAATACAATTTTGGGAAGAAGAGAAAGAAGGGATCATGGGCACGCTGGCTCCCCTTAGGTTGGAGGGACAAATGTTGATTAGGTGTCACGTGACTCAGATGACCGCAGTGCCAGTGCACGCGGCACGGGAGGAGGCAGGCTTGTGCCTAGCCTTATGCATAGTCCGTGAGTTCACGTGTTAATGCGTGTCATTTTCCGGAGGCTAATGGTTAAAAGGGAATGGGACTGAGAGCAAGCGAAACAAACGGGTTTAGGCGACATGATTGCTGCGAGGTGAGGGGAGAAAGGAGAGTGGCATCCTCAAATGTGTTAGAGGAAGAGGATCAGCGTTTTGCCAGGTGTTGCGGTGGCTGTTGCAATTGATTCTGGTAGTAGAAGAAATGTCGCGTCGGCTTTAAGTCATTCAATGGCATTGCTTGCAAAACCTCGTCCAGTAGTTGCAGTGGTCTAAAAATGGAACAGTAAAGGTAGATATGAGCGCTCCTTCCTTCAACAAGTGCCACTATAATGATTTAATGGAAGTGAAGACTATGCTCTACAGAGCGCTTTTAGATGCTACTATGACGTCAAACTCCGGTTCTGAGGCGGTCAGATTTACGCATCTTCTTCGTCAACACGTCGATCTCTAACATGGATGTTATTGTTTTTGAATGAATCCAAAATCGAACGGAAAACCATGAACTGGGAAGGGTGTTTTTGTTAGGGGCAAGATAAAACAGCGCGGTAAACCGTCAACTGTTACCATTATCATTACCCCCGTGCCTTGACTAGGCAGCACCTCTGCTAACAAGGAAAGCTAGTAGCCTGTGATTTATCTACTGCCAGATTAGGGCAGACGGCGCTACCTTATCTGCATCCATCCCTCCAGATAACATGAAATGTCGCAAAAAGGGAAGAAAAATTGGGTGTCATTGGGACTTGCAAGAAAGTGACCGACAGAAAATTAAACCAGACCAAACAAAGGGGTAGCTCAATTTTTGAAAGAATTTAACGGATAGCAAAATGCGAGGTTAATTGGAATGCATTCAACCATGCAAGCCTTTCAAATTTGGTAATGGCGAAAGAAGCATAGCACCTTAAATTACTAGCCGAGGGTTTTATTTTTAACCAAAGGTCAAAATGACTTCCACGCTTCAAGCAATTTAGCCAACGATAGGATTGCCTCAAAGTGGCATCCCATATATGCCGATTTTTACTTAGAAATGAAGTTACAAAATATCAGTCTTGCAGAAAATCATCCCGCACAATAAAGTAAACTGTAGCTATTTCCTTCATTTCAAGAATAACCTGCGCCTAGTTTATTGCTTCAAACTTTAGTTAATCTGGTTTTAACACGGTTTGGCTCAACCAGTTGCCATAAATTGCCAAAACAAACACATCACATAGACGTGACGCTGGTGAGGAGCGTGCAAATGTTAACATTAGACGAGAAAATTTGATTGACCAGTAAGCACGTGACCTGCCCAATTAACTGCACAAGCTGTGGGAGTTTTAGGTAAATGGGCAGTGCAGACCAGTGAATTAACAATGATAAAAAACGAGATAGTCCAATGTTAATGAATTTTTCAAGGACTAAATTACCCCAAGAAATCGCATGACATCAAGGAAAGACCCACCCAGGCTAAGTTTTCCAATGACAAAAGGGAGGATTTAAGGAGGTGGGAAGGTGAGTCAAAATGCATAGTGCAAAATAGAAGTCCATCTAACACATATTTTGAGGCTTATGGAATCCGAAAAATTGAGCATTTGTAATACCTGTGAAGTTGGATTTCAATCCAACAGGGAGTCTCCTTAATGTCGTGGCGGGGATAGTCCGGACCCCAGCCCTTGACGAAACTGAGACGAAGGTTACAGAGTCGACGGAAGTCGTCCACGCCTACCCCGGCGGCTTCGCATGTGCCCATTGGCGCAGTGGCGGCAGCGGCAGCGGCAGAGGCAGCAGCCGCTGCATCGGCCACCGCGCCCATCTGCATGGAACCCGCCACCGCAGCGGCCTGACGCATCGCCGCCGCCTGTGTCATGTGGGCCAGATGACGCATCTGTTCGTGGCACTGACGTATGTCGAACACCTGCAATAGCAATGCGAGGGTTATACGCTTGCACGATCACGAATACACACGCGCATGCACACATCCTTGGCTGTTTGAAAGAAACTAAAAATGGGAAGATTCGTACAAACCATTACAAGAATCCCAGCATTTGTAGCACCATTTCGATTCCAAATGGGCAATGCAAATTGCAAACGAGACGCGCCTGACAAGCGCTTGGAACGAAGTGGTAAGCTGGTGCCTCTTAATGCTAGCACAGAGAACTAGGGATTGGAACAATTCATATTCATTCAGCCACATTTGACTGCAAGACTGGAAATAAGGCTAGAATTCACGCGAAATCCAACAGATTGTTTTGGGATCACAAAATACCTGTTCACTGTTCACATGTCCCTTGGTTGCACCCAATACTAACCTGGAAAGTGGATGAAAATGAACATCTCCAAAACGCAATGACGGGGACGCAGACTAGTAAGGACCACGGAAATGAGCAAGTGGTAGCTTGGTTTAAAAGTATTTTAAGTTGGGTAGCGGATTGTTAATAACGATCGATTCGAAATCTTCACATAGAGCCACTGGTGAAAGGACGAGGACAACCTTAGGGAAAACAAGCGGTTCTATGCGCGAAAACGGTTTTGGGTTTCAGTAACCTAATTCTCAAAATCAATATTCAACCATAAATGACGCTAGTGTTTAAATGCAACGACACAAGTGAAGACAGTCCGATGGTTGATGCACTCCACCTCCGTCCACTCACATGTGGACTTGACTATAGCATTGGAATGTGCTGAGACAATGACGCACTAGCTCGTCTGGCTAAAATTCATGCTTCAGGTGTGTTCGTGCGAAATTAAACGCATCGTAGACATGTTTAAACATTCAAATTCAAACGCTTCTACTCACACTTAACGCGTTTACTACCAGCGCCACGCATACGTGCCATGTATTTTTACGCTTGGTTACTCCAAATTGTGCCACAAACGGATTGGTTGAGGCAATGAAAAAGACATATGACAGTCTTGGTCTGAGGAGAACTTAATTCTTTTTAGTTTTGAGCATCACAATTTGTATCAGTAACAGACCTGAGCTTTGGCGGCCAAATTCTATCCAGGAGTCTAGGAGACAAATATATTGTGAGCAACTTATGTAGCAGTTACGTGCGCAAAATCCCACTCTGTCTCTGAACATAAAATGCGAATGTCTATTCAGAAATAGGTATTTTTGTTGAAGCTCCAAGAAGGAAAACCATGGCGCTGTTACAAGTAAATAACTTGATGTTTGGTTACAGAAAATCCATTAATTTCGCTGGTCAAGGAGTCCCGCTTCCTCATTGCTCCAGAAACAACCAGCATACCTACTATAATTATATCTTCAAAGGGAAAAAAGAGGTCCTACATGCAGAAAGCCCATCGTGTGTGCAAAAATAAGTTAGATCTGACAAATGACATCCAGTTGGCAATGTCGCCAGTCAGTAGACCGATTAAAGGAAATGGGCTGTGATCCCGGACTCCCTTTCCCATGGGTGAGGAAATACAGCAAAAAGCACAACGTCGCTCGCTTCAAAACAACAGCAGCAGTCCTGCCAATTGCGAGGAGGCCAGCTGCAACACCGGTTAAGGCGGGATGCGAACAACTGGGCAGGTCTGGACGCGTGCCGGACATTAGTCCACGATGCCTTGAACCCGGGGCATGTAAACGCACGAGAAAGCAGCAAGAGGGGGAGTGACGTACGTACGCACGACCTAAAAGTACAAGAGCTCGCGGGCGCACGCACACGTGGGCGATCGACACTCGGCGAAGCGTCGGTGGTAGTCGCCATGTTTACGCCTAATCCTCGCGGCACGACTCCACATTTTTTGTTCAAGTACTCTGCAGCGATCGGCTGGATGATTTATGCAAAGCCTGTTTGCGGAAATGGTCCTGCATGTACGTGTATACACATACACGCGTACCGATCTCTGAGCAGCAACGCCTTTGATCCACTGAACAAACATCCTTCCCCCCACTCCACTTTTATCCACGTCTGTCCCTGATTCGGTTCGGCACATCTTTTCCCTAAGAGGTACGGCCATCGTCAATGGTAATGAAAGTAAAAAAAATCTAACAGAACATAACGTAAATAGTAACTATGCGTTCACTTTTCAAGCATGCAATTACCATATACCCTTGAGATTCGGCCACCATATTACTGGTATATCAGCCTTTTTGAGTTAATAATACACTTACTCCCAGACTGACATAAGTTACGCCGCCTGGAATAACTTGAGCGCTACAACACGATGAGAGCAGACCTCATGAGAGATACTCAGCCATCCTGTGGAAAGATGAACAAATTACAGTCGGACACCTCCACCCTCTGGGTTGCAACACACAAAGGAATGAAGTCCAGGGCGCTTCGTGAAAGGGTAGCGAAAAAAAGGCATCTGAGTCCATTTGCTTGAATGCATGGTGAACCGCGATGGAATAGCTCACCTTAATGTAAGCACCGGGATAAATTTTGTGCACAGCATCACCCGGTGCCCTGCCTGCCTCGCGGTCAAGGTAGTAGCTTTGTACAAAGATGGAGAACTCGGAGAGACAGCGGATCCAGACGTCACCTTCGCCCACTATGTCTAGCTCCACGCCCTTCCCAATGTAGAGACGCGACTTCTCCGACTGCTCCGACCTAAAGAAATGGACACAAGTAGGAAGCCCAGCGGTTAGTGGAGCAAAAGCTGGCAGTGAAGGCGAACTGTTTGGACAAACTGTTCATCATTGCAATTATTCACTTTAGAGACTAAGGAAAGTGAGCTTCAACCCGGCTGGGAGCTATTTTAATGCACATACGTTTCAGAATAAGCCGACTTCTGACAGCCCACTTTCCGTGACATTACCTTGCGTAATGTGCAACCCGAAATGAAGCCCGTACCAGGAAGATTAATCGAAAATCAGTAAGAGCGCTAAATAAGTGCCTTATTTTGATTTAAAGCACACCCAGAGAAGGCAATCAAAAGACATGGCTACGTTTAAATGAACAGAGCAAAAACAATTAAGTGGTTGTGTTTTGGAACAAGAAACAAACTCAGTCGAGTGATAAAATATCCAGGGTTGTATCAAAGACGTTTATGTGCATGTGTAGGCGGAGTTAGACGAGAGCCTGAAGAAACACTATACTCGCGCTTTCTTGGTCCATTCTGATAGCAACCCGCAATGACATTTGATTTATGACTAAAAGGCGGCGCCGCCGCAAAGGAAAGAATGCACAGCTCCGGCGTAATAATGGTAGTGGTGGTTATGGTAGCAGCGCAGTCAAAATGAAGGATAGCAAGCACAAATGCTCAATCCAGTATTAAAAGCTTGCATGCGGACCCAAATGACGCTTTGTAAAAAGCGAAAAAATTGAATAAATGTTTTCGATTGCATCCACTATGCAATTAAAAAAGTGCTTTACTTCAACATTCAACCGTAAAGATGCTATTTAGAAATGTGTACTCGTGGAGAAGACCTTTACTACAGCGTGACTCTATGTCACCCTAAGCAATGAAGTTGGGTAGCCTAACGTACCTAACAAGAGCGGCGTGTGTGGAGACAAATCGACAACAGAAAAGAACACATGATGCTACTAACAAATGAAAAGGCACCAAAAGCAGAAGAAGAATAATTATAAACTGTGCATCTACACATGACTACCTAGCAATGCCACCACATGTTGCTGTTTTTGCAACTAGGAGTAACTCCTTACATTCATGCCTTCACTATGAAGGGAAGGCACAGAGTCTCCCACATATTTCTGCATAATGTGAGACAAAAGAATTTGGGTTATTATCTACCTTCAGAATTTAGCGTTTATTATGCTTAGAATTCAGGAAATCCAACCTAATTTCTGCGCCAAATACAAGTGAATGCCTAGCGAGAAAAATAAATTTTAAGAGTCTGTAGAGGAAAATAACAAAACTGTAGTCCTTCCTCTAAGTCGAGAGCACGAACATTAACTTGATTGCAACAATAGTTCCGTGTGAAAAAAAAGGCAAGCCTCTCCTTTTTGCTTAATCGGCTTGCCTCGACGGATTCAAACTAACAGCGTCACGCGTAGTCCATAGGTGGGCACAAGTCGATCACGATGGGTAATTAATCTCATTACAGAAGAAGGCATTAAAAACCAACATTCGCTAGGGGCATGCAAGTGTCGGCACAATGGGCGTGTGAATAGAGCACGAGTCTTGGCCTACCACGCAGGCCCAGCGAGTGGCGGCAGGGCAGACGAGACCAGTCGGGTAGGACATCTGAGCAGAGCGCATTGAAATCTGTGTTTACACACGCACACACCCACGTACACCCAAAACCAATCACACCCGTGCGTATGCACCTAGAGAAGTGCCCACCCTTTAATACATAGACAAAAGGATTTGGTCCATTGGGTCGCGATTTTCGGCTGCGCAGTAAAGTACACTTCTGATGCTACTGCTACAAATAATCATGGCCGATCGTTAAGGTCGTTTCCGCTAGGAAAAAAAGCCTGCAAATCATAGGTGGTGGTCTGCCATTCAGTTAAGCGGCCCATTCGTTCAGTAACTTATTAGCAAAAACTCAAAATCGATGTGTAAAAATGAAGTTTTGAATTTCAAAATAAAGATTAAGATGGTTCTGTGAGAGGTTAATAAGTCACACCATCAAACAGAACACTCATTTACTCTAAAAAACTCGTTCTTAAGTACCCTAACGCACAAATATGATTCCCACTAAATTAAGATGAGAATTCATTTGTGTAATCAAGGAGTCGGAAAGCGGGTCAATAATGTGAAATCGCATCAAGGTGTAATCCTTTTCAGATGAAAGAGAAACTGAGGAAAAGGCAAAACAGAACAGCACATAACTGATGGTTCATTCACAAAAAAGGAATGAGCAGCCACGCGCTGACATGGAAGCCTGGTCAAAAGGCCTTCCCAGACTCCATAACGCGGACATGAAGCCAGTGTGCATCAATTAACCGTCCAACCCACCCTCGAGAGATTTTGACAATTGAACATAACCTCCCATCCCCACCAATCCCCTTACATTAGCAGGGGACAAAGTAGTAGGGAACTCAATCCGAGAAAAAGCGAAAGGAGGATTGAGGATAGAAGGAGACCCACCTGTGCACGTTGGATAGCTGGCCCAGACAGAAGCGATTTCGGCTGGAGGGGTCGGTATAGCCGTCCACAATTACTCGTGTGTAGTGACTGGGCACCTTGAACAACTCGCCCACCTGCTGATCCAACTCGAAGTAGGCTATGTTGCACCAGTACTCCGGCGGCCTCTGTGTTGTCAATTGCGAGGGCTGCGGTGGGCAAAAAAGTTGACGGATAACCGAGTTTCATTATCATGAGCACTGATCCGCCGATCACAATATTGAGCCAGTCCCAATTGAACAAAACATGGGAAAGCGAGACAAGAAAGTGGGAGCAGTAAGTATTTCGATCGACAAGGACAATAAACAAGCCTCACCGTTTTGAGCGCTCCCCAGTAAAAAAAGCTACTGACGCCTCCACAGCAATGTGCGAGAATGACGGCAATCAAATCTATGCTTGAATTTGCCACGCGACCGGATTAGTGGGCTCTGTTCACTGGTGAAATCCATGACGGCTATCAATCTAGTCACAAGTCCGTGCACGAAGAAAAGTTGATTAAAAGTTTTGATGCACAGGATCAAAAGCACAAGAACACAGTTAAACACGCAGCGGTCGTCATTTGATTAACGTCAGATTTCCTTCGCTGACATTTACGCAAAACATTCATGAAAGATCCGTTGGCGACACAACCCAGAATGTTCCAATTCAAATAAATCGAGAAACTAGAATGCCGTAACTTTCCGATGTTCCTTAAGTGTCAAAATAGGAAAATTAGACGATATGCGAATCCATCACGATTTAAATACCCTTTTTAAATATTTACTCAGTCTTTTTACGAATTTCTCACATCTCTCACCTATTTTGAAAATGATAAAGTAAGAGGAAAAATGCTCGTATCAAAGCAGATTTTGTAAAGCATAAGGCATTGGGAATATGCATGATTGCTGGGCCAAATATGAACTAAAAAACGCGAGAACGGAAGAAAAACACGTTGAGACCTATTTGGAGGCGTTCCATAAAGGGACTTTGATGTAATCACTTCCGCCTGCAAAACACCAAGATACCCGCGTATTCCTGGCTAAACCTAGGCGAGGCGACCAACTGGAAACAAACAACTAGTTCAAGCGGAGCCCTACACACCACCGCGGCCAATTGGCATTTAGATTTATTATTTGGCTTTCAAAAAACATTCCGACGCGGTTGAAATCTGTGGCAATTTGTAAAAAAACAGGGATGAATGAGAGTGTTCACCCGTGAGATGGGAAAAAGAGGCGCCGTTTTGTTGCGCTGAGCGTCCATAACGTCTGATGATGGACAGCAAATTATTTGCGTAAATAATATGTATAGGGCGTGTACAGCCTCAAACACAGGACTTCTAGCGCTGAGAACCGAATTTCCTGAATCCCAAAGTGAATAAACGGTGTGAGTGTAACCGATGAGGATTAGATGCAGAGGAAGTGAAAACCAACAAACTAAACCCAAATAGCGTAACGGCCATGGAGTTTCAGACCCTCTGCGAAACTATACCGCGATAGAGCTATCAGAGGCAGACGTTTGAAAATAGTCAGAATTTATAGGCTCCACATGGCCAAATTGGAGGAAAGAGGGTATATTAGAATAAGTCTCCCCTCTAAAGGGAATAGGCAATAGTGACCGAACCTACCGGTGAAGATAATGGCATAATTCTTAGTGAAAGTGATTTGGCCTCACCCGACCATTCCAACAGCCATGTTAATACATGGGTGAATGAAACATTTAACAAAATAGATGAATCTGTATGTATTGTAAGAAGCGGAAGCTTTGTAGCAAAACAGTGGTACAGACCTCAAACGTTTTGCTACATTGATGATGAATCACCATTGAAGATGACATCTTTGAGGAAATCTGATCTAGGGAGGAACTCAGAATTCAGCATATGCTTTGCAAGAAAGTTTGCCCGAACTCAAGCCCATTACTAACAGAAGGCCTAGTTCAATACTATGAGCAAATCAGTAACTGAAACAGGCATCACACCGTTGGTCAGTAACGCAATGTCAGGACGAATGCATTGATGAGAATGCGCAAACATGAATTTCTCGTGGCAGTTAGGGAGCGAGGTTGGAAGAGCCGCGAGTCATGCTGGAAGACACGTCAAGGAAAAGATTGAGGGTAGCTGGTCTAAATAACAAAAGTACGTCATATGACGAACGAAAATATCATGATAGAGACGCTGGCGTTGATTACTAACCTGCGTTGTCTGAAGTGAACCCTGATATTAAACAACCAGGACGGATTCAAGGTGTGTGATCCAACTCTAGTACCGACCAAGGCTGTTACATTATAGCGTAATTTTAAGATCGCCAGCTGAGATCTACGCTCGTAATGTTACACTATGGACTTTGAAGCTGCTTTCCGGGGTTTTTATTTAAATAAAGCTAGCAGAATCAATAGCCTGTTTTCACAGGAGCGTCGATCACAGAGCGAAATTGTAGTGCAATCACTCCTACTGCAGTGAGCCATCACTACGCTTACTAACCCGTGCGGTGTTGTGCAGTGTAAATACCGACTTACTGCGTTGCCCGCCTTTGGCAACGGCACATTGGAACAGAGAATGTAGAGGCGAATATTCGTCGAGTCGACAATTTGCAACACCAAGGCCCTCCCCAACCTCCCTCTTAGGCAAACCAGCAGCGCACAACATGTGATGTTTTTGATTAATCACGTGAGATTTCGTGTCCAGTGTTCAGATCGCTTCTGTGCCAATGGTGGTGGCTACGTCAGACCGGGCTTAAGCCACTCTCTCCTGACAAGTAGACCCATCAGAGCTGGCTCACATGCCAAGCTCTCACGTTAAGGCAGAAGTGGAAAAAATGGGTAATGAAGACCGGTCTTTAAGCTACTTCGCCTTCATTCAGATACTCCGGTCTTGCTCATTACACATACTGAAAGCGCTGAAGACAAACGTCTGGACTAGCTAACAAAGAGGGAAGGTAAAGGTATGGTGAGCAATTTATCACATTTGCGTCTGGACTTCGAGCAATCGAGTGGCACGAAAGTGAGAGCTATGGATCACAGAGGTCTGTTCCATGGAAGGTAATTTATCGTCCCAACGCTTACATTCCATGTTCGAGTTAAATTTTATTACGTGGGTATGCAAGACAGTAGGTTTCTTCAAACATAAGCCAGTATCAATGAAAGTGAAGAAAGGATTCCAGGAAATCATGCGTTCCTACAAATTAGCATCCAGCATAAAATCTTGCTGTATTAAACTAAAACAGGCTAATCATAGCAAAAGAGGGCAACCAAATCACCACTGAGGCAGACAAAGGTGTTGAAAATCTGAGAATCGTAAGAAGCAGTATGTCCATACACAAATTTAACACATGAGCCGGAAAAGACGAAGAAATTGGAGCATGTTATGTGAAATCAAGGTCACGCAGACTTCAAGAGCTGAAGAATGAATGCAAGTGAGCTGTTCCCTCCACTTCTGGAAACTTACCAACATCGCTAATTAAAGCAGCGGCAGATATCGGTATTAGGGTCAGAGGGAGGCGTGCACACCACTGGAAGCCGTCAGATAAGAACAGGGTGGGCAGATAGATAAACTGGCAATGAATGCGCCGGCAACTCCTACCCCGTCTCAAAACATGAACACAGGTTGAAAACCAGTTGCAAGACATTATTGGCATCGTGCCGGTACATATGCTTGAAGGATATAAAGGCGAACCTAAATGGAGCGTGAAATTAAAAGCCGGCCCGAATTCGAGTGCCGAGGAAACCACAGGGGGGAGGGATCGCTGGTCAACGGAAGGAACATTAACAAATGCAAGTTGGATGGTTGGGGTAAGTATATACAAACACTAAAATTCACCCCGAAACATTTCGATCGGATCGGTTTTCAACGCGAATGAGATGGTGACTTCCATGAGTAGTGGGGCACGCAGTCTAGTAATTAAGCGGCTCGAGAACCGCACACCTATTCACCTTAGGGCGATCGTGAATGGGGTTTGTCAAGAGGAATTTAACGATGACAAGACACTAAACAAATCAAGAGGACGAACAAAATGAATGGTTTATATTGATTCAGGCTGACAAATAAACAAAGTCGACACTTTGTTGGAGTGAATTCGCTATGAAAAAAATCCACACAGCCCCTGCTTAGTGTTTCGATCTGATGCAGCCAATAGGCATAAGCCCTAAAGATGGAGACAAGGCATGTGAAAATCAGACTTGAAGTACAAACCACCGTTACTCAGAAAATAATGAGTAACGCACTCCGAGGAATAATTGGTTACATGGATTTTTCAGGTTATAAATGCGTACGTGGAAACTTAATACAAGAAACGAAATGGGAACTTACAATTATTTGCTGAGGAACAAAAGGATTAGGAAGCTTGTTTATGCCTTCTCTGAATTTTAAGAGCAAGTGCTAAGGTATCGGAAGAGTAATAAAAATAATTTAAGGGATGAACTATGAAAATCACGCTCATCTTACGCCGCTGCCCTCCCTTTCCTCAATTAGAGCATTATACATCAAAAGTCACTGAGCAAACGATGGTTGGCCAGACTCAGAGTTACGTCACATGACTCCAAATTGCTGATAGGATTGTGAAAAAAATTGACGCGAATATAAAACGACTGAATCAGTACCAGAGCCTGAAAATAACACTACACCCACCTGCAGACTCCCGCTAGGAGGCGGGTTTGGTGGGAGCATGGGAGGAGGCTGTCCACCCGGTGCACCACCACCACCACCCCATCCACCACCAAGAGGGGCAGTGGAAGATGAGGAGACAGGCTGTTGTTGCTGCGATGCGCGTCCATAGCTGCTGCTGCTGCTACCAGCAGTAAACGCTGACTGTCCATTGTTGGTGCCGCCGCTGCCACCGGAGCACTGGCTGGGATACAGGACAGGTGCCGGAGCACCCCCCGACGCGGCTATTGGATCAAGGAGGGCCGCGGTCTCCGCTGCATCGAGCGCTACGGCGGAGGCCTCGTCAGTACTGGAAGTAGGGTGCAAAGCTGGAAGCGCTTGCACCGGTGGCGGTCGAGGGGGAGGCGGAGCAGAATGTGTGCCCACACCGCTGCCACCGGCAGCCACAGCGGCCGCGAAGGTGGCGTTAGCGTTGCTGACCCATTGCATGAGGTTTAGCAGATTCGCTGTTGCCGCGTCGACGTTTTCCAGAGACAGGGGATTGGGTGTTGTTGTGGCGGAGGCGACGGTGGAAGTTGGCTGCTGCTGATGTGCGGGCTCGTAGGCGATTGTACTGTTCTTTGTCTGCTCTGGCTTAATACCCCCAGACAAGGTGGGGACGCCTAAAATGAAGGCAAGAAACTGCTGTACAATCTTTACTTCCAACAGAATAACATTTCGAGGTTGAAGCGATTTTCCGGAGGTGTAATTGATCAAGTAAGTGGGGACAAGTGTATTAAAAATTACAAACACAGAATCACGACCTTGCGATGACCCCAAGGCTGCACTACGAAGGCTATCGGACATTTTGAGGTTATTTTGCAGCAGGTAAAAATTATCAGATAAATTAATCCAGCCTTAGATATGCGTGATGGGTTTCTGGGGAGATCGTGAATTTTGCGACAAAATCAGGCCTGTAAAAACTATTTCTTGGCGAGCAAACGCCTTCAAGTTTAGATTGAGTAGAGAAAACCATCTCCATCAATGGTTCGAGTGGCGATGAAAAAGGATGGCTATGAATAGCGATACAAAGAGTCGGACTTAGATTATACGGTAAGCTAAGAATGGGACGTATACGCGGTTTTAATCTTTGTCAGCGCACGAAAACAGCCAGGAAGCAAGATGGATAGCGGTGAAAGTGAAATGGGTTTGAAGGGGAGCAGCGAATATTGATCAAGCGCGATGTGCATCATCAGCGTGTGTTTTGGAGCGCACGTATGCGAGCACAGGCATGCATGAATGCGTGCATCTAATCGAATTCTGTCACTTGAATGCGCACCGCCACCACCATATCACGCCTTCGGTCTTTCCGAGCAGCGCGCACTGCCTACCCCTGCTGGCTCACGCACACGGGCATAAAAATGTGCGTGCATGCATGCGCTTTCACTGAAAAAGAAGTCTGGCATTTCATGTTCCTCCGCTCTAGCGGGCTCTCATTAATTAATCAGCCGACCAGCGGTCGACAGCCTCTTGATAAAGTGCACTCAGGTCCTGAGCACCCCTTCAAAACGGCCGTGCAACAAAAACCGAAGTTGCATCACAGCAGCAACCGTTATGCCCTCTCCCCAGGTCACGGGTGGTTGAGTGCCACTGCTCTACTCAGCTAGTTCAGGATTTTGACTTCACAATTTAATGACGGTAAAAAAAAGCATCCACGAGTATCATGACTCTAATTGTTGTATTGTTACGTGAGCTACTGCCCGTTTGTTTTTGACATACAGAGGTGTTAGAGTGAGAATTAAAAGAGAATTATAGCACTGTGGCAATGAATAATCTGTCATCTACTTCGAAGTCGTTATTTTTAGTAGCTATAGTGACGTAGGCAAATTTCTAGGTGCATTAACCGGGGTGTTGTCAAGGCAATTTGGTTCCAGATTAAACAACAGACAAAAACTTCATAAATTTTTCTCAAAAGCACTGATACAGCATCGTAAATAGTCCTGCTCTACATCAATTGTAGCCCCGCTGAGGATACATCGTATGGGTGACATTCGCACATCGTTAAACTGATGTACTCTTAAATTCCCTATTTAGGTATTAAAAAGGCTTTCAAAACGTCACCAAGTTGACACACCCCGTTCGCAACACCATCGTAACGGGGGAGTAAGTTTCTATTCGTGATGTTTTGTCACAGAAAAATGGACAGATAGCAAAGTGGTAGTTAGAATCAAATATCACATATTAACATCACTTTGAGAGATTCTAAATTGATTGAAGAAGAGCAAGAGAACCGATTGGGAAGTGATAAACGAGGGCTACCACAATCGACATTTCAACTAGACTAGGGCAAAAGACAAGAAGACTCCACCCGCAAGCATCGACTGGGCATCAGAGTGAAAACAATCTACATGCTTACATATTTAGTCAAATGACCGACAAACAGTACATGCATAAACGAACGCAAAACCTCGTGATTAGAACATGATTCTTTTACATTTGTATTCCACTGAAAGTAGGGTTATACGGATTTAAAAAGCCGCAGGCTAATGGAAAAAAGGCCTAGACCGTTCCAAAGGACCAGCGCAAATCAAGACAGAAGTCATTTCCAAATATCCTCAAAACAAGAAACATTTCCCAAAACCGCAATACCATGTGAGTCATAATTGCCGCCTATCTTCACTATTTGGAAAGTAACAAATACATCTTTCACGTTCAGTAGAACAGTCGTAGATTTAAAATATATGAAAGTAGAAAAGACCCGTTCTGGTGCTCAGTTTGAACCTCTGGAACACGGATTTTGATTAACAGTTGTGGTACAATTATTAAATATCTTCAGATAGATGATAAGCTCATGATCTAAAGGGATAGCAGAGTCAACAACAGAATGTAGAATCAACATGTCGAAGGTAGCAAATTCATCTAAGTAAAAGGATACCTCAATTAAACAATAGGTGAATGAAAGACCAGAGCACTAACACTATGGCAACGGGGATTAGCGATTCTATACAAAGTTCTAAATTTCTCCAATCACCCGGATAACGCGAACCACAAAAAACGGATAAAGTAAAACTCACCTCTGACATGGAAGAATTGGGGCTTAGAAATGAGGTTTTGTAAATGCATGATGAACGGGGATTCTATAGCAAGCGTAAACAACCGCCAGCGCACCAATGTTTTTTTTTGTTTTAATACCACAAAACATTTAATAACGCGCAAATACCACATCAGGTGCTTAAACAAATGTAATTAGTCACAAACCTTGAAAATATGGCCAAAACTCACATAGAGGACTTTCGTCGAGAAGAGACTGAACGCTGAGTCGCAGCGTTGAGGCGGGATGGCTGGTGTCAGGGTGTTGCAGTTCGCTGCTATGACGCCTCTGCTTATTCAAGACTTCTTCTTCCTCAACTCCTGAAGCCAGGTTATGTACGCGCGTACAAGCAACCTTACCCTTGCGTCTCTCAACAGGGGGACTGAGAGCCAGCGACGAGATGTCGAGAGCGGAGGAGACGGTGCGCTCGTAGTGATAGGGGTTGACGCACACCCAGTCAAGCTTCTTGTCAAACCCGAAGTGGCAAAAAGGCAGGTGACGCAGCTCCGTTTTGTGGGCATCCGACCACCGCCAGAGTCGAGCGTAAATGAGATGAGGAAAGCACTTCCGACCAGCAATCTAAAAAGCGCATCAGAGGTGGAAAAAGATTAGTCTACCTGCATTCGACTGTCGAGGGTTCGCTGGATGGTCACGCAGCTGGTCTGTGTGGCTCCATTGCTAGTCACCGCGGCGATGAGCGCATCCAGCTCGTCCCTGCGATCCTTCAGCTTCTTAATGAGACTTTCGATAGCAAATTTGGAAAACTCCTCCGACTCGCCACCCTTCCGGTGACACATGAGGCTGTGCACGATGTTCATACAGGCGTCTGAAGAGGTCGATGTGTTTACTGCCAGATGACCGCGGGATTGAGTTATTGAGCGACTTTGAGAATGGCTAGGTTCATGGTCTGTACCGAGAATCTTCATAACCATTGAGTGTGATGATAGACAAGCGGTAGTTGCCTACACATCCAAAAAATAAGCAGCAAAATTTGGTACTCTCGAACTAATCACATTTGCGCAAATACCAGCCCAACTGATCAATGCAATAAAGTACCTTACCCACAAAAACTCATAGGCATTGCAGCAGTAAACAGAATAAATCCCTATCAACCTGTGAAAAGAGCAGAAGAGGGTTCAAAAATAGTACTGTGTGAGATAATGAATGGGATCACCAGTAAATGAATGCAGGCTAAGTAGAAGCGGCAGGCAGGAATGAATCATTCGGCTACCAATTAGCCAAAACCACCTTGAATAAGCTATTCAATATTCCCTAACAATGCGGAACCAATGAAAATACCATAAAGAAATAAAAACGAAGGAGCTACCAGCCGCAAATAAAATCTGGAAAAGTGACAAGGGCACAAAGAGTTATGATCCATTAGTAAACGAAGTAATTAGAGCTTAGCATATCAAAGAAGCGTTGCAAAAGTTTTATTTAAAGTCTACTCACTGTACTACTGAAAAATGTGATTAGCTATCTAAATGCACTGCATAAAGTTTTCGGTAACAAATAACTGTCCCAAGTAAGTTAGTATACCTAGTGCAGAGCAGACGCCGAAGTATCGTTTGCTCAAAATTATATTTCTAAGGCATTCAAATACAACAATTTATTAAAACACGTAAAGGAATAAAAGCAACTCACATCTAAGACCATCATCGAAAATGGCGCACTACCACACAACCAAGGGGTCTATATTCACTTATAATCCGTGGCTGTGATTTGTTAATAGGGTTGCCATCATTTTCATTATTTTTTAGGCCTCTTTTGTTACTAGAAGGGACAAATCTGGAAAAATTAAAATCACTAGGTCATTATGACTCAATATTGTAAATCCTGCTTCTGCATTATATCATCTAATGATTTGTATTTCGTTGTATACAATTGATTTCTAATATCAACTGAAAGTGCCCTGATTTACCAACACCGTAACGTTTATCAAACTCAGTGTTTGGTCATGTTTAACAACCATGAAGACTTCACATTTTGTTGTAAAATATCTCATTGAATGTGCCTCTACTGACCAAATTGTACATTTACTTTGATAGCCCAGGTTTTGTATCAGCGTACGTTTTCCCTTTTGCCATGGGAACATTGTATTATACACGATTGTCATGTCTCCTTTCGTCTTTAGGGAGAGTGAGGGAAGCTACAGCTATACTAAGGGCGAATGTGTAATTTTGATGCACAGAAGAGATGGGGGCTAGTGGCTTATCCCCTGAGGCCATGCTTTAGAGCAGAATCACAGAAGTGCCTTGAGTGACTTTGGTTCCAAAACCAAGGGTTCGACAATTAACTAAAGCATGGCATTCATAGTAATTTAAGGAGATGTGGGAGAATATGCATTACCAATGTGCGGAATATTTAATAAGCTACAAGCATGGCCCGCAGGCTATACCGCAGAGCGGAAGTACACTCCTCTGGACTTAAGTCCCCATACAGTCACACTTAGCTTTAGCACATATATAAAGGAGAAAATATATTCATTTTAAGACTTGCGTTCGTCTTAATTAGGTTTTTGAGGATTTCAAAATGGTCATTTGGCTCTTTTTTAAACGTTGATCTTCAGTACCAGCATATTTTTAGAATGTATTGTGGTGTAAATAATTCTTTCCAAAGCAATTTACTTATCCACCTAGCTTCAATATTTTTCTTGATTAGCTTAGTTCTATTCGCACGTAATAGAGAAAAAGACTTGAAGTTAGTGCAGTGATTTAAATTGACTCCCGCATGGCCTATAACTACCAGATTAGAAAACAATCGTACGGCAGGTATATGCCTTTGGAAGAGCATTGGAGAGATGCGTTGCGACTGAAATAGGGCAAGAAAATTTAACACGATTTAACATGAACTTAAAAATAAGGGCGATTGTCTTTTATTAACAGCTGGTATTTTTGTATGTTGTTCAGAAGGATTGTAGTTCTTACTTTTCAGCAACGTTGTTTATGCCATGCTAATACATTAAGAGGAAGGGGTTCTTTATCTCGGAGATATTGGACGTCGCTTTGTCACAGTGGTATACAGTGGTCGATTTAAAGCTCTAAGCGTGCAGGTTTTCATTTATTTCTATTTGATGGTAACTGTTTGTAGTTATTCCCCTTGGCTAATGTAATTAAACTTGGAGAGTTCCTAATAGAAATGCAAGTAAGACGTGACGGTTACGACATGGACTACTTTCTGACACTGAATTATCTTCGTTTTAAAAAGCATGCTCCCATTTAAGAAAACAAATCATTCATGTATATTTTACCGAGAATCGGAAAACGACTTAAAAAGTGGAATCATAGGGGGTTGTACAACCGTAAAAGATCATAAATGTTTCCCTCTCATTAGTCTCTTTTCTACCAAAGATTGCATATTCGTTATGGTTTTATTTAAATATTATTACAAAATCGAAGTTGGGCCTCCAATGTGCTGTGCGACCAACACCAAATAAGTAGCCGGCGTAAGCATTAACCCCTGCCTCGGATACAGAAGCTCACTCCCTCCACCCTATTCAAATGCCCATCATGAAGCTGTCCCTCGGGTCCTTGGGCAGATTCACTCCTCGATGATCAGCTTCGCTGTGGATAGAAAAGGTACTGCATGTCACTTTTAGTAATTTCAGTTGGATCATTTTAGGTACCATGAATGCCCTGACACCCACGTGATTTTGACTTTGCAAAGGCATCTAACATAGCCACTAAAAAACCTGATTTTTACCTTAAAAATAATTCATATACAAGAAAAATAAATTAAGTCTTAACAGACGGGCAAGTTTAGTGCAGAACCAGAACACAGTAACGGCCAGGTATCGCACGATTACACGTCAGAGCACATAGAAGATTGTCAAAATTTCGGTACCAAGTTCTAGCTGGTCTATCAGTGCTCACATTTGCGGCGGTGGTGGTAGCAGTGGTGGCTGCGATTCGTGGTGCTGTGGTGCCCGGGGGAAGTGGGAGGTGGCAGAGGAGGTAGCGGTGGGATGCGAATGGCACTCCTTGTACTGCAATTTCTTCTTGCGACTGCGCCCGGAACGCGGTCGAACGCGCTGTTCGTCGACAAATTTGCGGCAGCGTCGTATGGAGGAGCCATTCTCAAACATGCCAGTGGCGCCTTCGTGCAGAGTCCAGTAGGCGCCCTTGCCTGTCTCCCCGGGAGGTCGTGGTACCTTCGTGAAACAGTCGTTGAAGGAGAGGGCGTGGCGAACTGAGTTCTGCCATCTGCAACCGAGGACATACATGAGCCTCTTTCCTCCATTTCTACCGAAGAAATTCGTCGCTCTTCCCTTGATTATGATTACATCTGCCAGTCACCTCAGAAGTAGGTCCATCTTCTTCTAGGCGTGAGTGATTTTAAGGAAATGTTTTCGTGTGATTTTGTAGGACGAAAAATAAGAGGACCTTTATTTTAGATTAAAAAATAATTGATCCAAACATGTTCACGAAGCATTGACAAGTTTAAATACAGAGTAAAAGTGAATGTGCAACTTTTAATGAGTAGTCTAGCATTTTAAGGACAACTTGGAATTAGAAAAGGGCAAGTGGTTCGTTGAAAAGGTTGACGAACTTTCATGTACATTTCCTGCAACTTCGTCAGGTTTGTTTGTGCACGCAACTATTAATTGACCTAGCTGCGGCTACATGAGAGTAGCAAAAAGCCACCATCTAAAGGATTTCCCCTTTAAAACAAAGTGAATGGAAGCAAGATCGCTTTAAGGGTTTTAGGTGCTTTGAAATGGCAACTGAATAGCTGTATTTAGCGGAGATATTCGATTTTATTACAGCCCTTAAGTAGTTACCATCGTTGGAATGGAATCCTTCAATCAGTGGACATTGGATAGCTTCGTTCCAGGTGAATAGTTCTTTAACATTTCGCGCTGTTGTCACTGAAAAATACATCTTTGAAAATGGTACCACTTTTATTTACAATGCGGTTGTACAGAATCGCTTTGAAAAATCGAGATGTAGTATGGCAAAGACACTTTGGAAAAGTATTTATGCATTTTGAGACATTTAAATCGTAAGAACATTCAAGCTGAAACTGCATAAAGTAAGGTCCGTTGCTGTTTAGACTCACAGCAATTCTTTATTCTGTTTAGTGGCTCAAAATGAGGCTAAATGGGCTACGGTAACAATTAAGTGGTCGGTTCAAGCATACAGGAGAGCCTTACCGCTTCAACAACGCAACGCTAACTATGATGGCAGTTTTGAAGCCTATCCAAACATTCTAGCAACATAGAAATGAACATATATGCAGACAATCCGGATTGTGTTTAGGCTTTTTAAGCTCCTTAAAAATTAACATAGATATTGGGGTACTTTCCTCGGTAAAATGGGACTTGAAGTTCCATCTAGTTACGCATTCTGGAGTCGCTTCTATTGCAAGGCATCTAGCTATGCTGTAATAGCTCACGACATCGCCAAAATCTCAGTCCCGAAAAACCGGTGGAGAACCAAAAGTTGACTGAACAAGGTGAGGAGAACAGGAAGATGGAATAAATAGGGACTGCAATTTTCGGTACACGCAGATGATCTGATTTACTACGGATAGGGAGGTTTCCTGTCAGTCGGCTAAACGGAGCGCTGGACCTAGTGACATCACAGAGCGTGTGTATCGAGCTTGCGACGCGCACACGGGCTTAGAGTAGCATAGCTGAGGGGTGAAGGGGTGGAGGGGAAGGTAGTTTACGACTTCACTACGCACGCACGTGGAGATGGCGGTGAGGCAGGGAGGCGAGGGTGTGAGTACAGGCACTGGTGAGACCCTTTGACAAGGCGAACACAGCCTGTTCGAGCACCTGGCTGACATGGCAGATGTAACGATTTCACGCGCTGACTTCTTATTGGGCCTACGAGTTTTATCCAATCATGTAAGAGCACTCGGCAAGGAGTAGCACAGTATTTTGGCTCAGCCAAAGCGAGCACAATGCAATCAATTAAGGGTATAATTTTTGTGGAAGACCTAACGCCGTAATAGCGATTTGTTAAAAACATATATTTAATTCACAAATGCAGATTCCCGTAGCAGCATTTCCCATAACTTTGACGACAGAGGTATATTTAAGCGACCCAAATTGGATACAAAGGAATTTTATAACTTCTATTTCCTAAAAGCTAATTTAAAGCAAGCTAGTCACACGTCTAATTTGCCACTGTATCGGCAATAACGTACAAAATGTCTTGCAGTATCTTAAATGAAACCGAAATATTTGAATAATGTCACTTAACTGCAATGGAATACTTTGACAAAAAAAGTCGTTTCGAACGCATACTAGTCTCAAAGGGAGATGAAGTCCAGATCCGTTAATCTATTTTTAACAGTGGAACACCTAAATTTGCTCCAAAATTTGCAAATCAAAGGTGAATTAAATGCCCGAATTAGGAATTTTGGGTTCATCTTTTGTTCTATTCTGCATGAATCGCATGCCCAGATTCAACAAGTTAAACCTTTAAACTCTGTGTTTTGCATGTATATTTCAACGAGATTGATGTGAGCACGATGGGAAAATTATTTTAAATCATGCAAGGGAAGTAGATCACCCATCGCGAATAACGATGTATAAACAAGACTTTGGGATGGAATAATGCCAATTATGGTAAATAAGCTACTTTGGTAGCAAGCACATTATTTAGCAGTGGTATTGGACTGTGGTTCCGGATAGAAAGCGCGTTGAATAACCTCCCACGCCCTTGTAATTACCAACACTCTAGAAAAACGATAAACACAGTGACTCACCGCTTAGTATTCTTTCTGTAGTACGCGAAATGGTTCATAATCCAGGCGTAGATTTCACTCAGCGTAGCTCTCTTCTCCTTATTCGACATCATCGCGGAGACAATGAGAGTGATGTAGGAGAAGGGAGGTTTCATACTTCCATCCAACTGATACTCCACTATCTTTGGTTGTGCGAGTCCCCCACACACAATAGGCACGGGGGGCACCTCCACTGCACTTACTCCCATACTCATCCCCTCAAAGGAATTTGGATGCTGAAGCTGATTGTGCTGGTGAGAATTATGCTGCTGTTGAGGTTCCACTTGCTCATAGATCCGCTGCTGCTGTTGTTGCTCGGAGTATCGAGCATCTGCGTAGTTGTAGTCAGAATGTGGAATGTCGGTCGAAACACCACCCCAAGGAGACTGTTCCGTAGCCTGCGGCCAAATATATGCGGGAAGAGAAGATTCGTACTGAATGTAGTTGGGATAGATGGGTGGTTGTGCATCAGGAGTCGATGTAGTGTATGGAGGGTAGTAGGGTGGTTCTCCCTCCCCCACCCCTAGACTTGTATGTTGAGGCAGAACTGGCAGACTGGTGGCCATGGAAGCTGTGTCGTTGACGTTTCCACTGATGGCGGTGGTGGTGGTGGTAACGGCAGTGGAGGGGATTTGTTGAGCGTCCGAGAATTCGGTGTATTGAGGGAAATAGTAGTTTGAGCTCGAGGTGTGAGTAAACATGGTCAGAGAGAAGAGTAAACCTCTGTCACCACCCTCGAACCGAGTGTTGGAGGCCTCAAGTGTGCGCACACGCATTCTCCTCTCAGCCAATCAGATGTCAGTGCGCGGTGCTTTGCGCGTGGTCTCAACTAGGTAGGTGGGGGCTTGTGCGCGTGTTTCATCATTGAAGGATGGATTGTACTTGTGTTTGCTTACCTAAAGCGATTCATTGTTGTTCGGAAGTGTTGACGTAAGGTAAGAAAATCTGAGATATAAGAGAATTATTTAATAAAATACACAGCGATATTTCATGATGTCCGAAATTGTGATTGTTTTCTTAGTGCCCGAGCAATACATTATGCTTTCTAGTTACAATTTTTTGCTACACCAAATGAAGAAGATGCCCACTGCAATGCATCACTTTTAAAGTGGAAACTACAAATCTACTGCTGAGAGCAACTATTAGTGTCCAATAATTTACACTAAACATTTGAAGCTTTGAACTTCCAGGAATTTCTAAAACAAGGTTTTTAAAGTGCGCACATGAAAATGGAAAGACATCAATATAAGAACAATAAACACATATAGGTCATGACAACGCGGAAATAAACTTAACAAAGGTGGCAACTAATGAACTTGTGAGACAACGCTATGCGCCTCAGGACAATTGGTATACTTGAATGGGACTTTTGTGGTTTGAATCGACTGACTGGACGTAAAAATTTCTCAAAACCTACTACTTTCACTGGCATATTTTATGTGACACTGTGGTTTCTAGGAGGATTCCCGTTTGATTTGAGCAGATAGTTTATGGTATTCTGATTAAGATTAAATTTGCACTTTGAGTCGCATCGCGGCATAAGTTTGGTTAATTAGTATAAAATTACTCTCCTAATATTGCCTCTGTTTATTTGTAGATTTGATGCAAACATCCTGACCATCCGATCCCGTTAGTCGGTTTGGGTCCAATTCCAGTGATTAGAAAGAAATTCTAGGTGACACTGAGGAATTGCAAAACTTGAAATTTCCTGGAAAACTCCTTCATGTGCACGAGTTATCCTTTATTTTCTACAAAGAAAAAGGTGAATAGCTTGAGACCCTGATTAAAAAAGGAAATCAAGCATAGTACTTAATAAATATCATTTGATAACCAAGTAGACTGTTAGGTTTACCAAGTTTTCCTTCGATTTGGTTATTGGTTTTGTCATCCTAATAGCTGTTTTTAATCAAAGTTAAACAATTATTATGTTTCCCAAACCGCTCTTCCAGACATTCCCAACATACAAATAAGTAGCATATTGGGATGAGTTTTGTCCAGCTATCCCGAAATCGCGCTACTCAATTATTAGTTTCCGAGGCTCCGATCAGTAAAACGTCCCCCTGACAAAAGATCGTGACTTGTTCCAACTTTTCTGCGGGGTTGCTTCCACTAATTTGAGTCTTCTGTTTCTCAAGACACCCGAGACTCCTTCTGCACTGCCATATTATCCCAAGCTCCATAGTAAGTAGGAGCCTCAATCGTTGTGACATTTACGATTGCGATTTTTGCATTCAAGTTTGGCAGTGATGAGCCAATAGTATTTCAAGACTTTTTCCTGTTACGTGACGCAAGCTTTCATTAAAACTCACAATACCATCATGACTTCGATGCAGTAGTTGATTCCGCGTAAAGTTTGGCCCTGAACTGAACACTTCATTATCGTTTAGTGCCTGACATAAGGCAGGATCACAGAAGGAACTCCTTTGTTGATCACAATACGGAATAGGTGGGGACTTTTCTAGAGACCAGCGGCCCAAAAAGTATCTTCGGTATCACCGATGGGCTTGGTTTACACTTACCTGATTTCATTTAGTGTGGACCTAAGCAACAGTTTAGCCCAATTGCCCAACCTCCGAATCAACTGATATTCTGTGTTTGTTTTACGCGTAACGAAATTTCATGGTGGTATGCAAACAAGAACCTATTATGATTAAATAAAGCAGCAAAAAAAGAAGAGCTTCTTTTTGACCAAGTTTGGGAGGAAATGTCGGACACTCCTGGAGTTTGTATTAACAAGGCCTGGAAATAAACTCCCTACTTTGAAATTGACATTAATTTGCTCTGATATGCATATCGAAATTCATTTCGGCTGGAGAAAGTGCCGGTCCTTATGCAATGGTCCGTAAGCTCCCAAAAATAACACTAATATTTAAAACATAACGGAAAATTGGTCGAAACAAGGTGATTTATATATGTTAGGAGAAATGCTACCAATAAACAATTTGCTTATTAAATGGCTCATTTCTTTGCAAATCTCATGCAAAGGCTTAATATGTATCGTTTTCATCCACTTCCTTGCATTTCAGGAACACAAAAGGTGTTTAGTGGCACATATTTACCTGGACTGTACAGGAATGTATGTGAATTAGCGCTTTTTTGAGTAAATTAAACCATGATGTAAAACTAAAAAGTTACTATGAAACATGTAGTGATGAATTATCAGTAGCAAGCCCTACTGCGAGAATTCCAGCTGACAATTTTAGTAGGTTCTTAACCCATCACGAGTGACACATCTTGCAAAATCACATCAAGCGGCCAGTGGGTGCATAATGCCAACACTAGTCGCTACCCTCTGCAAATATGCGTACACTGATGCCAAAATCCCAAGCACATAAGAAGTGGAAATTGAAGAAACATTGTTACAGAAACAGATAATGCAGTACTGCCTTACTAATGCCCTAGTGAAATGGTTATAAATGGCACATCTTGTTTTCCCATATGACTGCACTACAGACGTTAGCACATGCGTAACCTCTTCCATTTACAATGCAGACAAACAACGGGGACCAGCTGAAAATTTTCTTAGAATCTCTTGGTAATGCAGAGGAAGAGGTAATTAATGGTCTTTGCAGATGGCCAAACACTCCTCACTGGTTACGCGGATTCAGATGTGCCAGGCTCATCACTAATATAATCCGTGAAACTAAAGTGGACCGTATAATCTTGCATAGTCTTGCTTTTTTTGAACAATAACTGTAACTTGTTCTACAGACAGTTTATTTGAAAGGCCATTCAAGGATTGCGAGGCGGGGATACAAAAATAGTGAGTGGTCTCAAACTGCCCTTAGAAATACTGCCATCCACGTGGGTCAAAACAGTGAAACGTACCGTGAACTTCGGTTGATCATGTGAATTTGAAAAGCTGTAGTAGGTCACCAACTCCTAACACACATACCATGCGACACGTATTTTAATATGTGCACTTTTTTCATTTGAAAGGCTGGCAGTGTATTCAGCTGAGTTTTGCATTATCTTTGAAGGGGTGAGAGGTTGATAGCAGCTTCCACAAATAATTTGTTTCTGATTGCCATTTGATCCAGTGAGAAATCATTTGCCTAGTGAATGGTGTTCCCGTATGTGTCCAGTACCAACAGTGATTAAAAAAAAGGACGGTAAATTCAAACAGACACATGAACATGTTTGGCATGAGTCGCATGAGTGCCAATCCCCCTCTTTAAAAAAAAAATAAATTAAACAAACGGACATTCCAATTCTATCAGAATTGTGATTAGCCTTCGGTATCGAGGTTCTTTGTTGCTGTAAGTATCAATTTACACATCTTTAATGGCGTCAAAAAATCTCCTCACAAACTTATAAAATGTCAGCTTTTCTCGAGAGGCGTCCAACTCAAAGAGATTTTCAAAATCTTCACTGCAGTGTTTGACCAGAAGAGTGAGGGGGAAGTTCATTTGGGACTAAGCTGACGCTAAGATGTTGCGGCACCACTTGGTGTGGAGAAGCAACATTTCAAGACCAGGAACTATCATTCACTGTGGGATAAACCTTCACGTTGGGGGATAAACTCAAAAAGTAGACCTTCATAAACCCTTTATTTGCCCAAGAGGAATTATGAACCGTAGAACCAATTTGGGATTTATGGGTGGGGGCATACACTACGTTGAAAGCAAATCACCCGAGCATTAATATCTTCTGATGAACCGCATCCGATAAGTGAAAATCAAGACAGGTAAAATTATTATTTCCTCTACTTTGAATAAAACCAAACGCCACCGATCCTCTGGTCAGATGCCTGTAGGTTAAACGTGCTAGAGGGAATTCTGATTCATTCACTTCACTTCAAGGCCATAATCACACCACCGACGGTTGCACAACATTTGGCAAGTCAAAAACGGAGTGAAATTAGTTACTGAACTACAACTTGCACGAAGAAGACCCAAACTGAGGACAGCAAATACTACGTAACGTAGCTGGCAAGGGCAATGTCTAACCTAGAGTGACGCAGACGCCAGAGAACTTGTAGGATGTTCTAGCCCATTGTCACCGACGTGACCCGGCAAAATCCAGATCTATATGAACAAATCTGTTAAAACTGCAGTGGTTGTTCAACCGATGCCATTACCGAAGGCGTTATATAGTCTTAAGATTACTAGCGTGCATGTGAGCATAAACACTCTTGAGAGGCAGCCGTGAAATAACTCCGCGATGGGAATCCTAAAAGAGAGGAGAGCTAAGCATCCAAAAACACCGTTAAATCAGTTTTTACTTCAAGCACATGCGTGAGTTTCTCCAGACAGGTGCGTTAGTTCAACCATGCCTTTCGTTCCTTAATACCGTCGACAGGTCTGTCATGGTAGAGTACAAGCATTGGGGGTTCAGCTAGAATTAGTCGAGAATCAAAAAACCGAAACCACCGTAAAACTGCAATTGAACAAAATTTGGTGTACATCAAAGATATGCATTTGGAATCTGACCTTTTTAAAGATAATCTGCAAGGGAAGAAGAAATCGGTATATCACAATTTTTACATAGAATAATTATCAAAAGAAGTAGAAAGTCACCGAGGTAGTCCGCAGTAAAGACATCTGATATCGTCGGGACATGAACGAATAGGGTCCGATTTGGGTCTTTTTCAAGGGAACTAAAAAGGACAAAAAAAGAAATTATGCAAAAACTGATTCACTGTGCATCACTCTGCGAATGAAGATAGCAAATATTGTTAGAACTTTGAATTCGTTGACCCAATGAGATTTTTTTAACTTAGAAGTGGAAAAGTTTTTGAAAAGTATTAACTTGGGGAGAACAAGCCACTTACCGCCAATAAATATAGCCGCAAAGGAAACAACCGGGATCCGTTGAAATACCACACTTGAATCCACGAGACTGAAGGAGGACACAGGGCTCATCCAGCGAGAGCTTTGTGCAGATCTGCTCATGACACAAGGGTTGACAGGGAAGACAACCATCATCTGTCATAGTGTAGGGTCCAAACCCCGACTGATTTTCTAGACTAATCTTCGAGGCCGAGGGGTCAACACCGACATGAATAACTAGGTTCTGAACGAGGAAACATTAAAAAATTGCGAAACTGAGGCACCCAAAAAGCTCTGCACCCATTGTATCTTTCAATACCCTAATCATATATACCAATCCTACATAAAGAGATGCAAAGGTTACATTTACGACCATTTGTATAGATGCTATAAATTTTCATGCATAAATTTAGTGCAAAAAACCGTATGCCAAAATAAATAGCCAATGTCCCTAGCTTATTTGCATCTACAAACTCAAATACAACGAAACAAACCGGTTTGAGTTCATCCCATATATGGGAGACGGCCTTATCCGCCGCCTGATATGAAACCTCGATATTTGGCAAAACGACAAGTTCAGGAGAACATTTGGCCTGAGATCTAATTTCTTCCCATTTGCATTGCAAATTCAGGACGGCGGTAGTGCTACTGTTCACCGAGATACCATCAAAGGGACCAAAACCGGTAACGACGACTCTTGCTTGATTATCCATATCAGCCGAGAGCTCGAAGCCGGACGGCAAGTGACCTTTATCATGGTGTAAAACAATTAGTACTATTGAAAATATTTACCGTGATATGCAGTTAAACGTGCCCAAAATATTATAAAGTTGGATAGTAAAGAGTTGTGGGTGTCAGTAGGAGAAGATCTTTTTCTACCAGTTCGCCTAAATTAGTTAACGAAAAATAAATATTTAATTAATTTTATTTATGCCAATACTCAAATACAAACGAAATGCCCCAGCGGCTATCAAAATTTGAATGTGTTCGACAAGATTCCAACCCTCTTATGTAAAATCAGCAGGAATACATAAGAATGCAAAACTCGATGCAGGTGAAGAAATAAACTTGGAGAAGCCTTGAGGATCGAAGGTATAACATTGTCTATCAAAAAGGTCTAATATGAACTGCTAAGTAGAGACATTCCGACAGGTAAGCTAATGCTTATGCACGTTACAGAAGTGCTATGCGGGTACTTTTATGTAGGGCGAGACTTGCGGGTCTTCTCTTTTCTGTTCCTAGTGCTCTTAAAACAACCAGGTTGACTTAATTTCGACGTATTTATTAGAGGGAAGTGGCGAGGGAAACAAGTGCAAAGTTTAGAGGGGGGGACTGCAATTGCCCTCAATCGTAGAAGACGCCGACTCTGTCATCAGATTCAAAGTGTCACCTTGCCACCTCTCTGAAAGGCACGTCAAAACAATATAGGTATTACATATATAGGGTTGCCGGCAATATTGTGTGAAAAAAAGGTATCGGCAAATCTTTTGGCTGCAACTTAGAAATCCACCTGGCTAATACAATTTGCCGGCTTTAAAAAGACATTTACATTCGGCGCACATAAAAAATGAAGAATTATCCGTATCCTACATCCACCTTCTTAAAAGCTCCTACCCATCTACTAAACCGATCATCACAAGAAATTACAAATAAGTACTTTAAAAGATTTAAATGTTTTGTGCGGCAGGGAAGTTTTCAGGGGCAAATTTGGTGTTTAATTGACTGCCTATTACTTTTTAAATCAGCTGTCCGTGCATTTGGCGAATCACTTGAGCCTGCTAGTATGGTATGGGCGTGGTTGTCATACCGCGTTGTCTTGTCACTTCTAACAATGCTTCGTTTGTTTCGTTAGTGTTTTTTAGCTTTTTGCGTCCATGTATGGGCTATACTGTTTGCGATGTTGTGTCTAAACCACGTTTTTTCTGTCTGTAGGGTCTCGTAAAAGTTACGAAGAATAAAGCGTATTTCAAGCGTTTCCAGGTCAAGTTTCGTAGGCGCCGTGAGGGCAAGACTGATTATTACGCCCGAAAACGTCTTATTTGGCAGGACAAAAACAAGTATAATACACCTAAGTACAGGTTTGTTGTCCGATTCACGAACAAGGATATTGTGTGTCAGGTAACTTCTGATATCATTTTAATTCTTAAAGATAATATATGCCTGTATGGATGGCGATCGTGTTGTGGCTACCGCTTATTCTCATGAGTTGCCTCGCTACGGTGTGAAAATCGGTCTTACTAACTATTCCGCCGCTTATTGTACGGGTCTTCTCCTGGCCCGCCGCGTTCTCAAGAAGCTGAAGTTGGATGGCTTGTATCAGGGTCAGACTGAGGTTAATGGCGAAAATTATCTTGTTGAGTCCAAAGAGAAACGGGGAGCGTTTAAGTGTTTCTTAGATGTTGGCCTTCGTCGTACTTCCTCCGGCGCGAACATTTTCGGAGCCCTCAAGGTAACAGCTTTTTTTTTATATACGTTATAGGGAGCCGTTGATGGCGGTTTGAACATACCCCACAGCTCGAAACGATTTCCAGGAAATGATCCCGAATCCGGAGAGTATAATGCAGAGGCTCACCGTGCTCGTATATTCGGTCAGCACATTGCCGAATACATGCGTTCATTAAAGGAAGAAAGTGAGGAGGCCTACAGACGCCAGTTTGGTGCTTATTTGAAGCTCGGCATTGAGGCGGATGACATAGAACCCATGTACCAGAAAGCTCACGCTGCCATTCGTGAAGATCCTTCGTACACGAAGAAGGAGAGGGCCGAAGTGAAGCATCGGCGTTTTAATAGAAAGAAGTTGACCCTTAAGGCGCGTCGCGAACGCGTACGCCAAAAGAAAGCGCAATTCCTATCTCAACTTCAGAAGGATTTGGCTGTTGTTGGGGCTTAAAGTATATTGATATTAAGCTAGGAAACCATTTTTTCTCAGAAACAATCTGTTTGCAGTTCATTCCGCTTTAGGGGTGGGGGGTGGCAGCTTTCGAGTATCTTGCTGTGACGACTTAATCCTGGTGAGGTGTTCCTCCTCATTGTGAACGTTCTTCCCTTGGGAATTCGTCATGTGGTGGGTTCTGCCGTGATGTCGCACACGGTTTTGCGAGGTTTTGCCGTGAGTTCTCGTATAAACTAGTGCGTTGGTTCGAAGCCGCTCCAGGGAGTGATTGTGCGGTTTTTGAGATTTTTAGATGAGCTATTTTGTCAACTTGTGGTTTCTTTCGCAATCATTAAGTCTGTTTTTCTGGAGTTGCTGATCGGACTTCAGGTGTGGAGGGGGTGGAGCACCTTGCAATGCGTGGGATGCTAGAGGCGGTGTGGGAAGGTAGTAATGCTACGGGATTACGCATGGTTGGGTGCTCATGCAGTTAGGTTTTTTGTGGTGGGCTTTATGCCTGTGCTCGGTGTTTACACAGAGTGGAGTTTGTTTGATAAACGGCAAGATCATCCCGGAGTTCACAGGTGATCAGGGGGTTGCTCTTTGCCTCATCCGTTTTGCGGGGAATGCGGCAACGTGGCGGTACGATTCCGCATGTTCTTAGTGGACTGCGAGATGAATAAGCAATTGGGATGTGCAATATCCTCTCAAAATGGATCGGGGATGTTAAAGCTGAGTAGCTGAGAGTGGCTTTGTGGAGGTGCCCGATCCAGGGTGCAGCCACTTTAGTGAGGATGGGGATGATGCGTAAGCTCCTGTTCATTTCACAGCCTTTATGCTTTTTTGAAGTAGAGGTATAAAAGTTTACTCCATCACACAAAGCCTTGGCCTGACTTTATGACAGCAAGTAGTTTCTGTTAAACTTAGTCTAGGTTATCATAAACCTGAATGAGGTTCTTTAGTTTCATTTTCTCGTGGGAAATGGTTACTAATAAAGTGCCAATAAGCGGCATGTCGTAGGTCGTTTTTGCAAAGGTCACCAGATACTTGTGAACTCTCGACTTGCCGGGAAATGTACCACTTTGATAGATTTTTCAATTCGACGTTTGGCTGCACGGGTACTTTGGTATTTCCAGATTGTACATCCGCTAGGTGAGCTGACCTTCGGGCTATGCTAGCAGTCTCTTGACCCCCCTATACGTTAGTGGTATTTACTGCCATAATGCTGTGGCTTTCTGCGACTTTAGGGGACGCCTACAGCGTTACATTGATAGTAACGTCAAGCGAACCTTATGCCCCTAACAGAGGGGCAAGAATTAACGTCTGCTTTTGGCGTTTTCCCTAATTCCGTATTCTGCAAGAATGCTATTATCGACTGAAGCTTCATCAGTCTCAACTTATTTTGAAAAGTTAACTACAGAGCCGTCTGCGGTACCTGCATAAACACGACAAAAGAGTACGCAAGCATTCCCTCTTCCACGTCTTCACAAACTGAGTGGAATTCAGGCAGGTGTGTGGATGGACAGCACTGAAATGAAAATAAAGTAACAAGGGGAAATAGACGTGAAACCTTATATTCGGAAGACTATTCCGTCCAGTCGGTTATTGAGTGGCCACCAGTGCCCTTACGACGCGGAGTATCCTCGTATTCGATCATTATTCGGTCTTTAGAAGTAAAAAGGTATCTCATTACCCTTTTATCAATACAATTCTTAAAGAGGACAAAAATTCAGACGCTATAAATTCGTGGTGATCCATCAGTGAAGCTGAGTCTAAAAGCATCCACAAAGGTATGCAAATTCGGTGGTTCGCAGGTAGTTTTTTAATATAGCAAACTACATTTTGGTAAGTAGCATGAAAGACTGACCAGTAGGAATGTTGGGAACAACGCTCAAAAAAAAGGAGAGGGTCATCTAATTTTTTTGTGGTCTGGTTAATTCCGGCAATTAAAGGTGCCCAGATTACTGTAATACGATAGTGGTTTATCCTTCGGTTCTGGTGAGGCGCCACTTTTGTACTTCGAACTAGCCCCCTTGTACCTCGCTGGGTGGGCTGGCCTTTTGGGCCATGCCAATTGCCCAGACACCTTCTCCATGCTAAATATATATATTTTGCGCGAGTATTGTGTCTTCTTTCGTCTTCAGGGAGTCTCGGGACGCTACATTCGTGGCAGCAGAAAGCGAACCCGATCTTAAAGGCCGTGTATCCTGATTTTCCACTTCTGTTTGATAAGCCTTAGTGGAGCGGAAGAAGTACATATGCTACGAATGGGAGAATGGTGATGACCCCAAACAGAAGGGTTGATGTTGACGTCTACCTTCGGCATCTCTCCCAGTCCCGTGTTCTGCAGAAAAGCTATTAACAACTGAAGCTACACTAGCCGTGAAACATCTGGAAGTTTCGTTACGGATTTTCCCTACCGTCCCCATGGACCTGTTTCAAATCTTGCACTTCCTTACTCAAATCCGCCTTTAGGCCAGTGTTCCTGCATCTACCTGTGGACAAGCATTATAGCCGGCGTAGTTCCCCGTCCTGAATCAAATCCCTAAATCGGACGAAACCCTAGATCCAGTCAAGCCGCCAAGAGGGATCAGCGACGTTGAGGTCAAGTATCCCCTCAGTTGCGCATTAATTTGGTGACTGGCACGGTCGGCTCGTGGGTGTTTCTTTACTGCACCGACTACGTTGTAATGGCTGACACGGGGGGTTGACCTGCGGGAGCGCCGGGGACGACGCTCAAAAGAGGAGGGAGGCTATGTAATACGATAGTGGTTTATCCCTTGGTTCTGGTGAGGCGCCACTTTTGTACTTTGAATTAGCCCCCTTGTACCTCGCTGGGTGGGCTGGTTTTTTGGGCCATGCCAATAGCCCAGACACCTTCTCCGTGCTAAACGTATGTATTCTGCGCGAGTATTGTGTCTTCTTTCGTCTTCAGGGAGTCTCGGGACGCTACATTACACTACCACTGAGTGATTTAACCCCTGGTCCCTATCGGTATCCGATCAGCACTCCCCTGGTTAGTGGTATATTTTCTGTCACACTATCTTGGCTTCCTACGACTTCAGAGAGGACTCAAGGTGCTACAATAGTTCTCCAAGACAGTCAAGAGGATTCAGCGACCCATTCAAGGCTGATGGACCATTGATGACCAATTAGAGCTACTGTTGTAATCAAACCACTACGTGTTATCATCCTTAAATCAATCATAGTAGAAGAGTAGCTGGAAATGCGCCATAAAACCGATCAGGGTACCAACATGGCGGCAAAATGGTGAAGTTGTCACAAGTTTGTAGTATTTTATCGTAGTAAGCTCTGTTGTATTAACAAAAAATTTCGACAGTAGGGACTACCTAACTTTTACCAAGAAGAATACTCGTTTGCCGATTCTGTAGCAGATTGCAAGAAAGGCCCTGCATAATCCTAACTCCTCCAACATATCCAAAATTTCAAGACATGAGCAAAAGTAAAATTAATTTTTTTAAAATTAATATTTCGTGAGACACAGCAAAAGTTGAAGCAAATGAATATTAAATGTTTTATTTCGTTTCAATGCGGCAGCATACTCGTACCTCACGGCGATTAGTGCGCACTTTTTCGAAATGCTTATAGTCTTCATAGTGCTGCCTATCATTGGGATATGCTATTTTGTGCCCATATTCTGTGCAATATTTCCAAAGGCTGCTATTCCGCTTATATACTTGCACTATCGTGAGTATCGATCCCAATTAAAGTCCTTAATGGGTCATATGATCGTATTATTGCATTTTAAAACCACAACGCGCAGGTTTAGCATTGTGGTGTATGTATGGTGAATTTTATTCTAACATTTTTGCTCTGTACAGTATTGCTTAATAAAAATTTGCTGCAGTTTGATAAAAGCTTTGTAACTACTTTATTGCGTAGTGTTTTGACTCAATTTGTAGTGCAGATCTCTCGAAACCAAAATTTCAGCGACTTCTCTTCGTTCGGAGTTTTGAGTGATGCTGCATCTGATTTTTTTATTAAATCAGACTTTGATGGAACTTTTCTTGGAACATGGCAAGTTCGATTAAAATTTTTGCTTTTTTGGTAACATAAGGCGTACGCTGCCATTTTAGCCCCATAAATTGCATCGTGATCGAAGAAACATATTTGCTTCTTACTATAGCCTGCACACGCTTGATTCCTAATTTAAAATTAAACGACTCGAATGAATGAACACATCTGTCTTTGTAGGCATATTCGACCCAATGCAACAGATGATTTTGTTGGGCAGAGATACGGTGCGGTCAATGCAGGTGATATCAAAGACAGAGCCCCTATTTTCTTATATCTCCACGGCATGGCATTTAATAGGGCTTATCCGCACCGAGTTGAAGTATACAAACTCTTATCTCGCCTCGGATATCACGTCATGACTATTGATTATAGGGGTTGGTTGCTAACCTCCTTTTTTCCAATCATTTAACTCTCGATAGCTCCGACCACTTTAATTTTTTCTAGTTTCTGAAAAGTTAATGCAATAAATGTGTCTTAATATTTTTAGGAAGAAAGCATTTTGACAAAAAATTTACATGGATTATCGCAGATTTGTTTGTTTGGTTATGTATAATTCTGCTAGAGAGGCCTTAACAAAATGCTCCATATGTAAGATGTTGAATTATTTGTAGAGTAGTAAAACACTTATAGTAATAAGTACTGTTTAGTAGGGTTTCGTCGGCCCGATTATTACAAATACGGTCTTTTTAAGTGTTTTAACGAATTTTAACGGAAAAATTGCTATTAAATGGCTACTTACACCTCCTACTTATTTCAAAACTCGGGATAGTTGGAGTCTCGATTTACCAAAACTGCCTATATCAAGATAGAGAATATTGGAAGTAAATGACTTAAACCATGTTGATTATTGGCATCGTCAATTTTGGTTTGCGCTTCTTGACGGTGTGGTTGCATCTTGAGTGCTTTTCTCACACTTGTTATAAACTCTAGATTTGTTTTAACTTAAGGCGTCTCCTATACGTATGCACAAAAACGACTTCTGGTGATGCTTTTCTACAGGTTTTGGAAACTCAGGTGGTTCGCCGCAGGGTGAAGCAGACATTGTCGCAGACGCTATCTCCCTCCTGCGCTACGCCCGTAGTGTGGCACCCCACTCGCCCGTATTTGTCTGGGGCAGCTCTCTTGGAACTGGGTAAGCCTGTCTTCCTTGCGTGTTAAAGCTTTTTCCATTTACCTCGGTGAGAATGGTTAACACACGCGCCCACACTCGAACTCAATGAGTAACTCGTAAATAACCCATTGAAGAGAATGAGTATTGGCTATATCACTTAAATATCACATAGATTAAGAAGTGTTTGAAAATTAGATCCTTTTTTAGATTTGCTATAAAGACCATGGCTTATATGACAAAACAGAATAAGAAGTTTTGTTTAAAAATTAAAAATTTGAGTGTGTAACAAGGAATAAGTTTGTTTAATAGCTTATTGGCTAATGGACCTCTGTGGTAAAACAAAGAGCACAACCTTAAATAAGGAAAATAAATCTTGTGACATTTATAACAGAAGCATATGAAAGGTTAGTGATCCACTACATCAGGCTACTCACACTATTGTTCACTCGGAGTAAGGATGAATAGCGCATTAAATTCAAAGTAATTATACTACAGAAAGTGTTACTTAATAGACAATAGAGAACGCAATGCTGCTGCTTCGACCAATGCACTTGAAAATGCAAGTACATGGGTTTCTGCATTACAATGCAAAACATGTGTGGTTGAAGTAGCTAAAGTATTCATATTAAGATTTCAGTAATCTGATTTAACAGAACCAAAAGTGCCAAGTTTTTATACGTATGAACAGTGAAGAGACGCAAATCCATGAATGTCCCTTCTACGCTGGTGGTGGGAATTACCGGCAGTAGCAGTTGATGGAATCTTATTATATGTGTATTTTTTTCACAAGTTCTAATTTAATCATGACAAAACTTTTGGGATGAACACTTAAAGTCCATTTGTAAGAGTGAAACCAAAAAATTTACGGTTCCCAGTAATTGTGACCACAGATGAAGGAGTTACGAACTGATGCTACTTTTAACATCAAGGATATCAGAGTGAGTTTACCCACGGACATATCATATATTATTGGACCAAATTAATGTGCACTAATTTGTTTTCTCGAAATGGCTTAGCAAGTATGTAACTTAATTTCAATTTTTAGTTTACAAGGAATGACTCATCCCATGCTTTTAATTTCAACCCAAGTGCCCATTTCGCATTTTAACTATACTATCCACTAAAAGACTAATACTTCCTAAAATCTCTTATTGAAAAGGATGTCCATAAACGTTAAAATGATGCTGACACCGCTTTGTATAAATTCGGGTATTTTTATGCAAGAGACGTGGAACTGGTCGCAAACTATGCAATTTAGTGAATGTGATGTGTGCAGTTCTTGTAGCAAGTATTACAATATTTTTAGGCTAATTTAGTGAAAACGACAGTTGGATGCATGCACATTGTTGGTAAGACACTTATAATAGGTTGCTCCATACTGGATATCGAACAAGTTATTTTTGGGTCACAGTTGGCCATGTTTGTATATTTTGAGGCTCCAATCCAAGTAACGCCTAAGTGCTTTAAACAACTTCTTTAAAATGATACTTAATCCGAAGATCTTTCAAAGACATGTTTTTCAATAAGTTTTTACAAGGGAATCCTCTACCAGTGAAAGCTTTCGCATTAACTCATTCAGTGCCTGCTGTTGAGAGGTTTGTATAAGCGATACCGGTGTGGAGTTGTGGTGTAGTTTTCTAAGCAGTCCAGAAATTAGGTTTTTGTCTGTCTAATGGTCCTACTAGAATAAAGACATACTTTGAAATTATTCCCTATCTGCTCTCTGAACTGTCTATTTGAAGCACAGGCTTCAAATGGAGGGAAGTTTTAAATGCAAACATGGATATGCAATTATTGTGTAAGATTGTCAAGTTCCTATTATATCATTGATGTTAATTCTCACTAAAATTTATAACTTTAATTTACCTCGTTTAATAAACTGAAGATCGGTAATTTAATAGGTAGATTTGGACGTGGAAGGGAAAATTGGACGCTGAGGAATCTTAAGAGCTGAAAATCGCATAGCTGCGAGCCCAAGACCTTGCCCACGTATTAAATACACTGAGCGAGGACTTGCCTTTCGTACTTATTTTTATTAAAACCCAGAGAAGCATACCACTACTAAATAAATGACTCAAAATACATATCAGCCTGATTAATCGCGATTACAAAAAGAATAAAGCCTCTAAGTGAATATTTTTCAAAATTGTGTTGATAAATAAAACAGCCCTTCTGAGTTTTCCTGTTTCAAGAATTTGATCGCAGTCCTCTCAGAAAGTGTGCTCCTTAGCCTATACGTGGATTGAGTAGTCTGGTAAAGTTATCATTATTTAAGTTAAGGTGAAGTAAATGCGTGCCATGGCCAGCCAGAATGTTAATAAAACAGAAGTAGAAGACTATAAAGTACAACTTCCGGGTAATATTTTGCCCTTAAATGGACAAATTTAGTTCCCTTGATTTTATTTTTATGACACATACTTATGGACAAAAAATGGGGAGTGTAAAATTATCATTAAAGTCTATAGTTCAGCCTTTAATTTAATCATTGAAAATAAATTTTAACGAGAGGCTAGTCCCTTTCCAATCATTGAACATCCTTTGGAGACAGATGGTTGAACATTAACCCTTCAATAAATAATGCAATAAAAAGTAGCATTGGGGGACATTTATTAGCTTTTTTTCATCTAAATTTCTTACATTAATTAAAGAATGGCTAACCACTAAGCGTAGGTACTTATGGGAACGAAAAGCATGTGTCTCTTTTAATGATTAATGAGGGCAGCAGGATAGGTAAGACAAAGCAACTTCATAATTAAAGATGGGTCGAAAATGACGTAAGTCTTTTAACCTCAGGGATTGCCTGCCTATGGATTAACGATGACAGGATGTTGGCTCAAAAGAGAGAGGGTACTCAAAGCTCTTCAAAATCGGCTTTGCTTTATACCATAAATGGCGGTCACCACACCAGCGAAAAACAATCATATAAGGATTCCGAAATGCTCATCTCAGAGAGAGGCGTGACTGCTATAAATAGCCACCTATGGCAATCCACGACGCACTCTGGATTCCAGAACACCGGACTGAATATTAGGTTATGCTTAAAATTTCCGTCGTTCACCTTTAGTGAGTAGATCCTAAATCCTATCTAGGCTGCAGTAATTTGAAAGTGTGCAGAATCTTGTGCAGTCTGATTTACACCAATTTTGCGCAATTAAAATCCAACTCAAACAAAGCCAAATGCGAGTATTTTAATGCTTTCCATATCGGTACAATACCCTGTTATCCTTGTTGGCGTCTCAATAACAAGGTGATAATAGTGTTTTTAAGAAATGAAACGCTTCTCCAAAAGTAACTTCCACCACAAGTACACTTGATGATATAAAACTGTAAAAGATGATCTACCGTATATTTTTGCTTTTCTCGGAAACTAACTTTTATGTCAGGCTCATAGCAAACCTAAAAAAGCAGAAATTCATACAAAACTACATATCTGCTCCATTTTTACAGCTAAATTTCAAACGAACTGATCTGCATTGCAAGAGTTCATACATTTTTCTGCGATTCTTGGTAAAATAGTCAACTTATTAAAAAGTGAAACCATTCACGGTCCTCTGACGCATTTTATCTATCGAACAACCTTGCAGATGCCCTCTTCGCTTTTGTTTCAACGTTGAAAACCTTTCCTTGCTGGCGTCTGTTACTTCAAATGATATAGCTGAATGCTTCATCAATATTTTATGCAATAAATGTTAGAAAGGGACCTAATAGGAACTCAAATATCATTGAAGTAAACGTAATTAATCCATATTTACTTCAACCACTCTGAGAGCAATCATGTTAACTCGAACTCATAATAAAAGGGAAGTTATTTTGCTGATAATTGACAGATCCAGTACAATCATGTGATGCATTTAGGCGAAAGAGTAAAACTAGTTGCTAGTCAGTAAAACTGCTCATTATTTTTGGGGCATTGGTAGGTTTACATTAATGGAATTTATCGCCAGGAATGGTGTTTTGTCGCAAATTAACTCCCTTACTAAAAATTTTTGAAATTTTTCCGTGGAAATTGATAGTTGTTTTGTTGACACCCATCTGATGCATTCAAATCTGTGAATGTCTGTTTTATTTTCAAGCTCTCTCACTGATATGAATAAGGGATGTGCAGATTTAATCCAAGTAAGCATGTTGCTCCTGTACAGCAAAGCGTGATACATTAATACCTACATAAATTGTAGGACTCTTTATAAAATTTCTGATACAAAGTCTCAGCATTCGCTGAGATAGGTGTGATCTACCGTCAACAGATTAAGGTGCCTGTGTTGAAATCAAAACTGATTTTTTTCCTCTGAAGGCAATGATTGTCACGCGGCCAGTCCTATCATTGTGAATGTTATGTCACAAGAGCGGAGCAAAATACCATGAATAAAACAAATTTTGGCAAACATTACGAATGCGAAAAGTAAAAATGACCTTATCAGAAGACGAGAATTTTCAAACCCGTCAAAAATCAAAATCTTTAACCTCTATCACTTACTGCACTGAGAAACGATATTTCAGCAGAAGAAGTTGTTATGGTTAATAGAGCTCGAAATAATTGTCTTTATTTTTAAGGATTGCAGGATCGATGGTGAGGGTAATCAACGAGACGGGTGGTGTTCGTCCACCGGAGGGAATTGTGCTGGATGCGCCCTTTACCAACATGCTGGCTGCTGCATACCACTCACCGCAGGGCAAGGTAAGTTTGCCCCACTCCCTTCGCAACGGCAATATTTTCACTGTTGCATCGCAGTTTAGTGTATCCTGAATATTCATAAGTATGAAACATCTGAGGGGGTTTTCTACAGTACATATCCTTTTACCGACCGCTGTAAATTGTTCGGCGTGAGGCTCCTAAGACATTCCAACCCTGAAGGATGAGCGAACTGGGAACTTAGCGCCTTGGCTTTAGCATAGCTTGGGAAGTTAATTTACAGAACCTATCAGTCAAGAGGGAGATAAGCAATGAGTGGCATGACACTCTTTGACGTAAATAGCCAAAAAATTGCAGTTTTTGTGAAATGGTCCTACATGCACACGCAATCTGGTCATTTCTTCTAATGTGTAATCGGGACTAAACATTTAAAGTATGGAGAAATGCCTCTCGATTGGTTATTATTGACGGGTCTATTTATTTATCTCACCAAAGATAACGTTTACATAATTAACCGTAGCGACATTAAGATTAATTAGGCTCATTTTAGTAAAGTTAGCTGTCCATGACATGCTCTGATCTAACGTAAAGATTTGCAGGATCTTTAAAGTCCTCAAAACATTAGAATGTCTTTTCCAAACAGTATTTTTAAGCAATAAGTGATACCTTGTGGCATTAACTGGGAATGCTCTGGAGCTGCCGATTCCTAGTAACGGCCATTTGCCCAATCGGAACCCTTTAAAACAGATAAACTACTGGAAAAGTAATAAACCACATTAAATAATCAGATTTGGTGGCGTAGTAATTATTTTCACTTGTCATCTCAGGACCAGAACATGTACAGTTACAAATAATACCTGATTATTGCGTTTTTTTGGGATCTTTGGATGACTTCTGCATGGCTTCCAATGATTTTACCAGGAAATAGAGCTGAACTTCAAAAACGTTTCCAATTTTAGATCATTCAAAGTATGGGAATACTTAACTTCTTCCCATGTGTGCTTATAAAATACTCCAACGCCTATTAGGAAATTACTGCCAGTGGTTAGGTGGTGCAAGGAATTCATAGTCTGTGGTCTAACTCTTGGAAAAAGATGCCTGGAATTAATTTGCTTACTGAAAAACTGTATTTCAAATTACGAATAATGTAGGGCATTTGAACAATTCCAATAGAAAGATCGTTTACTGTTTAATAAAATGCACACTGAACAGTAAAGCGAACCAATGTGTGGGCACACATTTACCGCGGTTCACTTGGGCATACAACATTTATCACCTCCAGCCCTTAGTCACAGTAGTCGGATTTGGTCTACGCAGCCAAAGCATATCTGGGAGGATTTCCTCTCCCCACATATGCTACTGGCAATAGAATGGACTCTGCGATTAACGTACTTCAAAACTTTTTTCAGTTGGTTGGCGACACCTATGCAACATATTTCAATTTGCTTGTTTTAAAATATTAAAATGATGTATCGGAAGTAGCCTATTAAAGCAAAACCCTCTTCTCAATAAAATTGCTTATCATAAAAGCAAAACTTTTGATTGTTCCTGATTCTTTATATCTGTAAAGCACATTTAAAGCTGGCGTTGAACTGATGTGGTGAATTTTTGGCGACTTTCTGGTTTGTATAGCTATGTACAAAAGGTATCCATGGGACAATAAATTTAACATTAAAGAATCGTTGGAGAGAACTTTTTCAAAGTGGATCTGGCTGGATGCATTTTTCATTTCCTTTTGGCTAAGAATGGCGTGCATTGTAATATTCAAGCGTATATTTTGACATTTTGACTAATTTGAATTGTGAAACTACGGAATTGCTGGGAAGGAAGTAAGGGTGGTCTGGATATTAGTGCATTTAGTGCTACCAAATTTTCCTCTATTAGTGAGTTATGTACATCCTACAGAAACATAAAATTTGCGCCACACCACGTGCCAATTAAATAGATCCTACCTCATTAATCAGAACTGTGATTACAGTGGGCTTCTCTTTTTTTAGGTCATGAGAGTTGTTGTGGCTCTGAGGCATCTTCTAAAGCATATCTTCGACTCCTTGAATATCGCCTACGACTCCGAAACAAAGTGAGTCGCTCACCTTAGCGTCAGAGCAACCGAACTGACGTTTTCCATTTTTGAACAAAGCCATATTTTCACTCTAATGAATTGCCCTTTAGACCACGATATTACAGCTGACTGATATAAAAGTCAGTAGCTCACTCCATCTTTCTGGCAAAGCTAATCAAGTATTTATGGACAACCATAAAATTATGGTATTAAGTCCTTATCATGTGACCTAAAAATTACTTGTATTGAAGAGTGTATGCTTGGCAACGTAGGTAATCAAACTGAATCGACTGCAGTCTTTCTGTTGAATCCTGAGAGAAAATCAAAGATGGTGCGAAGTTGAATTTTGAAAACAACATTTTTCATCGAAAGACATCCCAAATTTTATAATTGCTTTGATGAGGATATAGCACTATTGTGGCTGTTGAAAGTGGGAGTGTTACTTACTAGATAATCCCACTTTTAAATTTGTATTTGAATTGGTTTTTTAAAGATATTGGCAGCACGACTTCTTTTAAAACACTGACAACTAAACAGAACCAGACTTATTCTGATTGGGTTTGAATTTTGACCTAAATAAACGCTTCACAGTTTAAGGTGTGTTAATTGTGGAGATTTTAACAGTTTATACTGGAAATGATAATTATAAACCTCAACTTTTCCTCACAGAGATCCTATTTGCATTCCAGACCTACTGATGCTCTGCCTACCAAATGCACAAAATTAGCATTCTTTGCTAATCGACTAACAGTAGGTACAAAAGTATTTCATGATGAGAAGTTATGGTACTGTAAAGTGGCGCCATTCTGTCACTTGACGGGATTGCGCCAGAGTTCAAAACACTCAGGCCAGAAGGAATCAGCCACTTTGGGTGACTTTTTCTTCCAATTAAGTTATGCTGTAGTTAATATGCGACTATCCAATGCGTCGATACATAGGTCCTGCTAATACCAAAAAAGAATAACCAATTAAGTGCTTTAATCCAAATAGATTCTTCCATGTGAATTGCCCCAGAGATATAAATCATGCCTACTTTCTTTTAAGCTTCCAACTGGCGAAATGCCCCATTCTCATTCTACATTCCGCTGACGATGGGGTTGTACCCATTCAACTTGGTCACACGGTATGTTTTTTGCGTCATGCGTCAAGGATCTTTGTTTTGTCTAATAATCTTCTAACCTTTATTAGTTTGATGAAGTCACAATTTCTTAGTTTAGTGGAGATACTCTTTATACGCACGTGAAACGCAAAGGCATTGATATCCACTTTAGGTGGTAGAAAAAAGCAGCAAATGTGTCGCTAAACGATTCTGTGAACGTATCTCTCTGATTAATTGTTTATCCTCTTTCCGTAGTATTGTTTTTTGATCTACTAGTAACTTAATAAATTCACAAAATTTATGAATGAATGCAGAGGAGAATTATGTTCCAACTTCAATTTTTAAGGTTTGCAAATAAACACAGCCGACTTCAACATTCGTCTTTTTGAGTGAAAATGAGGCAATAATAGCAAATAACGCACTTTCTTACGTAAGCTTAACTATCTAGAAGCCTAGAGCCATTCATATTGAATGACATTTTGCGGACGAAAGAAACAAATAAAGTGATAAAATTTTATTTTGTTTTATGAAAGCGAATTGCACCAAACAGTGATAATTGTAAGAAGCATTTTACATTATTGTTATCATCACAAATGGCAACAGGAGATCAGGGCCAATGCTACTTTAATCTCATTTGAAACTTAGCTGTCCAACGTTGACATTTGGTGACAGAAAACCCGATGCAACGTTAGCGTTCGCAATGGATTCAAAATAGCATGTTTTCATATGGTACACGTCAATCACCACAACATGCAAAAAAGGTGAGAATACATGTACGCCCAGATTTTGCTACCTAGTAGTGTGAGAGAATGCAGTTTGGAGACTAGGCCAATTGAAAATACTTAAATGATGATCTCACCCTCCATTAACACAATTGGCAGACCTGTGAGTGTAATAAACACTTTGCTCCTAACACTTATTTAATGAGAATCGTAAAATTTGAGAGTTAGTAATTAGAAATAGTCACTGAAATAGCAGCCCCTTATAGTGATTTTGATGAGGTCTTGTATGCATAGACAGAAAAGTTAACTGGAATGAGCTTGATGATAGTCACGGCGACCTTTTTGCGCTCTACGAGGTCAGTAAGGCGAGATTGATTTTCCTGGCGTTAAACACGCTTAGCGGGCTGCACCTTCAGTTTATAACAAACAAGTTTCATTATCACAGGTGTATGACCTTGTTTTGTACTTCCCTTGCCCACAAATATGTCATTTTATGTTAACCGATATATATACTTTAATGAAAATGGATTTTATGTAGCCATGATTAGTCTAAGATCGCCGACGTTTCGATTTTAATCCTGTTCTATGGGTTTGAAGATCTACAAAACACTGAAGAAGGCCAAAATTGATGTAACATTCAAGAACTTGGGATTCCAAGGCTTCGGCCACGATAGGAACCATGAATATCCTGGTATTCCGCGTCTAATTCGGTAAGTACAAATGGGCAGGTATTTGGACAATCATAAGATGAAAATGATGTGTGAATTTAATGCGAAACTAGAAGTATTTGTCAAATGAGTTAGCACGATTGCGCAAATATAAACAATAAATTATGAGCATGAACGTTCACGTACAATATCAAGCATTCAAGTAAATCTTTGCAGAGTCTTTAACAAATTTATATGCTATGTAGTGAGCTTACTATGATAAAAATGTTTTGCAATGGCAATGGAGTTCGGTAGATAACTATTGAATGAGTCACTTAAACATCAGATTTGAATTAATTCACTGAAAACTATTTGCATCTCTTATTCATCTTTACCTTTTGGTATATTTTCCCATGTTCGGGACGTTGGTACAAGCTTGACCGACATCGTAACTACACTTTTCTAGATTTTGTCGCCCACTGCCAATGGTAGTTGATTTGATCACCCATCATCTTTTGCGAACACTGTAAACGCCTGTCTGATTGTTGGCTGACTAAAATTCCAACAAAATATTGCTTCCTACTTCGCATTGCTTAAAAATTGCGGCTCTGCCAATCCCCCTGCAGTAGTAATTGATGAACCACTTTTTTGGGATCCGTTTCCTTTATTATACACACAAATCCATGTGAGCCCTAATGGACCTTACGAAAATGATCCTCAACCTGTTTCGAAGGCGAGAAGTGGGTTGTACATTGAGCTATACGTGGCTGGATTTAAAATTAAGCAGACAAGTCCATGCACTTACCTTAAGCAGAATCATTTCCTTTAGTTTTAAAGTGAAGGATAGTGCACATTGGAGCATTATGAAGTCAGGGCTGTATGGAGCAAAATTAAGGCCTAATTTGGAAAAAACGTATCCCAAAATTGGGCAGCGCACACATGTTTGGTTTTAATTTAGCTATGAAAAAAATTATGTGCACTTTATTTCATCAATTAAACTTAAATCATTCTAAATAAACCAATTTGAAGGGGTTTTAAAATCCACAAAACAATGTACTATGGTTCCTTTCATACATGGAGGAAGTGGGAAGGAATAGTGTTTGAACTGAATGGATTTCTTGGTTATTAGGATGAGGCAACTGTCTCTTTGACCTAATTAGCCTGTCTTTTCGTCTGCCTTGCAGTGACTTTGTCAACCGTGCGATTTCAATGCCCAAATGAAAGGCTGTTGCGATTCCACGAAACTCATTTATGCGCCATTTATCCCATTCTTTCCTCTACCAGCGTTGCATCAAAGTCTGTTTGCTAAAACATTCGGTCGAAGAGAAAACGAATGTACTAAACCAACCATATTTTATATCAAATGAAGATTTTAGGAGGCGTGTTTTTGGCTCTTGCATTATTTGGGGAGGGAAAGCAGTTGATTCCAAAATTCACCTAATGTTAAATCGGATGGGAGCTGATTAGAGAACGACCACATTTCCTTAAGAGGAGATAAAGATTATGTAAAAAGGTATCTTAAGCGTCTGCTTTGCTTTAAAGGCTCTGCGAAGTACTGGCACATCAGTCCAAACTAATTTAACTTGATCACTCGCTTTTTCATTCGAGTATGTCACACTTCAGAGCAATTTTGAAAGCGCGTGCATGCTTTTTATAGTTAATTACCTATCCTAGTAGAACATTTTTTGATTGTGGCGGAGCTTGTTTAGGGGGTTGATGTCTCCCAGGTGCGATTTAATTAAGAGAAATAAACTATTAAAGGGGGAGGGGAAGTTTTTGTGGAAAGGAGTGTGACAGTGTGGGGTATGCTGGGTTTATCTTACAGAAGAAACAAAATCCGACTTAAACTGCAGAATATTTATTACTTTTTACAGAAACGGCACGTGCAGACATCCGTTCTAATAGTTGATGTAATCCATGGAGCTTATATAAAATTTTTTTAGAAATAATGTTGATAATATCGGTAACTGTCCATTGTACCAGATTTTAGCCAAATCGAATGGTGGATATATGCTTCCGAAATTGAAATCGAAATGGATTCCATCTTTTGATGGTCAACTAGGTCACTAAATACTTGGAGTTGGAAGTTTACCAATACCAGCTAACGCTATTGCAATGCACTGTTTGAAATGAGTTTTGAATTATAGAAGAGGAAAGCCCTGCATTCCTGTCTGCGCTTCAATAGCTGTCACCATGGCAATCTTGCAGTTTATGCCAATCACGTAGGACAGAATATGAAGTTTACTTGCACCACAATATGACGCAAAGCACTGCTAACTTTGTAATATTTTGACGTGGTGACGCACCGTTGACAGTCGCACGAGCCAAAGAATGAGGGTCATTGGGTGCTTCATACTTCATTAAAATTTGGATGTTAAAGATCTAATGGCTTTTAAACTCGTATTTGTCAAAACAAATGATCTGAAACCCAAATAAAAGATTTCCAAAGGTTTAAATGGACTATAATTGAAGGGTAAATAAATGCCGATGACTGTGTCTTCTCATATTTGTAAGTTTAGTCTTGAGGTTAGTGCGTTAGAGCCCCTCCCAAGCCAAGTGGACGGGCTATCTGCACACTGCACGCTAAAAAGTGCCCATTTTAGGTACTCCAATTGACAGATCGCATAAACAAAGGGCAAATGAGCTAGACATCTACGTCCATTTTCTGTGAGCATACATTTAAAATAGGAAAGAAACGCACTTTTGCATTGCTCAGTATATTGAAATAACAGCACATAAAAAGTAAAGAGACGCCCATAGTTAACTGCTCGACTTTAAATACCAGCACAAAGTTTACTTAAATTTTAGTCTGTTCTGGGCCTTTACTGCGTACTTGCCAAAACGCAAGCCTTAATTCTTGAATCACAAATGGAGCGGAGTGAACTGTTTGGATGGTTATTTAGCTTATTGTGGTCAAGAATCTAGTTCAGTATTTGACAACCTTTCTAGAGAGAGTAGATAAAGAAATAAAGAAATTGATGGGCCAGTCATTCGAAAAGTTTATTCGGAAAGAGTGAGAGATATTTAAAACTTCCTATGGAAAAGGTAAATTGCAGTTAAATGACAGAAGGGCTGCACCAACCAGGTACTCTTGATCTTAATCTTCAGCACTTCTGCGCATCGATATGATGAATGTAAAAACTATCATAATCCTTTTAAATATATTTAGGAAAATGCATAGAGATTGGTTTTACACCAGGAGTATGCTGGTGAAGGCATCTATTGGCAATTCCCCTAACGTTTTTACTGACTGTTAAATACGGTAAGCAAGATCCACGAATAAACACAATCTTGGTCTTGTAAAAGTGTGCTTCTTTCAAAGTTATGCATTGTCTGTTGGGCTCACCTACTAGCATGCTTGAGCATTATGCATGTGCAGCCCCACAAATGTTCAAAAAGTGAGATAGTCCACTGTCTTTACTTAAATAATTTAAGTAGCTATTGTGGTGAAGTCAGTGATAAAATGTGAAGCACAGTAGTCAACTAAAAGCATACAATAACTGCTAAGTTTAATCGGCTAGGACTTGGTTTAAAGTAGTCTGTAGAAGTAAGGACGATCCGCTCTACAGAAGTTCAAATGGATGTACTATTTTACAACCATAGAAACGTCCCCAATTGCCACGGTACTGCATCTTACAGGTGACGGCATTATTGAAGTAGTTGCTTTCAGGAACCAAGTAATGCGGGTTGTAGGTAACCTGTGGAGAAAACGATAAAATTCAATTACATATGACTGTTATTTGGCGTGTGCAAATGGTGCTCGGACCCCTTGTAAACAAAAAAGAAAACAAATGCAACGCTCAATATGCATTATTAATAGCTAGTTCGACTCACAACATATTCTATTTTAAGCTAGTAATCAAACGCACTTCATGACTTGCTAGAATGAATATTGTGCAACGGTTATTGATACAGATGAAACTTCTCAGATTGTAATTATGAATAAAAAAGGAGAATTTCGTTATTTACTTATGCTAAGCCGTGTTCTTCTTTGATGATCTATCAAAGGTATATAATTATCTTTATAGTACCGTAGTTTCTGGCAAACTATCAATTACCTTTATTCGTTAAATTAGAGAGGATTTAATTATATCACCTGGTAAGTGTAATCACCGACTGGAAGATCGGTGATATCAACCCACTGGCAATCGTAGTTGAAGAAGTACTCGTCCTGACATCCTGGACTAATACCTAGTGCATAAATACATTCATTTAAGTACATTTTATTTTTTTCTATCCCAAGTAGGTCTAAAAATCATTGCATTAATTCAGTGCAAATTTAATTTAATCTGTTTGTTCATCAATTTATTCGCAGCGAAGGAAAATTCAATAGCTAAAATTTTGTTTTAACAGTACATGGATTTGTAAGCATTAAATCAGACTCTACTTCTCTATTAAATTGGTGCAAAATTTCGTAGCCGACGAATTTGCTTGTTTGGTTCTACATTTAGGATCTAAACCACTCACAAATTCGAATGCCTTAACGTGTGTGCATATGCAAACACTTCATTTACACACCCACCTTGCTTCCCCTTGGTGTCCATTACATTACTGCAGAAGAAATGCTTCGTGACGTTTTTTTCGCAGTGGTTGTCCTCCAGACAGAAGCTCGCCTTGTGCCCGTAGGAGACGAGACGTTCCATTATGTCAATAACCTCGTAACTACCGAACACTTTCATGCTGTGGTAGTGCCTAATGGGGCATAGAAGACGATCGTCTTTCCATAACATTCAAATTGGCGAATATTTAGAATAACGTGTGGAATGCGTTTCCGTCTAAATAAGTTAATCCCCCATACCTAATGCAAAAGATTGATAAGGAGATCAGTCAGACGTTCGTTCTTAGATTCAAATTATAAATATTTTTGCGTAATTATACACTTAGATTTTGATGTCTATTTTACGTAAAGGTGATGTCAGATTTTGGCTCCCATTTTTGTATCAGAGAGATACAAATAAGTTTGCCCAGCTGCTTCACGTGCGAACTAGCATTTGAATAAGTTAAATTACGTATAAACGTGAACAGCATTAGCAGAGGTTGTTTTACTCCTCCAGTGAATATCTTATGGCTTTCTTGCAGGATACTTGCGTCTTGAATTGACAATTAAAAGTCCACTGTGGCATGGCGTTGGTTGTTTTCCGTAGAAATAAGCCAATTTTTCTAACAATTTGGGCACTGAATGACGGGATATATGCCTGTGGGTTCACTAGGTATTTGCGGTATTATTGTAACACAGAACTGAAAACTGATGGAAAACGGGGATGCATTACTGTGTAATCACGTTTATTTTGAGAGGCAAACAGCCTTGAATGCGTACGGTTCAAATAAAATATTGCAATTTCATGCATCACCTACTATGTCACATTTCTTCGGCTAGAAGTTGCATTCTATAGACAAAATATATCAATTACTTTTTGCTCTAGGATCGCAAGCTTGTCAATTTTTAGAATAAATTCATAAAACCTACCCAAAGCTTGGCCGAATGAATGAGTAGTAGTATGGAGATAGGGAAATTAATATTTATGATTGATGTAGAGTGAATAGATTATTCAGGCCTAGTGGATTTGTCCAAGAGGCAATAGAGATAGAAAAATGACTTACGCATGGCACGGGTGCCATTCCCAGTGTTCGGGTATGAGGGCGGGCAGAAAAGGCGCCATCCCGACGTTCTTTGTGATCGAAGAAAAGCGAATCAGAGTTCGTGTATCCCAATAGTATCGCCCTTTTATGGTGAAATGAAATAGTTACATCCTAACCATTCAAGGACCAATAATGCAATTTCAGTCAATTCAAGGCCAATCCGGTCGTATGCCAGAAGATTAAGCAATTTAGTAATGTTGTTTGCTTAAAGGAAATAAGTACAATCAAAGGTTCAAAAGGTGACAAAATCTGCAAGAGGTATGCGTGTTTCTTTTACCCATTTAAAAGTTATTGACTTCAGCCTATTTACGTGGCTGCGTTTCAGGTTATCTGCTAGCTCATCCCATTGTTTAGAAATCTAGCTAGTCCTAATAAAGGGGATCTATTTTGCTTGAATTTTACCGAGACTTACCGGGATTGTTGGCGATGTAGGTGTAGACACTGTCTGGGAAGCAGTGCTCTTCAAGTGCACACTGCAAATGCCACAGTCGAAGTCTTTGAATGTGCACTGAATTCTCCAGTTGCTCAATGTCCGATGTGAGATCCGGTAACTCTGAAGAGGCGAGTTAACAGAGTTAAAAAACAATAAGGTTTGCTGCCTCTTCCCCAGCCAATCTGTCAACTGAACCTCAATTCGACTGTCAAGGTTAAGGGTGTATAGGTGAGCGATCTGATTTACCATCGGTTAGAAAAGCGTTAAATTTACCCGCTTAATAAGACAATTTTTTTCTTCCATTCGCGAATGTACACTAGAAATTCACTATTTAGCTATTCTTTTCTCCATTGCCCACGAACCAAATTAGTCAAAAAAAGCTTTTAATTCAAACATAGATTTTCAATTTGTATTAATCCTAATTATACAGGAAGCTTATTCCATCCATCTATAAATGATCTCAAAGCATTCCTCTCCACTGTTAATCAAAATGATTGGGTGAGACACCAGTATCTACAAAAAATCGTTAGCTGGTGGCTATGACCCCTTACTATCTTGACAGGCAACGGCAACTGCTTTTGTTGATTTGCATTTGACACCGTTCGGGTCCACGTAGTGTTTGCACTGGTCAAGACTGGTCTCGTTGCCAAAGCAATGTCCAATAATGGCCACATGCTTCATTGCAGGAAAGACATCACTCACCAAAGGGATCTGGAAGAGAGCATTTACAAGTGCTTCAATACTGAGAGGCGTATGCGCACCGAGAACGTGTATAGCATATAAGAACGCTAAATAAAACATGCGAAAGGCACACAAAAGAAAAAAGTGGAATCAGAACATAATTAAGAGATTTTTCTTGAAGTATGATCTTTGTCACTTCAGGATACTTATTCTAGGCATTTGCCAAAATAATCAGTTCCTTGTTTTCACAACTTACTATTACTTTTTTCTGCATTGAATGAAGAATTTATTTTATACATCTTCCTTTATATTCGAACGCCTCCCTCTTTTACAATAGATAAGCTGAGCACAGCGAAAAAACAGACATATGGAGGGTATAAACTAGACTAGGGTTGAAGATTATACATGAGATAAAATTCAAGCTTGGTAAAATGTCAAATGTGGGATTGGTAGAGATCATAACAAGGACATAGCCAGGGCTGGCACTGAAGGTTCCAGTGAAATCAGTCTCAGTAAAAAACTGACCAAGCTCTAAATTGAGAGCCCTAAGAGATTGAATGCTTAGATCGAATCTGTCGAAATTGTTTTCGAAACCACAATGCAATTTTCATTTTACAAAAAAAATAATTGACAGAAGCGATAAACTTAGCGTTTCTGTTATCCACAGTAAAAGTTAGGACTCTAACTTTGTAAAGGGCCGACCTTACAACTTACTATCCCGTGGTTAGAGAAACAGTGCATTTTACAGACCAGCACCCAGAGTTTTAAATTGGGTTAAATCTACAGAATGAAAGTAGAAACAGTGTTTTACTTCTTCCTAAACTGTATATCGTCTGAGAAAAATTTAAGCGAGTCTTATAATGCAGTCAACATATATTGGTTGCTTACATTCTTAAAGCAAATGGCAAATGTCGTTTAGTCTACTGGCAAGGCATCTAACTTGATAGCGAAAATGCTGCTTGGAAAACCAAACAATGTCGTGTTCATTAAAATCTTTCTGATGACACCGATTAGGCGAAGGCTCTCGTTCGACATATCAAAAAGTCTTTGAAGCCCTTAAGAGAAAATGCAGCGGTTTATTGCGGTGCCAAAGCAATCCCAGAGCTTAGATGTTTTCAGTCATGCCACTACCTGAAAAATTTGATCGATAAAATCAGATATAATTTCCCCATTGTCAAGGCAGCGGCAGCTTTATTAAATAAATCTAAACTTTTCTTGCGGTGATCGTCAAAATTAGACTGTTTTGGACCTAATTTGATAAATTTGTCACCATAACTAGCTTTCCAGTTCTATCAGGAATAATTTCCACCTTTATCAGCTTGGTATGACGAATTTAGAAAGCATGTCTTTGATAATTTGCCGTTGGGATCGGTACCTGAATGACCAGTAGGCCATGGTAGGAGTTTTTACAGTAATGACGAAAACAGGTTCATTGGCAAAGGTTATAACAAAACGCGGACGCTTCGGAATGGTCTAATAAATATCCGTAAATTCTGCTGACCCGAAGCATCTGGCTAATACTTGACCAAGAGGCAGATGGCTGAGGTTATTACCGTCAGCAATATGCCGCTACTTTTGGTTTATCTGTCAGACTGCTTATTAATTTCAAGAACTAGTTCAGTTAATGTACCTCAAAGCAACTCGTGTGTCTACCATCCTCTCGTCTAATGTCACTTCAAGTTCGCCGGCCTACGATTGCGTCTCTTGTGTCATAGCAAATTAAAGCAGAAGTCAAAAGCCACATTTAGACCGCTTTTTGAGCAGTTTGTTGACTACGATTTGAGTGCCGCGACAATATATTGCATAGAAATGAGCTATCATGTGCTCAACAATTTTTACGGCTTCAGAATTTGTAAAATGATGCGTAAATTAAAATATTATAGACCGCATAAGGTTTCAAATCCATCAAAGAAGTTGTACTTATTTTATGACCATAATTCAAGGTCTCGCAGTTAAATAAAACCTAATTTTAGATCTGTCCGAGATATAAATGCAGCTTATGGTTTACCACCAGAACCTTTTAATACTGCAAAAATGTCTTGTATAGTTCTTATTTTGAGCAAAATAATTCTTTGCAATATTACTGGAGGAAGGCCTGAATTACCGTGGAGGGTGAGATGGAATCCTACCTCAACAGGGTGCGACTGTGATAAACACCAACAGATTTACTATTTATTCTTGATTACCTACAATTACAGTGGCCCCGGAAAATAAGACCAAACAGACTCGCCTCTGCAATGCGTCCACCGATACCAGAGTTAGTTTGTTTGCAAGCGACGATTGCGTCCATTGTGGTGAAGTCGTCTGGACAGAGGGCTCCAGCCTCGCCGTCTTTCGGTTGAATGATGAGAATCTGCGCGTCATCCACTGCTTGCGTGGTGTTTAGTTCCTTCACCTGGTATAAACCACTCGTGCCTCTGTTCTTTAGCCTGAATGAAACCTACAACAAGTTGCCGCTTTGAGCTGGATGGCATTGACTTTCCATTTTTTTATTATATAAATAATACCATCCAATTCCCCGTTATTAGGTAATCTAAGAATGCGGATACAACATCCCGGGAAAGTCCGAGAACTGCATTTCAAGCTATTGTCTTCCCTAATATAATGCAGCGCTTAATGTAATGTAATCACGCAATTACTTAAATTCAAACAAAAATATGCCTAAAGAATAGGGGTTCCTAACAAACATAAAAAACCAACATTCAAAAGGCATAAACGGGCCTTCATAACTTCAAGCTGTACACCTGCTGTTCAAATATCCATCTTGATAACTTTCCATAATTACTGACATGTCTCAACAACAAAAAATAAATCTACTTCGCATCACCTGTGGTTTACTGATGGTGTATTAAGGGGCAAAACATTATGCAAATGTGGACCAACCTGCACTTGAATGCGTTTGAGGGGTAATAATTTGATTTTACTAAGCACCCTAAAGTGTGTTATGCAAATCGGTTCAAAATCAGAATTCGCCAAAGTTCGTGTGTCTTCCACTGCGAAAATTGAAATTATGTTAAAAATCAAGCATGACTGTCAATCCTAGACTAAAACGGCAAAATTCTTGTCAGTGCAATTAAGGTATTAGAAACGATAGATGAAGCTAATAAAACTAAAAGAAAATAATAATAAGAAACGGAAAATTAATAAGACATATCTTTATTGGTTAATAACTGCATTTAGTTTAAATTTATAAGCCATCTTAATGAAAAAGGATAGGTAAGAAACCTATCACAATAATAGTTAAAGCATCTGAAAAGGAACATTGGGAAGAAGAGGCTTCCACATCAATTGAGACAGCTTTTTCTATTTTAATGAATAAAACGCTGATTTTGGCGAATTTGAGTTTAATCAAGTTGGTTGAAACCTCAAAAGTACATGAGTAGTAGAAGAACATACATCCTCACCAACCCACCTTGGCGAGCTTTTCGAGCTCCTCCCTGGTGTAGTCCAGCCGGAGGGGATTCCAAGAGATTTTGGCGCGTGGACTGGTGTCCTGTGCGCACTGCACGCCCGCGTCCTCGTGCTCCGCGCAGTCGTGACGCGCCCAGCCGTCGAATTTGCAGTCAATCAGACGTGTCTCATTCCCGAGGCACCGCACGTTGTCCATAAAGTAGTTACCTGACACATTGCAATCGCCTGTTAGTTTCTGTTTTATTTAACGTCGTAATGCTACACGGATATCCCCACGCACTTCCAACGTTTGACCCCTTCTCACAATGCATTGTCCCAAGTCTTTTGACCTCGATCGAAGGCTTCACCGTTGTAAGTCAGTGATAGCAACATTTATATTCCGTTTAGAGGCAGGGGGTGAATTAATTTGGTATTTTGAGTATTTGCTATAGCAGACACCAAAGCCTCCCTTCCTCACTTTTGATTTAGACGTTCCTTGTGATCTGAGTGACCTCAATATTCTCAGTTGCATCCCACATAGGAAATGCTAACACTGTCTTTCTCTGTCGCTGGTTTACATAAAGTCCTATTATATGTTGACCCTTTATAATGATCCAGTCTTACGATCTGCCGTTAATCAGAAGGGGAGCCTAGAGCATGTGACCTTTTTGTGAATGCCCACGAAGCGTCCCAGAGACCTTCCCCAAGTTGAATTCCATACCGATCTCTAGGACTTGTAATTAAAAAAGGAATTTAGTCCTATGTTAGATGAATGTATAGTCAAAAACTGTGCTTTTTCATAAACTGCTAATGGATTTCTTCAAAATGTGGGATTATATCACCAGTTTCCTGAACGAAAAGACGACTAATGTAATTTGGTGAATTAATGCATTATCAACGGACCTTAGTACTTTTGACAAATTAACAAGACAGTAATGGAAAAAACATGTAAACTTAAGGGACTGTCAATGATTTTTACATTGGCCACTGAGCATCAATAAAAGTTATGAAATTGCAGGAACATTACGGCGGCATTATATACGTACGCTTTACCGGAGTCGCTTGGATTATTAGCAGTAAAGCACCAAATTTTTAATGACTGTCTCAAAGAAGGGTGCGTGTAAATATGCTTTAGCGCAACGACAAATAGCTACTACCTTAATTTTTCGGCCACGAACAAATCTGAGTAGCTTATTGCCAGTCCCTCGAGACCAGCGGTGTATCTGGTGTTTTGTTAATACCTCCGGGTCGAATAATTTGGAACATTGAGTAGTGGGCATAAAATAACCCATTTTAATTGCTTTTTGAAAGATCTTTTGCAAAAAACAATAATTGGAGTGCATTGAGCTTATTTTGAAAAGGTGATTTATGTTTAAGAACTTGATATTTTACAGCACTTAACCAAAAAAGAACTGATTCCAAGTTGTACCATACATTATTATCAAAAAACTTTCATTAATTTATAAAGGATATAAACTAAGGACAGAAAAAAGCACTTTTTGTAAATTTGGACCCAGAGGCCTCATGATTTGACAGCTGCATTCTTGACCTGCGTCACATTACCCCCTATGGTTTTAGTATCCTGATACTCAAATGGAAAGCTACCCAATGCCATAATTTTAAAATACTAAAGAGTCACCCTAAAGAACATTAAATTTTGAATATGTCCTCTGGAATAATCAGTATGAACACTCCCGCTTCGTTCATGCCCAATGCCTGAATCACTAAATGTTCAGTTTGTCTACATGCCTTTCAACGAAAAGAAAGCATGTCTTAAGAGTAGTGAGTCCTAGCGCTGAAAAGATAGTCACTCGAAATATAGGGTGATCACTCCCTTTCAATTCTTGCATGGAGACCTATTAAATCTTCACCTGCAGCAGGATTATGGCGTAAAAAGATCAGAGTTTGCACAATGCCTGATATATATAATTGAATTAAATATCTAGCCCCTTATATATGACCACCAATCAAAAAGGTGTGATCATATTTACAATTTCTTTTTTTTACTACGTTGTCATCTAGATTATTTTGCAGCCATTATTCATTGACTTGAGTCAGTATTGCTGCGCCACTTCATACCTAAACCCTAGAAAGCTTTTCAGTGAAATCTGAAAGGTATGCATCATTACCTAAAACCGTCAAGAAAGGGAAGCCGAGAAGGGGGAAGAGAGACAAGGAGCATTAGCTGGTACTTACGTCCACTAACAGAATGAAATTTGTTGCGCTTGAGAGCACGCACAGCAAAGCCTAGTCCGAGTTGGCGGCAGACCACGTTTGCCTCACGGATGGACCAGTTATCGTCGCAGACGCGGCCCCACGCGTAGCCGCGATACACCGCCACTGTACCTGAGGCAAAGTTGTCTCCGTCCAGGAGTTTCAGATCGCCATCCACCGGCTTCTTGATCGCGCCCGCCGACACATCTACTAAGGTTGTCGCCGACAGCAGCAACAGTAGTGACAGGATAGCGTTCATTGTATCAGTTAACCAGTGCCTACCACTTCGAGGTCGGCGCCTTTTATAGCGCTTTCTGCCTATGCTAATTGATAGTCCGAGGTGGTGATTATTATTCTGCTGAATGGTGTGGCAATATAATCTTATTCTACTATTTTGGCATTAATCCAGCGGTTCAAAATGTACAGAGGGTGAATGTGCAGACAACAAGCTACTGGATTTGGCTTCAAAAGGGCCAATTCACATTTCTAAATTACTTGATTCAATTTGATTAAATGTGAATAATCGTACCCGGAGCATTAAAACAAAAAATAAAAGAACTTGTTCATCCTTTAAGGAATAAGCTAATTGCGAAGTAAAACAAGTTGGCGATGGTGCGATCAGCTACCCAATTAAAATTGAATTTCTTGAGGCAGTTGGGATTGAAGGTACGAAATTACCACCGATCTCTAGTCTAATTACAAATGAGCACACCTAGGGATGCTTGATACAATTTAGACTTATGCAATTAAAGTGAGGGAGGTCGCAATTTTTAAGTTAATTCTAGTCAAGTGTTCGGTTAAGCTCTTCCAGCGCGCTTTGAGTTTAGTGGCCTACATTATGCAAACACATCACCAGTCGGATTTGCATATTGCAGTTGTGCCGATGATCGTATAAGTTTATATAAATTGATGATATAATGCGTCCTTTGTAAATAAGCCCTGAAGACATATGATTTGGATTCTTTCGAGCAATACAGGCAACGCCTACCAGTTCATTGTGTTAATCATTATTTTTGGATCAAATAGATAGCAAAAAACATTTATTTTACTTTGTGTGAGTAGATAGAGTGGATTTAAGTTTGATTGTTAAAAGGAGTAGACTTGAAGATATAGGAAGGTTTCTACCCACAACCTCACTTTGATAAAACGATATTTTCGTCCCACAAACATTGGTAGCATTTCGCAACAAATACACGAGTTTCAGCCTTACTAAACTTATGGCCAAGAAAAGGTAAGGTTACTCACCTTTTTAAGGGGTAGAGAGTATCAGGACAAAAAACATACAGATTAAGATTGTTTTTAAACCAGTATGCGTACGCCAAAACAAAATTCGACATTTGATTCATTAATTCCTCCCAGTACGCCATGTGCCACCTCAAGTAAATGTGATCGGAAACGTCCTGATAAAATACAGAGTGTGAACCGGTCCCTTAACCACCGTTCCACATCCTTTTGACCAATTTCATTTTCATGCATTTGTAATTGGTAATTTAAAAAGTTTCTTCTATAATCCCTTCTCTGCGCATCTAAACAATCCTAGGCAGTGGTAGATCACTTATTTGGAACACCTATTTGCGGGTTTGATACATCCGTCAATGGTAAAATTTTCAAAGCAAAAGTTTTTTGGAAATTCGGATTAGTAATCGCTTGAAACTGTGATGCTTGTAGGTCTCTCTGCTGGTGACGTACCAATTTCACTTGATTCTGAGAACTTTACTAACGAACCTTGTACCAAGTACAACAGTTACAGTGGAGCAGACTGGCTAATGATATGGGTAAGATGAAAATACAAATAAATATGTCGATATAATACTTTACTCGAATTTATAGGGGTCTGAAAAGTGAACGTGATTGTCTGTATGCATTGCGAAACACAGATATGTGTCTACCTACCAGTACTTCCCATCATCTTTCTTGCTACTTTTCTCTTATTCTGGGGCCTCGCATTATAAATTCCCGCATTGGTCTTGGTTTCAAATACGCAGAAACTTGTCAGCAAAATATTGCGGCATCTGAAAAATGTGCAGCAGCAGAACGGGCTACCACGTAATGGTTTACGTGGTGTAATTCTAGCAACAGATCCCTTAAGGATGGATTCAACACCTTTAGAACAACTCTCAATTTATGCACTGATTTGAGATTATAGTATTAGGAACTTAGCCTTTGGTGATGCTTAGCGTAGACGATGAAGATATGGGTATATTCCCAAATCAAATAGGAAGGGAAAATCCTAAAAGCATGCATGAACAGACAAAAGCGCCTCCAAAATCTATCTAGCAATTCTTTCAAGCACTAAAAGGGGTAATTTTGTTCATCCCCCTTTCTTAAGATTATACATTTGCATACGAAACAAAAGCTGGGATGGAAATTTAGGCGAGTAGATGTTGTACTTTCAGGAAAAAAGGCACTGCCGAACCAAATCCCGTTTTCAAGAGTTATGAATGGTAGTGGCGATCATTTACAAGCGATAAGACTATTTTAAGAATCCTTCCAGGATTAAATAATTTTTAATATAAAAACCCACTTGAATTGACTTAGTCCTTTTTAATATGACCAATTTCCCTTAGTCACTTTGAAAAATATCGACTCACACAATCGTAAATACATTAAGTCCACCAGCACACAGCTGTCACCCGATAACTTACTCTAACATGAAACGTGTGACATTCGCCATCCTCTCAGCACGCCTGCTTTTGATGAGCCACTCGTCTCTCAAATGCCCAGGCAAGGCATGAGAAGTTTGCAAAGAATAAGAAGCACAAATTTAGCTACATTGAACTGTTGGGGTATTTTGATTGCCTTGATCTCCATTATCATGCCGTGGAACTTCATAGCCTACACAAATTTGAAGAACTTGGCATGGGAGATTACTTTGATTTCTTTCGTTGAAGTAGTGCACACTGTGTTCCACTTCCCCATGTAGCTTCCTCGACAACCAAACGGTGTAATCCCGCACTCTGAAATTAGCACAACATCTTGCTTTCTCATTTAAACATTCCAAAAATTTGAGGTGTTTAAATGCAGTTAATTTTTTGACCTCAAATGTTATTTATGGTATCGTCGGTTGTACAGAGCTATCTGCATTTTGAACGCATCATTTTAATTTCTATACAATCCACGTGACCAGCGCAAGAGACAAGTACACCATTTTCAAACTATATTTGAGTATTTACAGTTGGCTTAAACTAATGATGCGGTTGGACGATCCGAGGGAACAGATTCCAGCATTCAAATAATTCATGCTACCCACCAGAGTTCACTATTCATACCTTTCCTTTTCAAAAATCCCTATAAGTAAAAAGTCAGTCGATGCCGTTTGCTTGATCACGCAATTTTCGCCATAAATGATAGTAGTATCTGACCCAAGCTGTAGCAAAACAGAAGTGAAGTGTTTTAATCCTAACCCTAATTTGTTTAAAGCAACTGAAGAGACTTTTGCGGACCATCGTTTGTATGAAACTGAGCAATAAATGAGGAGCAGATGTCGTTTAAGGCCATTAGCGGAGCCGGAAAGCAAACAAGAGATTTATAAGTGTCCAAAGTGACCAGACCAGACAGTTTTCATCTAAGCTGGTGACTTGAGAGAGGTTCAATAACTATTTATTCGTTAAGCGGTGAAAGCTCCAGATTAACATTAAGATTGTAGGTATTTTTGAATTTGAATTGAATGTTTTAAAACCATGCACCTCGCTATAGAATCCTCCTTAATGAAGAGTTTTTCTGCATTACCAGATCTTTTACTCTTGACTGATAGCCTTAGTTACTTGGACAGCTGCCTCTGTCGGTTGCACTTGTAATCAGAGATTTGAGGAGAGGTTGTAAATTTGCAGATGCCAGTACATCATCGAGAGGTTATGGAGAAGTGGCTCAATCAAATCACTCTTGTATTACAATCAAATTTACTCTTCTTAAACGATCTAAATTAGCATACTACGTCTTCATTTTAGGAAAGGTTGAAGTTAGAACCATAAATATATGAGTGACCTAGATAAGAGGCAGAACGGACAAAGTGGGTAAAATTGCCTTTCGCTTAACATAGAAAACCAAGCTTTGGGCGCATTAAAAGATAAGCAGTCTAGATAGAAATTTCTCATATTCATTGCAAATACTCTAAGGCAATTTATTCATCATTTTAAAGCCAGGTCAATTTTGGAGTAGAAGTGTTACACAGGGAGGCATTTGCTGTTCTCAGGAACCGGGACATGATCCACTAACTCAAGGGGCGGCTGGTCAGAACCCACATTCAACTTCGTTATACTCTCATTCAATTGTCTCAACACAAATCTATGTAAAATTGCTCAAAAGGTCATTCATCGTAAAGCAATGTTTGTTTAATTTTTTAAGTGTAGACTATAAGACGGAATGAAAACTACTTTTGGGAATTTGCATGACAAGTCGGCAGGCCACGAATCTGGAAACCAACGTAAAAACTTAACTTAAAACCAATTGCAGAGGTCTTTTCAATCTAATTTATTGGAATTTTTGTATCTAAAAGGCATTTAAAAAAGTTAGTAAAAAATTTATGCTGGCAACTATTTAGTGTTAACTTTATTTTTACCCTGCAAACCCGTCCAGGCCTCAAAAATTTTTGTCTCATCAATGCAAGAAGGCGAATCCTTACACCATCGGGATTCATTCTTTAACAGTTTATCTATGGCGTATTTGTGCTTCCGAAAGTTGACCGCAAGGACTTTATTACACATGTTCTAAACTTCTCCAGCTTGTCAAAAATTGATTTGAAAATTCAACACCCCCCAAATTAATGTATTGTCTTGTGGCATTTGTCATAGAAGTTAATTCCCCTTAAATACTAGTTTTTCAACAACCACTTTGATGGATTATGGATTGCACACAGGACATAATGGGAGAGAGATACTATGAAGCATTTGGCTAAATTGCCGTAAGCAGTTGCCAGTGCTCATACAAACATAAACTCATCCGAAGCAATTCCTTTTATCAGCCCTTTTTCCTTTAAAAACATTGACATGCAAAATAGCATTAAAAGTGTTCCAATGAACCGTGTCATCTAAGCTCCATAAAATGGATGGGTCTCTATTCCGAAATAACTACTCTGTGATTGGTTCCTGGGGAAGAACAAATTTATTTGAAACGTATTTTTTCAAGAGGATCGACACACTCAAAAGTTATTGGCCAAAAGCATTTACTATCCCCCTTTAAGTATATATAGAGGCCTCGGCTCTTAGCTAGAACGAGAAAGGGTGACTATGGCAAGGTATGCTCAGTTTACTCCTTATTTTCTGCTTACTTATCTACCGTTTAAAGACCAAAGTTACTGTATGAGTTAACACTCATTGAAGTTATTATGAATAATGGACACAGGCTAAAACCTAATAATAATTTTACGACTCTTAGACAAACCCCAATATTACTAAAATAATTAGAGCATTACTTTGTAGCTGTAGCCGAAGTCGTTTGCATCCTCAGAAAGGCTCTTGAATAATAAAAGTTTAGATTGTCCTAAAATTACGCCAAATTACTAAGCTATCAGCTAGATGGTTAGGCATGGGTAAAGCTCGCATAACATAAATGATACATGCGTTGCCTCATCGAGCCATGTGCTTTTTTTCGAGAGTGCAGACAATTCTTGTCGATCCTTTACATCTTAATGGCGAGGTTGCTGATTATTTGATAAACAGTTAAGGGGAAATCCTAAGTGGTCAACAGAACAATGCGTTTAGATCTCGCACTTAAGTCCAATATGGGGCAATTATTTATCAAACATACATCTGTTTTTTTGCCACTAATTACTGATGTCACAACTTTCTTACCCTTTTAGCGATTTTAGAATGGGCTACACCTCATTCACCCTGTTCGCCGCAATCCTCCTCCTTGTCAGCCTCAAGTCAGCGCCCATCAAGGCCGAAAGACACAGCTTCTTTGATGGGAGCGGTGAGAAAGAATCCGACTGCTCTGAAGTGCTTCGCCATATCGACATGCTTGTGAGACAGTACAGTGCCGCCATCGCATCTGAAGCACACCGAGGTATGCTACGGCCATTGACCACGATGGCACTTCCAAAATGAACGTACGGGATTCTAACAATTTTTGGGTTCCCATGAGTAGGAGGGATGATTTTCCTTTAAACAAAGTCAAACAAAGGACTTGCTTTTCGTTACAGATAATTTTGATGAACCCTTCAGGCTCAGCCGCCGTCGCTTCACTCGTCCCACGGGTTGAGGAAAATCACCATACTTTGGCCTCTTTTGTGTCTAGTTTATGGCTTTTGTCTATAATAAGTAATGGTTAATTGATAATATTGCGGCTTTTTATTTGAATAATCTGCCCGTAAAACTCCTATCATGCAAACTACACTATGAACTCGAGTATTACTTTTCTCAATTGGGAAGTTGAGGCAAAACAAACATTGCAGCATCACAAAAGAACCAAATTTGAGAATCTCGATACGCATAAAACTACAATGACAATCTGACAGAAACGTGAATTTATATCCATCGGTGTCGGAAAAACCCATACTTTATAGCCTGCATTTGAAGAGTAATTGCACTTTGCTTTAATACCAATAGAACAAATGAGATATATCAGGCTTCTACCCTAAAAATATAGTTGACAAATTAGTTGTAGTATTATTTAAACTAAAGACATGACTGCCTTTAACGAAACACAGTCAATAGACTATACTTTAGCCGGTATTCCAATTTTATGGTGTTATTTAATTTGTGCTTAAGCCATCTTTTAAGCAAGTAAGCTTTTAAAAACCATATTTTTTGGGGAAAACAAACAAGAAATTGAGAACAGATGTCGCCTTACTATATTGACAAAGCTAAATATCAAACAAGGGAACTCAATATGCCTTTAATAAGTAATAAATTTAGATTGTCTTCTGACTGCTTCACCATTAATAAGAAACAGACAGGTATTCCTCATATGCCTCAATTGTCATTTTGTCAGCGACTCGATAGGAGAAAATTGCTTTGCTTTAATTAACTTGTTTTGAGACAGTGAGATTGCGTTTTTCTTTGACTAATAAGAGTAAATTACAACCAACAGATTTATTTAAAGGCCTGAAATGTAGCAGTGAATGGAGAAACCAACGCTGTCAGTCGAAAAGGTCAACATGAGGCGTCTTCAGCAGGGTGGCATTGAATTTCTTTATCTTTTCGTTCTCCTTTGCAACGTATTCGTCAACAATTTGATCAAAACCTAGAAGAGTTGTAATTTCTAACTTCGAAGTTCTTTTGTTGGACTTTTAAAATACGTCACGTCCAGAAGTAATTTCTATCATTTCTGTACTGAAATAGTTAAACATATCTGGAGTTGGAGATGATATACAACCACTGTTAAGAAGGGCGCACTCACTAACAAGTAATGGGTCTTCTCCATTAATCCTTAAAATTATTGGCTCGATGAGAGAGGTATCTAGGATCCACTTGCAAGCGGCTTATTAAATTGACTGCCTTGCTTCGACTTATATATTTAATTATTGTCTATTTGGGAGACAAAAAAATCTTTAATCCTTTCAGAGTTCACTTCCACAAAAATTATTTGAGGTAGACTCAGGTATTTTTTAGCATTAAATAATTCCACATCTTAATTCACTCTATCCTACGACCAACAGTTGTATGAGTCGCGTGCTTCCAGAAGCTCTGTAGTCCATAAACTTACAGGGATGCCTGAATGACTTTTCTCCTAACATGTGAACATAGTAGAAGCCCGTAAAATACCATCCCTCGGGTCTAGGGTAGAGCTGATACGCATCCTGAAAAGAGAAAAAGCACTAACGATTATGGGCTTATGCTTAGGGGCATTTGGCGCCAATATCAAGTGGGGCAGATGGCCAATCCCTTCTCAAGTAGCCCTCCAGAACTCCAGAATGAGACAATGATTTAAACAGAATCGTAATGTTACCATTCCGTAACGGCGGGAATTAATGCACAAATAAAGCATTGAAATTGTGATTATTTGGCCTTTTGAGTAATATCTTGGAGTTAGTCAATGCACCAACAAGGAAGGCAATTTTACTCTCTTCAATGAGTCAGAAAATGTCTCATGGTAGAAATAATATCCAAAGTAAGAATTTGGCTATCTGGTAGTTTTCTAACATTATTTTTTGTAGAGAACTTTACCCAAAGTAACGGGTTTAATTTTAGATGAACAAAAGTGTTGTTTTCGGAACGTCGAGAGGAATCGAAGCAAAAACTAAGATAATTGCACTGAATAGGAGACGTTTTGTGTTTTAGCTTTTGGCTTGATTCCACCAAAATAGCAGATAGGTACGTCTACCTATTCATTAGATAATCCTCTATCTGTAACAGACTTAACTACCTTGTTTGCTACTCCTTTACATTTCCATAAGACTTACTTGAATCACTAAATAAAAAACACAAGCATTCACTGGGATTAAAAATAAATTTCCCGAATGGCAGCAATTTAAGAATTAATCATTGAAAACGGTGCAGTGCAAGCAACAAAAGCGGTTCCTACAACTAATTCCTTTTAGACAACTTAAATCATTATGATGACTATTTCAATAAATCAAATGTTCTGAGAATGGATTTTTAAATTTTACAAAAGAACCACACGACCTTAGCTGATTACCATATATTTTAGTGCGGAGTTCGTCAAAATTTATTCCCTTAAACATTAACCCTTAATTTCAATTTATTAGTAGGAATTTAAGTCTAAATTTTTGGAAAGCCTTTGTGTGTTGGTTGCGGCAAAGCTGTAACCCAAGGGACCAGCGCAAAGCCCTAAAGGGAGGGAAGAAAAGTAACATTCCTGAATTTTATCCAGTTCACTCTTTGTCAATTTCTCCTTTTCAATGAGAGGTTTCAACTTTTCTGCCTCTCGCAGACATTCTCGGAGCCAGGCTTTGAGCCAGTTCGTGAGCTTTTCCTCGAAGTCGCCACCATAGATAGACCGCATACTTGCTTCTCTTTGAATGATGAAGAAGTGAGCAGTTAGGGAGTAGAGTGCGGCACCTTTGGGTGAGCTATCTCCAGACTCTGCATTAAACCCATCCTTAGCCTCCTTTATTACATCGGTCTGTGGCCAGTAGCGGCAATTAACAGTACTTTTTGGATCTAAGGGGAAGTAAGACAGAAAAAGTAGGTTGACGTACGACACATTGACGAAATGTCATACTTATTTGGTAAAAACATCATAACTAAACGACCTAGATTCCATTTTCATTTGGCGTTGTAATGTTTCGCTTGCTTGTTACCATAAATTTCATCTTTGACTGCCTAAATCATCATTGCTGAATATGCACACAAGCATGCATGGAGGTGACACTGTACCTAATTCGTTTATTTGAGTATTTGCTCAGGTTTTGCAAAAATATTCTAAAAAAACATTTTAAAATCTTACAAGCTGCTATTTGTGATGTAATCTATGCCTTCTACTGCAAATCACCGCATTCAAATTCCTAGAAATTGTTATAAATGATATCGCATTTAATGCGGTAAGAGTGACTGAGATGTAACTTACTTTCGTCGAATGCAAGGTTAGCTTCAACACATACAATAATTGGGCCATCAGAGAATGGACTTAGGTTTGAACGTAGGCCTTTGAAGGAAGATCATATGATGGTTGAGAGCAAAACAGTTTTAGAACACTTTAGCCAAACGAGTTGGAAAGATACCTTTAAGTGCACTGATCCACTTAGCTCTATCCAGCGGTAGTTTAAACTTCACATTGATTGCCTTGAGACGGTATACTCCGAGAAAAGAACAATGACTGCAAGAGATATGAAAAATCCGTTGCTCCAGCTTGTCCAACTTAAATCGATTCCATTTTGTTTAACTAGCGGTTACTATCAACCAGTATTTGCTATTTCTCATCCTCTTTTCATCTATAACATTAGCCTTGCAATGTTAGCTGCTAAAAAAACCGCTGACTCCAGGTTGCCACAATTTACGTAGTGGAATATTTGAAGATGCAAAATGCGAGCCATTTATGGCATACTTTCTAATTATACGAATCGCTGGATCGGTAGAGAAATAAGCACTTGTGTAGAGATCAGTCGGAGAGGCAATGCAAGGGCTTTAAAAAGACTGTCAGCCTACTTTGCATACGTAAGGAGGCGGTAACGTTGCGACTCCACCTCTCCGAATAGATTGTCATTTAGTAGGAGGGCGAGTTGAGTGCAGTTCCTTATTTTTCCAAAAGGAGCTGTTAATGTTACTGCCTGTGGATTTAATTGACGTATAGCTTCCACCAAGAGTCTAGCCCTTGAAGTTTCCACATCGTTATTCATCTGCATTTACAAATGAAAAAAAAGGTTATCTAAAATCTTGAATGAAAAAATCTACAATTTTACTAAATGCCTTTGTGTATGTGCTGTCAAACTTGTTTAGAAAGGTTTACCATAATAAATACCTTTATAATGAGTCGCAGTTTCCAAAAAAGTACAGGGACCATTAAATTTATGTTGACCTTTATCACCTAAAAGTAGCAAGTGCTATGCTCTATGTAAAACTGAACCGTACGCCAATCCTAGTGGAATTAAGGTGGTGATGAGGCACTACTTTGTGGTGATTGGAAAATAGAATGTTCACCTGAATACATACAAATCTTGGAGTGAATATTTCATTCAACTGAACTTAGAAGTGAGTTCTCACAGTTCCCTTAGCATTTTGTAAAATAACCACTCTTTCTTTCATGATGCTGTTAATGCCTCTCACGGGATTGCTACTAGTAGTAGCATAAACACAACTTCTTCCAAGTTGAACTATCATAAATTAGTAATTTTAGCTCTCTACTAACTAGAAAGGCAGATGTGATAGATATTTGGTTGCTGCGGGGCCATGCAGACAAGCTTTTAATGTTTCCGCCTTATTGAGCGAGGAATTCTCACCGATCATTAATAATATTGTCCTGAGATCTTTCATAATGTCAGTTTATATTTTCTGCACCTTGACATTTTCTCATTCCATCATTGTTAATGAAGAAACTAAGCACAATGTTTTACTGCATCATTTTCCAAGTACTGTGAATTATCTTAATTTATCTCGACGCAATAAAAAGGAAATTAAAAGTGAGTTTAATTTTCAATGAGAATATAATGTTTGGTCTAAGAATTTTTTAAATGAGGTACCACATTATCTACAATTATAATTGTTTAGCATTTGAACGATCTTTGCGTTTTTAGGGAGGATCTTCGGAAACGCTGGAACATCTCCAATGACGAAAATGGAAAACTTGTCATATGCTTGCCGAAGAATAATTTATTTGGACCTCAACAACCAAATCAGACCATTTGACATGCACCGCATGTGAAAATATAAATAGTACCTGGGAATGAGAGCAGTGCCATCTCAAAGGAACCCAACGACAAGGCTATTGCAATTGCGTTGCATGCGTTGCCAGGCCATAGACACTCCTTTACATGGGTTCGTAAACTGAACTCGATATCGTGAACCCCATCTATTAGCTCCTCGTTTTGTTACCAATTTAATTTTTTAGACATTTAAAAAGTAAAAGCACTTTGCAGTAATCAATGGTGCTCAGTATTCTAGTCTACTAACCGAGTTATCAAAGCCTGATAATGAATTTTAATAACTTTCGTTTCTAATGTAAACAGGACCTACCTTTGTAGGATTTGTGAAGATAATCATGTTTACCCACCCACGATCAAAAAATGGACACAATCCGGGTAGCATTAGTCTAAAATGGTTTTACAGATTTCAATATACATGTACAATCTACACATTACCACATAAATATCTATGCCTTGTGGCATAACGATCTGTGACCTTAAGATAATTTAGTTAAAGATAGATGGAATTGAACATGTAGCAACATATTTTTCCAATATTAAAATCCCTTGTGTTTGGTAAAATTGACAAACTTTGACGGTAAGCGCATTAGTGTTTACAAGAAATGCCTCGCCCGCTGGTCAACACAGACTTGCATGCTTACTTGCACTCCATGATCATAAATTTCCAACCACTAAGTACATGTATCAGTGACGTTTCAGCATATTTATAATTTAGAAACAAGTGGATTTTGTGTATCAGGTTTCTTAGATTTATGTCACGTATTTTAGCAAGGGATATGCGAGCAGTCTTTCAGCCATCTAATGGAAATAATTAAAATCGGTAGAACAGACACAGAAACGAGACTGTCTCTGATATAAATGTTCTTACATCCCTCCTTTTATAGAACAAAACAAAGTATATGCTGGAAGCCAATGGTATACTACCATATGCTTTTGTTCCGAAGATTTTATTGTTTTGTTGACTGGAAAACTTAAATACAATACTAAAGACAATCTAGGTCCAGTTCAGGTGCTATTATAAAAAGAGTGGGAAAGACAATAAACTTACTTAATCTGAGGACAGTTCAAGTTTGATTTATATTTCGGAGAAGTAATTTTAGACTCAACACTTTTTTTATTTAATACTCCATTTCTAGGTTGAAGACTCATATGCGCCTGCCAAAATTGCACCTACTTACTATTCCGCATAACATTAGCGGCAATGACGTACTCCTGTGGAATGCATTTCACTCAATCAGCACATGCGTACATCCAGTAAGTTCCATGTCCTTCTCTATTTACAATTTCAGGTCACTGAATGCTGGTAGTCTTTTAGAAAAGCTGCCAAACTTCAACTGACATAGTTCCAAGACTAAAAAGGCACCTCACAAATAGAGGTCCCGCATTTATCTTCCACTGCCTGGTGAGTTAATTAGATGCATGACAGCGCGCAATACGTGAGCATGAGTGCAATGGGACATAAACAATGTTTTTGCAGATTGTCAAACTTTTAGGACTTCTATTGTCGGCTGAGGTTTCTCGTTTTTACTTAAATCTTTGTAGCATAGATTAATCTGTTCGTCTGGAGTACCAGGTGAGGTGATGAATTCGCTCTGCGTGCCTGAAGATAAAACACGCTATTAAGCATTCAAACTTACCCGTTGGATCCCATGAGGCACATTCGCGGATCAACACAAGTAATTGTAGAAGCTGAAAAATAGCAATGAATATATGTCATTTGAACTTGGGGTTTTAAGTTAAAATTTTGCATTACTTCCATACAACTTCTTAAAGCTGTTTCTAAGACCTACGGTAATTTCCACATTTTTTTGCACTAAGCTTGACTATGTCTGAAAAGTAAAGAGGTTTACTTTAATGCAGACAGATTTTTGAATAAAAAAATTAGTATTATGGCTCATAACAATTTAAATTCTTTTAAAAGGAAGGCCAATATTTGCCTTCAGCTGATTAGCTTACCTGCTATTTTAAAATGACTTATTAATGGAGGGGTATTTGTGCTTTTATTTGGCTAGGTTGTGATTTGGTGAATTAGAAATAGAAATAATCCTATTTATCGAAAGGAGGTAGCTTCCATTTTGGCATATAAAACTGCCTCTATCATGACTATTAGATCAACGCACCATTTTCAATCCTTTCAGAAGCAAGAAAACTCACTTATACAGAATGGTACCACTTTCTGGTCATAATCAGAGGGCTTGAGGAATGATTCAATCTGTGTTAGAATTTCCGGTATGGAGACCCACGGAGGAGCAACAAGGAGTAAGCGAAAGCGTCTTGTCTCCCCACTTTCTGTTTGTTGTGTCTTCTGTCTGAGGCTTGAATTGAGGAGGTCAGGTACCTCCGCGAGAGATTTGGGGTGGAGAACCAACCAGATGATGCTCTCTGTGGCCATGCTAACGATGTAGCCAGCCACATTCAACTGCCAAATCAACCAAGCACAAAAAATTTGTCCAGTGCGATCATAAGTAAAAAGCTAGCGTTGATTTTATAAGAGCAAGTTTTTAGGCTTCTGCTAATTGAATTGTTAATCCATAAAATAGACATTCACTTTTTTCCTGGAATTCTTTAACATGATCTAGTAATTTTGATTTTACTACTGTTTTTAGGAGTATTATCAACAATTAATAATAACTGCAACAGTACAAATTAATGCCATTTTCTATCAAGTTATATCAGTACTCTATTGCCATTGTTTTTTACATCTACAAATAAGTTATTTGGTTCATTGAACAGCAAATTCTTATTTTAGTAATTTGCCATTTCGTTCGGTCATCATAAAGCCTTCCGTTAGAAATGAGTTGAATTTACTCTGTACATTATTTTATACAAAGCGTGACAGCTACCTAAACGTGTGTGGCGCTAAGAAGGACTTATCAATGGAATAGAAAAGTAGAACAACGCACAAAAGGAAAATGAGGCCAAAATGTATTTAATTTTTTGCAATGCGTACCACGTAACTCCCATGAATTCCACAAATAATGGTCATTTGAAGACTATTTGATTGTTCTTTTTTGTCATGCGAAAAATTTTCTAATCCTTTTCCATCTAGACTGTCTAAACAATAGAGGTGCATTCTTGCACATAAACTCACCTAGGCTAGGTGTGGGATCTGCTTTTGACATACAAGTAAGGGACTGTCTAGCAATGCATAGTTTCTGCTTTAATAAGAGCTTCTGTTCATCAGTGCGTGAAAAGGGGATGCCACATCGAGCTAACAGCACTTCAATCGACAAATCTCCATGATGGTCCTGGGCAGCTGAAAGGCAAAGACTACTTTCAAGGTGGTTTCTAGCGCAGGCTGATTCCTCAGCCATCATCTCCACCGAGGAAATATCTCTACTAGAATTGAGGGCCTTGTCTGCCGCTGGTGGGTAAAAAAACTGGCTTTTGACACCGTTAAGAGCCACCTTGATCCGGGCTTCAAGACCCATCCCGCTGACAAGAGCCACCTCTGGCCTTTTTTTTACATCCAAGTCCACTTTGCACGCCTGCAAATGCTCAAGTGCCTGCGTTGTAGAATTAAAACGCCTCATTAAGTTAATATGCTTTAACAATCCATTCTACTCAGTGAAGTATAGCGTGAACATCTCTTAAGTCATGGTATATGCACTACTGAAGTCTTTAAGGGTGTTATTATTAAGGGCCTACATCGTGAGAGGCAGTACCAAGACGAAGCACCAGAAATATACACTGCGCGTCACACGGTGGTATATTTGAGCCGAATATAATTTTAGCCAGCCCTGTAAAATCCTCGGAGGTTATACAGAAGGGAGCAGGTGAAGGTCTGACCCCACGTTCAAGAAAGATATCTTCCACTTCAATCTGCCACAGGCCCCAGAATTCTTTAGAATCCTGAATATTTCGACGAATGTGGTGCATAAATAGTGCGTTTCAAACATTGATACCATGAAGCGGTCACATATATTCATAATGCATTTAGCCTTACGGTAGAGAAGCAGGTTACGCTGTGCACTGCAAACCAGTAACATCCCAAACGGTAACATGCTATACGAATAATGCCTGCGTTGAATTGACAAAAGGCTAAATTTGCAAAAAAAATTAATGAGCAGTATTTCCACTTAACGGAGTATTTTATAACATCGTCATATGGAGGTAAAGTATATTTAAATAACAAAGACAACATTGATAATTCCTAAAAGTAAACGTTCAAATCTTTACCAAATTTTATGCCAACTTCATTGACTCCTTGATGAATTAGTGCCACGGGTAGTGCCTTTTCTTCTGGTGCTGCTGATGACTTTGTGGAATGCTTAATTAATTGGGTTTTCAACTTAAATAGTAAAACGACAAGTAGTGACAAAAAAGCAACAGCAAAAAGTGGTAATCTTAAATGGAATGAATGATGACCAGATGTTGCATTTACTTAAACAAAATCAGTAGAAGTACATTTTGCTTAGCTGATTGATAAAAGACTACCTCTGAGTCCCAACAACAAAATCCGGGAATGTATCTCGTCATGTTGAACACACTGGTACTAATGCAATCTGTTCGAAGAAAAGGGAAAGGCAGTGAAGAAAGGAGGTACAGTGCACTTATGTATGTGATTTTGCTTACCATTACCATTATTGAGGAAAATCTCCGAAATTAACAACGAATCTGCGTAGGAAACGCTGCCTTTTAAGTTGCCAGAATCATCTCTTACATCAAATACCGATAGTTCCAAGGTCGCCAAATAAACGTGATCATTCAGCTTTTCATTTTTGTCTTCGGACTTAAATCTGGGATTGAAATGACGAGAAAGTTCAAACTTGAAACATCACTAAGTATTTTCGTCACGTTATGCTATGCACCACAAAAAAACTAAAACATACCTTATTTCGAGATCAGAATAGTTGAATTTTGATAGTTTTTTTTTCAGTTGAGCTTTAACAGTTCCAGTAATAACCTGACATAAGTCTCGATTAGGACTTTTAGATAACAAATCAGAAAGAAACAAATTGACGCTTTAAGTACATTTTTGACAAGTAAAGATGAGTAGCTCCGGTTAAAATAATTATACGGCGATAAAACGTGCTGCTTAAAAGTTGCATTTTAAGTGTGATGATGTCAAACGACTACGCAGCCATTCGTACGTGGAAAAATACAGTGAACGGAACAATGATTGTCACCTCAAGCAGTGCCAAAGATTTCGATACTATTTGATCGACAATTTTAGAGAAGGCCCATTGTAACTTCAGGTAAATTTCAGCTAATAGGCTAAAGTATGAAACAGGGTAACAATAAGCTTCGAAAAATAGTAAACGAAATCTCTAGAAAATTTAAACACTTTTGTCATACCATAAGTTTTGGGAAATCTCATGTTTTCGTTCTGCAAATATCAATGGAATCAATGACATCTTAGTGAAAATTACGAAATATATTAGGAATAAGGATTGATATTTCGGATAAAAAGTTCATCAATTACTGGTGTCTTCGCCTGCGGGCAATAAGAAGTATGTCCTCGTACAATGGCTGTTGGGAAGGCTTGAATACCCTTTGATGATCTAAAAGTTGACTAAGTGGACTGTATCATTTAAAATTTCTTCTTCAATCATGTGACTTATGTGAGATTGATGTAGGTAAGCATTGCCAAAACTTTTACGCGATGAGGTTTTAAAAGTTGCAATGACCAAAATTTGCCATGTGAAACTGAAAGACGAATTTAGAAAAAAATGGAGCTAATATTAAAGACTACTATTTTTAACGGATTTTTGCGTAAATACATTTGACTTAAGTAAATAAAGTTACCAAATGAATTGATGCAATATCTGGGACAACGTTTATGATTTTTGAAAGGGTTCCGTGATCCAAAAGGATATTTTTGCAAGTATTGGTGCCAAAAAGGCAGACTGGTTGGTAATTTCTAGAGGCTGTAATAAAGTCAACAATTGAAGTACTGGGGAGACCTCCCTTCACACAGCTCTGCATGCCGAAAGTAACTTCGAAGTGGCTAAGAGGATTTTAGATGTGAAGATTAGCGCACCTCAACCGATTCATGTAAATTTATAGGCCCCTTTTTTGCATCCAGCTCAATTCGACGCATACAACTTTCAAAAGCTGAGCAAAATAATGCAATATTCTGCAATAATTTTTTTAAAATTGCTTTACTTTTAAAAGCAGATGGTCAAAGTTTAATGAATCAGGACGCCTCAAGAGTGTGGTTAGTTGTTCAGTAAAATTACCAACCTACATACGATAGTTATTAAAATAAAGTATGCACTTTGTAAGTCTGCGAGAAAGAAACTTGATTTGCCCTAAAACCAAATAACCCGAGTTTAGATTATTCAAGGGCCTAGATAATGCAAGATAAGTACATAAAGTTGTCGGCATCACAGCACGCACGTGGAGAAGCTTTGAATGAGTGGCCACCTCTCAATTGTGTTTGAGGTCTGCAGCTCCTTAACATTTTTATCCATTTTAAGTGGGACAGCAATTTGATTACAGAGCAGCATGCACTTTTGTAAAAATCGTATCTTTAAAGCATCATATTCATCAACATTGGCACTCTGAGATAATGGCTCAAAACGCTCGTTACTTCTTCATAATCAAACGCGTAAACCACCAAATCATTAAATTGCAAAAATGTTTTGATGTACAGGGAAATATTTTGGCTCAAACAGAAGCATTCTGCAGTATCCTGCTTCAAAATAAGAATAAAGTCTACAAGAAAATCACAACGAATTTACTTGGTACCTTCGTCTTTTATTTCTGAGGGATGTAACAAACTTTCTTTGTAATCATATGTTCCTTTATTCTCGGAGAAAATGTAGTTCGCCATTTTCATGCAAAATGAATTAAATCGACTATCCATACCGACTATAATTAAAAGGGCGTCATTTTGAGACTTTAGAAGGAGTTTTCGGATTAAGGAAAGTCTCTCATAACTAGGATATTAGAAATTACTGCTCCCAACCATAGAAAATGCCGATCCACTTCTGGCATCACAGACCCACGATAACAAAAACGTAATTCAAGAACGAATTAATGCCCTATAGAAAATAAGGGCTGGTCAAACAAACAAGGACTATTAGAAGTTTAAATACGGTAGTATATTAGGCAGTTTTATTGGTTTCCCGAGAGTGAGACCCTAATAATTTAGCAGTAAATGTGTATCAGTGGATGAGAGAAGCTAACGTATTAAAATTTGGGTAAAACTTACGTTGTTAGATCCCATTCTCGCAGGCCATGGAAACTAGCGGACAAAGTCTAATGATTAGTGCAAAAATTTTATATATGTTTTACTGCTAAGCCCAAAGTGTTAGGTATTACCCCACCTTCGAATTAGATAATATCCCAGTGTGCCGTGTTACTTAACAATTGCCTTTGTAATACAAACTGCCAATGAACACCCTGTGCAAACACTCACAATTCACACTTTTTAAAAAAAAACATTTTCAAGCTTTTCATATACTTATCCACTCTTTGAAGGAATGTGCAAAAACTTATTTGTGGCTGCTATCCGTGTCTAATTCTTACTCTGAAATGCTAGAACCAGATTAAATTAGGTTTAAATCTTAGCATGAATTAATATTTGTTCATTATAGTTTGGTACGCCTTTGTCTGAACGGGGGTTCTCTAAATCTAATTTGAAACCGGTTAAACCAATTGGGGGCGTTGATCCTCCAATGTGTATTATACTTTAGTGTCGGCTCTTGCTCGCATTTACACAATGGGGGACGATGAATACTACACTTTGGATGAAATAGTTTCGTCTGAAACCAGTGAAAGCGCTGTAGTTTATGGTGCGATTGAGGATGATGAGGAGAAATGTACCTTCCCAAAGGTTGGTTAACAACGAGTTTATGAAACACTTGTACAGGGTTACCTTAAAAGGCAGGCAGTTTTCGCGTGTAAAACCTGTTACGAATTAACTGGCAAAAGAGCAGGTGTATGCTACGAATGTTCTATGAATTGCCATGCAGCTCATGAAATCGTTGAGCTCTACACTAAGCGTCATTTTCGGTGTGATTGCGGGAATAGCAAGTTCAAAGGTGCCTCCGTGTGCAATCTCTGGGAGGTTTGTGGCTTACTTGTGCTATGAGCAGCTTCTAGGAGAAGGATGATGTGAATACTGAGAACAAGTACGACCATAATTTTGATGGCGTCTTTTGCACCTGTTTGCGTCCATATCCTGATCCTGAGCTTGAGGGGAATACAGAAATGTACCAATGTTCAATTTGTGAAGATTGGTTTCATTTGCAAGTATGGGTTTCACGATTTTTAATGCGCACTTCCAGCACCTAAATATGCCGCTAGACTTTCGACCCAACGATGATTTTGAAGAGCTGGTTTGCCTGAACTGTGTGAAGCGATTCCCATTACTTTGGCTCTTCTACTACTGTCAAATGCAACCGGAGAATGCAGACTGTTCGTTGCCTAAAAAGCCGAGGATTGATGACAGTGTTGACCAACTGAACACTTCCGCTAGTGTTAAAAGTACAGAGGCTTGTCGAATTCCCCACGTTTTATCCGTATGCGGTGTCAGAAAGTTGAATCCACCAACAGCGGACATGGGGAGGCTTACGGTTAATGGTTTTTCTTTCCCATCTCCTATATTCTGGTGCAATGATTGGCGCACGGATACACTGTGTACCTGCGATTCCTGTAAGGTTGGTGGCAATCCTACTGTTACTAAGGTGCATCATCCCCTTTAGAAAATGCTTAAAAGTCTTGGTATCGGGTTCCTCTTGGATCCAGAGGACTCGGTTGTGCATTACATGGAAGTTGGCCGACAAAGGGTGGCACAACTTCAAGCGAGGCGTGAGAACTTGATTTCCGAGGCTCTTGCTGAATTACCACATCCGGCAGCGGTAGAAGTTGCTCGGGGTAGGAATTTACCTTCCCATCTCCCAGATGCCCCCCCTTAGCATATACGTTTTTCTTTTCGATTGACTAATTTGGAGAAAAAATTCACCTAGGTATCAGTCGATTCAGGGAGGCCCTCACCGACTTCTTGACCAAACCACGTGAAAAAAACGTAAGCTTTTCTCTCCCTTTTAGGTCTTAACCATTCGTTGAAATTTAGGTCGTCACCGAGGAAGAGGTTAAAGAGTTTTGCGAGGATCTGAAAAAGGATTTGTGATACATAGTGACGCACTTTTATTTGTTTTAAATGTGCGCATGTATTGACTGTACAATTCACAGACGTCTCCTCTCATTTTTACTCCAGCCGCTTCAGTTTTGCTACAAAGAAGCCGTCCACATTATGTTTGTGTGGATAGAAGCGTCGTGCCCGATTCATCTTCGGTGAAAAGTGTAGTCCCTTAAAACTGCAATAAAGTTTTATCAAAGACATCACGTCCGGGTTGTTCCTTACCTTGTGAAACCCTTTTCCCCGAACAAATTGGTTTCCTCCAACTGAACTTTCCTCTTACGGAGGGCATAGTCAATCACCCCTTCGTTTTCGTTTACCTAGGGAGAAGGTGTTTGACCAAGAATAAATTTGGAAATCACCAAACAAGCGCTATGGCTACTCTCATTTTACTTCTGCGGTTCAAGTGACTATTGAAAAATAGGTAGCTACCAATTGAATAGCGTTAGGAAATTGGATAAATATGTCTTTTTTGTTAACAATGGATAGGAGAACGGGAACATACGGTGATGGAACAAGTTGAGTAAACGATGTAGCCACCGGTTTTGCAGCAATCAATCGCTGCAATGATCAATTGTTTCTGCAGCATCACGCACTGCTTGATATCTTCATCACTCCTATGGGTCTTCACAGAGGGATCTTTCGCAATAACCCCGGTGCCGGAGCAAGGCGCATCAAGGAGAACACGATCGAAGCCAGACATAACATTGTGGAACTTTCGTCCATCCTCCACACAAACCACCGTATTAACCACACCCATACGATGGCAGTTACCAAGGAGGGCCTTGGCTCTTTCCGCATTCACGTCGTTAGCAAAAATGGAGCCCGTATTCTTCATTAGCTGAGCTGGAATGGGAATGGAAGTAAAGAATACATCAGAACGTGAAGGTGGAATTTTTAGGAATCGCTAACTTACCAATGTAAGTAGTCTTCCCACCTGGTGCCGCACACATGTCGAGTATTCGCTCACCCGGTTTGGGTGCCAGTGCCATAACCGGTAACATAGAACAAGCACCCTGGAGAATGTAATGGCCAGCAAGATACTCCGGTGTGGCACCGAGAGGAACTTGGGAAGAGTAAACTACAAGCCCAACTTTACTCCACGGTTCTAAAGGGTCTAGGTTGACACCGCGATTAATTAAGGCCTAAAAATGCCATGAGAAAAGGCAGTCAGACCTGAGCTAGGTCTCGCCGTCGCGTTTTTAAAGTATTGGTTCGAATAGTAACAGGACGATCAGTTTCGTTGGCCTCTACCACTTCGAGTATCTAAAGTGGCATTAATGTTTACACTAAGTACCTACCTCTTTGGGAAACAGATCGTAAAGTATGTTTATCATCAAGCGACTGTACGAATAACGCTGGCATAGGTCGTTCAGAAGTGAATCGACACAAGCTTTACGCGTTAAGCCAGGGGGAGCACGAGTTTTAAAGTCACCAAGAATAAGTAAGGAATCTCTGATGCGTTGGTTCAGTAACGTCATGTCATAAGTTGGGGCGGATGGTAGATCAGAGACCCCAATGTTTGTGGCAACGTCTTCAGGCTCCGAATAATTTCCATTACTAGGTTTCTCCACGATCTCAAAACCATCCTCCCCCATGGGGGTAGGGTCTTCTTTATCGACTTCTTCATCACTGAGAAAGCCCTTGACTTTCCCACTAGAGTCTACAAAATCGTCAATCTCTTCCAGTAATTCATCAGGATGAAATAATGACTTATTTCCACCCAAATTTTTCTCCGACTTGTGATTCTACAGAGGTAGACCGCAAAAGTGAATTACCTCGGGAGGTTTTAGTACGGAGTCTTTGCTAGAAAGAAGCCTCTTCTTCAACCTAGCAAATTAAGATAATGAAAGCACTTTGCTACCTTTTCTTCTGACGACTCCCGAGGGTAGCTAAAGCGTTGAGGTATATATTCTTGTCTTACCTTTTGTCTTTCTTTCAAGAAAATTAAACTGCGGATCAGACTGGTGCTTTGGCTTTTTAGACCTCTTCTTCGCAGCAGACATCATGCCGTATCACATCAAAATGGGCCGCTGGTACTTGACCTAGAAATTAAATAAGCTCTAACAATTTAACAAACTGCACACATTCGTGTGTGCTTAATTTAGCACCAATAATAATACCTCAAACCTGTTGGATACTATTGGCCCATTTCTTTTGCTGTCAAGCGATGGCAAAGAAATGTAGATTATTTGTTGAATTGGCAGCTTCCCCTACAATCCTACGTTACGTGTGCTTAGCAAATGACCTAAGGAAATGCTGCATGAGAAAAGTATACATTGGCATCACATAGCAAGTGATTTTCGGCGGAATATATGTTAACAGCAAATTCAAAAACTTGGTGTCAGTGACCATTCACTAAACCTGCTGCTTCTTTTGATTTGAACAGTAGAGCAATCGTCAGCTTTGTCCCCTTCATAAACAGACGCTTAAGCAGGGACTTCCTTAACTATATGTTTACGCATTCTTGTCTCATCTAGCAATAGAGTCTCGTAGATCATCCATACGACCTAGCAGTGAGGCACAAGTTCTCTTGTTGTGATATTGTTCGTGATTTAGTACTGATGCGTTTCACTCTACCGTCTTTTTTTCCTGCAATGTTATTTGTTACTTGAATATTTATGCATTAGAATACTTCTTTAATGACTGGCCAATCGCACTTACGCAGCAAGTAAGCGTGTGTGCATCTGGGACTATAATGGCTTTCTAGTTTTCATTCCTCTTAATAGAGCAGATTCTGGTTAGTTTAGGAACTTTTTATTCGCTTAAAGCATCCAGCTCTTTTATAAACATCAGCTTGATAGTGGTGGGAGGTTGATAACTACTGTTCTGTGGCTCTGGTACAGTTCAGATTTGTAAAGTATCTGATCGGCAGTGCATGAGTGCCTTTTAAAGTGGAATCACTGTTTGTAGTTTTGATGCACTATGGTATGCGCATAAGCAGTAACCCCCTTATTAGTTCATTCGCAATTCGGCTGTGTTACCTATCTCACAGTTCCGCTTTTCAGCTTCCGATCCGGGGTAATCATTATTTTGAAAGTTGTACCACTTCATCCTACACCAATGCATTTGCAGTTTTCAACTTTGTTTATGATTGTGGGTATATTTGCTGTCAAGGCATCCTCGATTTACCCATTTTTTGAACGTCACAATCGTTGGTAGCTTTTTAAACCTTACAGTGGTTCTTTGTTCAAGTTCCATGCACATATCAAATAAGCCTTGGCGACTTTTAGTTTTAGCAATGGGCCTCTTTGATGACTTACCGGAACCCGTTGCAGAATGCAAGTTTGCATGCTGTTTAAACTTATTACCATCCTCTAGTTAAGTCTTTAAAAAGACGCATTGACGACGAAGGTAACAACGGAGGCTGTTCCGCGGGTAAAAAGTCACTGATCGGTAGTTTCTCATTCTCATCTTCCCATTCACTTCGCTCTTTAAAGAACTTATCGATCTCCTTGTGGGCACGGCCGCAGAGAAAGGTGAACGAGATGAAATGCAGGATGAGCATTTAAGCATTCCTGACTTTGGCGATAAGGTAGCCGCTGGCGCCTATTCAGGTGAAGCGTATGCACTCTTTCCTTTTCACTTCCATTGACCATTTGTAATAAAATCTGCACACACACCCACCGTGACCCTTAATTTTGGTTCTATAGGCAGCGAATCGGTCTCTTCGGAATTTTTGATGGTCATGGTGGTGCTCGGGCTGCTCAATTTGCAAAACAACGGATCACAGAGCAACTGAGTACCAAATTCCCATCAGGTATGCTATTCTACTGAACTCACCTCTTTCTTCCTTCAGGTGGTCTGTCTCAAATCGAAAAAGACATAAAACGCATTACGATTGACATTTACAAGAAAACCGATGAGGAATTTTTAAAGGAGGCTTCGCGACAGTAAGCATTTGGACATTCAGTCCGTTACTTCACTTTTTAACAGAAGACCGCACTGGAAGGACGGTTCCACAGCCACCACTGTTTTGTTGGTGAATAACACTCTTTACATTGCGAACATTGGCGACTCTGCTGTGAGTTATTTTTTGTGCTGAATTGTTGAAGAAATTTCAAAATATCTAGGTAAACTTAGCTATCAATCGTAACATTCATTGGAACCACTGTCTTGCCGTTGTTCAGGTTTGGAATGCTTGTGGTAAGAGAAAATTGGTGGCTAATTTTCGTCCTTTTTGAAGGCTGTTATGGCACGTCGTCGGGAGGCGGAGGGTGGTGGCAAAACGGCCTTGGAGTCACTAGCGGGTCTCCGACTGACTCGTGATCACACGCCTCTCGACCCCGGCGAACGGGAGCGCCTCACCCGCATCTCAAACATTCGTATCATCGATGGTCGCGTGAATGGTCAATTAGAGGTCAGTCGATCTTTTGGGGACTACCAGTTCAAGCGACATGGTGTCTCGTGCCTTCCTGATGTGAAGAAATACGAACTGGTCGGTGGACGCGACAGGTGCATCTCTAACCTTTACTTTCACGATTGTAGCCGCGTTTTAGTGACTAAGACATTCCTAAAGACGTTATGCGGCATACCGGTTTGGAAGCAGATTTCTTATCTGCTCTTAGAAGGACTGTGAGAATATTGGCGTAGATGAAAACTTTATGTTGCGATTTCTCGTAGCCTACTTTCATTGTGTATAAGGTACTTTTCATTTAGTGTATAGATCTTTATCTGTGTACCCGAGGTGTGTTAGATCTTTAGTGAAGCCTGTTTCTTAGAGGTGAAGTCAAAGGTACCAACAACGGTACTACTTTTCTGATAAAACAGGCTCCAGAATTCATTGCCTTGTATACAGATATGGACAATTATGTAGTCAGTTTTTTTGGAATTGTTGCTGTCTTCCCGACAGCCAAATGTGGCTATCCACTGCTTGACAATCAATCAGACTGACTTTTCTGAATGAGTATGTGGCTCTTCGGTTTATTTACATGCGCATTCCTCATCTCTGGTCCTTCTGCTATCGTTATAAAATACTCTAGGGTCCTTCACACACCCTAGAAGTGGACAGCTTCATCTTATTTACTATCTTCTTCCCTCAATGAAAATATCCGATTTTACGTTTTGACTGATTCTTGTGCCTTACTTTGTCAAGGTGCAAGAGTCTATGCACTTTATATAGAAGCATGATTTAGTTTGTAATATAAATTCTATTCTTTCAATTAAGTATTACCAGGGAACGTTGTAATTGAATTGCTGTCGTGTACCCACCACTTGCTTCTGCACAACAGAAGATACGACCTTACTACCATTTGATTTCATGGCTTTATCCTACTATTTGTGCGATCTTTTCAGGTTTATGCTAATCGCATGCGATGGATTGTGGAAGTGCTTTTCCCCCCAGGAGGCTGTTGAAAAAACGTATCAACTGATATCCGTGAATCCAGTTCTGAAAAGATTTGCTTCGGGAGAGGTAAGCTAGCTTAACTGTACTAGCTCTGACTTTGACTCCTTGCCATTCATTATTATCTAGGGAGTCTCTTAGACGAAGTGTTTTTGCAAAGCGTCGCAAATCCAGTCACTCACGGAAATTGACTAGCTGCCATTCTCTGAACGTAACTTCTTATCAAATTTCACTTCATTGAGCAGTAGTCCACCCTAGTTGCATTCTGCCGCGTGATTGTGGTTGTTCTTTGGACCATCTGTGAATTCGTTATTACAGAATTACCTCCGACGCTGTGCTCCACTGTCATTTCTGTGGATCTTTTGTGTTGTACAGGCGAATACTTTCTTCGATGGGTTAATTGGCTCCATCTTTTTCATTCTTAAAATGTGCATTTAATCTCTAGGGTACTTTGACAGAAGCCAAGGACATTCAAGCGGCTCAGAGGGCCTTGAATGCAATCTGCTCGGAGCTGGTGCGGGAGGCAGTTCTTCAAAGGCTCTCGGGGGATAATGTGACCTGCATTATCCTGCTCTTTTCTCATCATACGGCCTCAAAGTCGGTCTCGTCTAAGGAATCTGGTAGGGACGATAAATCCCCCAAATCGATGAAATAATCTCGCTGGTGCATCGTTCTTATTGCTAAAATGTCCTATTTGTAATAATGTCAAATAGACGGTGGCTCCGACAGTAAATTCTTATTTTCTTGAGGTGCTTTGTTATTTTGAGTAGACTGGAAAAAGTAAAGGTGGATTGTTAAGTTGCTGATCTCACGCTGGGCTTACGGTACCTGTTGTGTGTAGTCCTCGTAGTTACAGATGATTAGCATGACATCCATAACGTGCTGACGGACCATTAAACAGGGGGATAGGGGGAGTTTGACCTTTTCTGCGTTGGTAGATTGCATTTGCGTGCTGCCACTGCTTTCTACTCGCCAGCATCATCAGGTAAGGAAAACAAAATCGGACAAGGGCGGGGGGGGGTGGCGGTAGCCCTTATAACCGAACTTGCGTGCACATCCCATGCGTGCTGCAAATGCATCCATTACTTCTACTGCTGTTACCACCGTGCCTGCGATTGGTTCCTACTAATTGATATTCATTGTTTTTTATAATAGGGCGTTTCTTAGTAATATTAGCATTTTTCATCTGATTCCGGTTTGATGTCACTCCTGCCGTGGATGAGACTCGTCGTGGCGGTAACTCTGTGGCTTGTCCTCCTCGAGGCTGCTCCTAGAGGCCTTGCTGGTAAGGAGGTAAGCTGTATCGAAATGTTATTTCTGATAAGACACTTGTATGATTTTTCCACAATTTTGAATTTGCTGAACTCCAACTAATCTGTTCTCATAAAAGTGGTCATTTTAATTTTCCTCGATGGTAACTTCATCGCATCCAAATAAAAATGCCTCCCGAGTTCTAGCCATCCACAATACTACTGTGCTATTCAATAAGGCTCATAAATACGGCAAAATAGGCCGTGTTTATTGTGCAAGAGCTAAATTAAATAAATGCTCTTCATTAGATAGTAAGTATTACTACAACCTGGAGGTTGCTTCAAGTTCTAATTATGAACCGTAGGAGACCCAAGTGATTCTAACCTGATAAATCCAACTAGCATAGCCTTTTTCCCGAGTTCTAGCCGCTACTTGCATGAGTGGTGAATAAGTAAGCAAGGTGGTTTCAAACATTCGTGAGTACGATAAAATAGGCCAAATATGCATCAAAATCTATACCAATTTCTGATACTAGTTCACGAAAAGTCTGCATTAAATGTCATCATAAGAGACAGATGCATAAAGAGTGCCCGGAGTGGTTTTGTATCTCCTTTGGCCAGCCTCCAGACCGACGGTGGAATACCTGCAGCACAGCAAACGCGATTCTGCAGCACGGCGAGGTGATTAGACCTGACTGTCGCACTGAGTGTTTCTGCGATGACGGGGTGCTTCTATGCAAGGACCTCTGCACCTCCAACGGCCTTGCTGAAGTCTGCAACCAACCCCACCCACAAAACCATCAGGATCACTCGCCTCCCCTAGGTGGGTGTAACATTCCTCACCGCCATTCTACCTTCTCGCAAAGCACAAGCTTGCATAGTTCCTTTCCGTTTGGGTGGGGGGTGGATGTTAATGTTAAGACAAGGTCAGGTTTAGACAAGCCATAATATTTTTGAAAAGCCTTTAAACCATACTTATACTACCTCCCTGTGTTCATTAATTTTTGTCTGTCCCTAAAAATCACATTATAAATAACTAGAGTGATATTTATAGTGTAAAGTCCTGAGTCACTCTTAAAGAAATTGTCAAGTATGTACATATGAAAAAAAGTTAATTATGAGCATAGGCAAGGGCTGCCAGGCGGTAGGCATCGACGGAAGGTCATGACAACAATATGAGGACTAGAGAACACGTGCAAGTGAATGCACATTGAAATACATATACGTCCTTCCATATTCTGGGACTGAACAACATGTATTGTTGGAGTGTAGGGCTCGACTAAACCCTTAAGATGTCACGTGCTGTATGAGTTAGGCTAAAACTCTATCTTAAACGTGCAGGGGGCCTGATGGGCTGTTGAGGAAAATGCTAGCAATGTGAAGCCGTAATACCAAGATGGTGACACATATCTATGGACACTGAAGGGTCTGTGCACATAAAATAATGATGCGAAAAGTGCAATTTAGTTACGTGTTCTTTTTTGGTATTATCCTCATCTCTCGCCGAGGTCACTCTCCCACTTCGACGATTGGGATGTAGTTGATGCTTCATTAAACATCGAAAATCACATATGGGCCATGTATCAAGGCGAGAAGACGTTTGACTCATGTGTTAGTGATACACAAGGTCAAATTTTAGTAAATGCATGGCAACTCCGTTTTCGCGAACTGCAAGGTGGGATTTCACGGAAATTATGCTCTTCAAGGAGGTCGGTTCTGTCCAGGGCATAAATTTTGTATGCTAATAGCTATTCAAATAATCGTTTACTAATAGCAATATAAGAGAGCTTCACAGAGCAAATATTAATATCTGGTCGTCCTTGCCAACTTTTTATCAATTAAATGCCACCGTATTCATTTCCAATTGTCTAGAACATGAGGAAGGACACTTTCTTCTGAATGAGTCTTTTTAAATCAATCGAAGTAGTTGTTGTCTCAGCCATCAGTAGCTCTAATATAGAATACGATATTTGAGAGACTGCTAAAAGTGGACGTAACTCCGATGGCTCTTCTCGTTTGGCTCTCCACACCTTCAGTTTGGAAGAGCTGGGGGGGGGGGGGGGCTGTTAGTGGGAAACCACTGCACCAAATTGGTGACCGGAAAAATAAAGATAGGAGAACTTGTACAAGTAAACAGAGGTTCCATTGCAGTAGCATCAGTATACCACAAGTAGTAAGTTCAAGGAATAAGTCTCTGTTTGCAGAAAGTCTGTGCAAATCGAGATCACTGGTGGCGACACAGTGGAGCCCCTGCAGCAAAACCTGCGGTCTTGGGGTGTCCTTTCGAGTGACCAATAACAACGCCGAATGTCGCAATCAAACGGAAGCTCAACTGTGCCACTGGAAACCTTGCAGTCGGGTAACGCACTTCCATTCACTTGTTGAACATCTCACCTCACTGTTAGCATTCTTATCAAAGTCTAGCCGGTAAGTCATTCGGTGATTCAATAAAGAAGGTATATTCCAACTTTTATAAATCATGAGACTGCACGAACATGTTCTTAAACCAACGCTCATCAAGCAAGTAGATACGTGTAAGCAAACACATCAATGTATATCTGTGTATTTTTATTCTCAATGTCAGTGGCATTCATAAAAATTAAACCATGACTAAAACCATCACAATTTGTGCCTCCGAACTAATGAATACACGAAGAATAGGAAACGAAAACAAGGCGGCTTTATTAACACTTGAAGGCAGTACGGATCACGGCATTAACGAAAATTCATCTTCTGCCCGTCACGTAGGTACCGTCCCGCAGATGTGCGCCAACGAGGAGAGTGGAGCAACCACAAACCTTTCGCCTGGTGATTGTTGACAACCGAACGAGGCAATTGGCGCGAAGGGTGGCGAGGGAAGCTACAGGAGCAGTGGAATTTCGAGCATCGACAGGCGCTCCCCCAGCCTCTGACTCAGTGGTGGTGTGCGAGAGCGTACGCCGCTACCGACCTAAGTACTGCACACCCTGCGACAGCCTTGAGGCGCACTGCTGCGTGCCTATCAGGACAAAGACGACTCGGGTTAACTTTCGTTGTTCCGATGGTCGTCTGATACAGCACAACCTTGAGTGGATTAAACGGTGTGCCTGCCATCCCACTTATTGTAAATATCTCTATCCCGCCATCGACTGACCACCAAAACCCCGTTGCAGCTTAGACGGACACAATAGATGAGACCTACTCTCGCTACTTTGCTCATCTTCACTTGAGTTGACCCAGGTATGAACTAGAGCGCAGGTAGAAGCGGCTTTGATGGGCTGTATTCAAGTATACCTATGGAGCCTTCAAGCGGGTGAACATAATAAACACCCAGTACACTCGTAAATCAACATCGCTAGCCTAATCACTTTTAAATGGAGACTGCTGCGCGAGAACTCGACGACATCCACCTATTGATTGTCAAATTATCATAAAACTTCAGAAAAGACCGATTGTTTCCAGTACATGGCAATCAGCCTTATCCAGAATCTTCAAAGGCAAAATAATGTTTCTGCAATCATGACAACGAGAAGCATCCTACTATTTCTGACGCCTTCCCCACGCGTTTAAGATCAGAGTCAAATCAATCTTTCAACTAAATTGTCGCGCCAATAGGCCCTATTTGTCGTCCCTTGCTATTCCACCCTGGAACCTCTAATTATCACACGCAGAGAATACAGGCGTAATAAAATGCACTGAAAACAATATGAAAGCACTCGGGAGGAAACTGTACAGAATAAAGTTGACCAGTTATCTACAGGACAGTCACTCGTCCTTATCTGATTCAGTAGCTACTTGATCGGTCATCACTACGTACTCGCGCGTAGAATAACCAAATTTCAAAACGTCCTTTTCGCGTAGTTCGTAGTATCGACGAGGCTCAATTTTCTTGTTGTTGAGGAAAGTCCCATTTGTGGACTCAAGATCAATGACGTACAGCCGAACTCTGCCCTTCGTCTACAATCGCATAGTGGAGCAAGAACGGTTATGTAAAAGAGAAAATACACCATGGAAGAGAAACCAAGTTATCGCGCAGTCCCGACAAAAATGTTGGAAAAACAGAGAACGTAGCATAAATATGCACGTGACTTGAGCATAAAAATAAACGAAACTTCAAGATAAATATTAACAAGGCTATTTATCTAAGTAGTAGCGATAACAAAAGCCATTGTAAGTTACACTGCGCATTCACCAAATCATAAAAAGACTAACGAAGCGGAACTGCAGAACAGCATGCTGTTTTGAGATGCTAGGATGCGCCATCGGTAGGTCCGCAATGTGTTGAGCACTGCCAATAAGATAACCACTTTGGCGGTGAATATGCATAACCTTAAGGGCTTCATTACCCTTAAATGGATAAAGGCGCCAAAAGGATGTTGGTTTCCTCGCATCCTCCGGCTCGTTGTATTTGATAACAACACCCTTGTACGTATTTGTATCTGCCGCCAACTTACCTTGGCGAGAAAAAAAAACGGTAAATACAGAAGTACGGAATAGCACTGAATAGTCGAGATATCTTACCAGAGAGCTCAAAATTTGGTTGCTCCTTAGGTTTTTTTGCTGCTGGTTTGCCATCTCCCACTCGCTTGCCCCATTCCACATGTCTGTCGTCAGTGAAATGGTGGCTATCTCGCAGTCGACGCCCACGATTCCTGGGCGAACGTACGCGGGAGGATGATTCTGGCCTGCCTCCACGACTTTGTTCAGCAAAGCGTAAGGTAGCACGATCTTCGTCATCTTTGACTACAACGGGTGAAGAGAGTCTGGATCGTTTAGGCTTAAAGCCACGTCGGCCATCGTTAAGTAACACGGGAGAACGCAGCCGGCGGCGCCAGAGTCGGTTTGATTGTGAGCGCGGCTCCCTCTTGATCTCTGGACTTAATTTTATGTCAGCTGATTTCAAATCCTCCAGTCTAGACTGGGAGATTTGAGCTTTCTCAAGATGCATTACCGACGAAATAACGAAAGGCTCGGACCGGGGATCTTAACGCAAAGCGCGACCAGCGCCACGCAGTACTGAGCACTCAAACAAACGTGTGGCTAAGATAAGAGAAACTCCTAAATGTTTTTTTAAATAATACGGTACAATTATTGTATCCTTTAAGAATTATATGTATGTACTTAATACTAAGCTAAAAATATAGGCAATGAAAGCAATTCACGGGGAGTGGATATTTAGCAATCTGATACATCGCTTAACTGTTCAAGCGCGTTAACTTTTAAAGAGACTGCACTGTTGCTTCAAAAATTACCCACTTTGTAATCTGCCGGATTTTGTTCGCAGTCATTGCGCGTTTTTCCATAGTAATTTGACGTGCTTCGACCCTACCAGATGTTCGGTACATTATATAGTGCACAAAATTAAAGCAATTGATTTGAAGAGTGTAAAGCAAAATCTTCGTTTAAAGCATTCTTGATAAATACCTCAGCGTGAATGCAAACAAATGGTTAGATTTTCCTCTAAAATCAACGTGTCATAATTGCACAAATATTTACAATTGCTTTGATTTGTATATACTTTTTGAGTGCTGAAAAAGTATTTTTTCAGCGATTTTAATTACAGTAAGTTGTATCTTCTAATCTCGTTCCCAATAGTTGTTTCTATTAAAGAAAAGGCAAATACACTTTATAGTTTTTTGCGTTAATGCAGTGCATTAGGTGTCCTTTAAATTCTTGAAAATCTGCCAGATTATCGTGGAAGTGTGGCAACCTGGGACTTTCCTAAAGACAAAAAAAGGCACACTACTTGGGTTAACCATGTATTGGCAAAGAAAAAAAAGGCTTGTAGCCCATTGGCATAACTTATAAAGCAACCTGCGCATTGGAAGTGCAATTGCATAGACTCTAATTTGCCTCTATGCCAAGCTCGTGTGTATAACAAACTACCAGCTTATTGTAGCTCTTTGTGACTTCAAAAAGCCAATTATGTCATAATAATTGGCAGAAAATATATATTTAATTTACGGTAGGGCTTGGGGCTACTGGCATGGCTTAGAGGCTGGCCCGCTTGACAAACGTACAATTGCGAAGACCCAAAGTAGTCCTTTATTATATTCGAGAGTTGGATAACAAAGGCGTTGTGGTACAGGATGGCAAAGAGTACTGTAGCGTCCCGAGACTCCTTGAAGACGAAAGAAGACACAGTACTAGGGCAAAATATATGTTCAGCACAGAGAAGGTGTCTGGGCTATTGGCATGGCCCGAAAGGCCAGCCCACCCAGCGAGGTACAAGAGGGCTCATTCAAAGTCCAAAAGTAGCGCCTCACCAATACCGAAGGATAAACCACTATCGTATTACAGTACGCTGTAACGACCGAAAAGTAAGATCAAAAACCAGAAATAAAGTACAAGAGGAGGAGGTAAATGAATTACTAATTTATTGCAGCACACTGTGGAATATCGAGAATAACTGCAATAGATTATATTTATTTTAAATTTTCGTTTTAGTAACAGCCTTCTTGGATGCTCGCCTTTTGGTTTTGCGAACTGATCTGGTCTCCTCACTATCCAAGTAGCCTCCAACCTTAATATATGTTAACAATGCATGTTCTGCCCAAGTATTTTCTTCTTTCATCTTTGGGAAAGCCTTGGGCCACTACGCCAGTAGCAATCAAAAGCATATATGAATTTCACTAACAGACAAAATACCTTGGAGCTGCGTATAAAGTGTACAGCCTGTAGAAAGAAAAACCTATTACGAGCCCTAACAGAAGGGCCAATAATGGGTTCACCTCCTGCATTTATCCCACCCCGAAGTCTTCAGGAAGGTTAGAAATGATTAAAGTAAAGCTAGCCATAAACCATCTAAAAGGTTTGTCACGGAACTGTCTACCTCACCTGTACTCCGATATCAATGATATAATACACGTTACCTCCTCAATCTCTCTAATAGGTAGGTAAAACTCGGACAGATAATAGTAGTCAGTACTGCAGTGAGAGAAAAACAGCAAGGAGGAACAAACACCAAACACAATTTGTACAGAATTTTGTTTAATCTCGTCTTTTGTTACATGGACCAACATTCCTACGACCAGCTATAAACGTGCGCAGTAGGACATTCCCGTTCCCTAATCCAGTTTCTGTGCAGAACTAAACTTTAGTTCTGATTGGAATGTCAAGAGAAACGAAGGATGTTATGGCCAAGAATATTTTAAATTGGGTGGAAATTTGATGGCTATGAAGGGTGGGTCGCGGGTGATTTATTTCAGCGCCGACTATGATGTGACAGGAAAGAGGAAGGTTGGCATGCGCTAGCGCCGATAACGACGTACAAAAGATGAAAAAGGTTACGTAATTGTAGCGTCCCCGGAATCCCAGAACCGAGGGATAAACCACTATTGTATTACATAGCCTCTTTTGAGCGCCCTCCTCGGCGCTCCCGCAGGTCAACCTCCTGCGTCAGCCATTACAACGCAGTCGGTGCAATAAAGAAACACCCACGAGCCGACTGTGCTAGTCACCAAATTAATGCGCAACTGAGGGGATACTTGACCTCAACGTCGCTGATCCCTCTTGGCGGCTTGACTGGATCTGGGGTTTTGTCCGATTTAGGGATTTGATTCAGGACGGGGAACTACGCCGGCTATAATGCATGTCCACAGATAGATGCATGAACACTGGCCTAAAGGCAGATTTGAGTAAGGAAGTGCAAGATTTGAAACAGGTCCATGGGGACGGTAGGGAAAATCCGTAACGAAACTTCCAGATGTTTCACGGCTAGTGTAGCTTCAGTTGTTAATAGCTTTTCTGCAGAACACGGGACTGGCAGAGATGCCGAAGGTAGACGTCAGCATCAACCCTTCTGTTAGGGGTCATCACCATTCTCCCATTCGTAGCATATGTACTTATTCCGCTCCACTAAGGCTTATCAAACAGAAGTGGAAAATCAGGATACATGGCCTTTAAGATCGGGTTCGCTTTCCGCTGCCACCAGTGTAGAATCCCGGGACTCTTAGAACCAAGAAATATACCACTACCATGTTACATAATACTTTATCTCTTTAACCATTGGTTTTGATTAGGGATCATGTGGACGCCCCATCACTGTTCTTTCGCTGAGTAGAGTGACTTCTAAAGCATCGAGTCGTACCCTGTGTCAGCAATACATATTACACTTTTTTTTACTTTGTCGCTTTTTGTGTTTTATTAGTTAAAAAGTAATTCACAAAAAAATACGTCACTGTAGTATCTAATTAATTTGCTAATTCCCCTATGTGTGGCTTAAGGTCCATTATTTAAGCAAAATATCCTAGATTCTAAGGCAAATATGTCCTTTACAAATTTTTGTCAAATAATGCTACCAAAATTACAGCCTTAAATATTTTAATTTTTTAAAAGGTAAAGTGCATATTTTGATGACCTTATTTTGTTATACTTTATCAGACATCTTCTCTGATAAATACCGGGAGCTCTAACCGCAAAGCTTTGGGAATGTCTACAATAGTCTTAACACTTCAGCCCCACAGTTCTTACTTAAAGGCATTTAGTCAATATTATTTGTTGCCTGCTTCAGGCACCTTATCAACAGCTACCATTACAGCAATTTCAGTTGGCGGTGAGCAAATTCTTGTATTATTTTGATGGTCATTTTACTTAAACTTTCTTGAAAATTCACAAGTAATTAAAATATTTTTTCTTTAATTTTTGCCACTTAATGGTTTTTCTCCCTACATATGTGTCTTACACATGCGTTTTTAGAATCCTATTTTGCAAACACAATTTAACCTACTTCCGACCTAAACCCTTTGTTCGGCAAAGCTAGCTTTGAAATACTTGGGTATTTTTACTTCAAAGTCTGTTTTGTTGTAATATATGCTACATTTTTATCCTTTTCTTTATTCCCACTATTTCGATGCTTGCGAGCATTCTCTACGAATCGGAAAATGACTCTGCTTTCATGTTAAGTTAATCTAATTGAAGGTGTTTTAATAATTTAAGAGCAAATTTACCTTACGTTTAATTTTCTTTTTTGCTTCTTAATTTAATGAACAATTTGTCAATGGCATTTGTAGCATGAATCATTCCTAAATTTATCAATCTTTTTTGGCTGTATTTTAAGCCTTGCACCTATTTGTTTTATTGCCTTATCTGTGCTCATAGTTAAAAAAACATATTAACTACTTTTTTAACATTTGTTGTTTATGTTGTTTTATGTAATTTTAGATCTCGTTTTTTCCTTATTTGTTAATAAACATGGAGTCAGGATTTGTTAGAATGCTAAATTATTTGCGTGTGTTAGACGAGACATCTTCTTAAACACATGATGCATTGCCATCATTCTTTTTATTTGTATCGTTTTGTTTACGCAAAATTTTTGCTTCCTCTGTACAAATTCTATGCTTATGCAAAGCCTCCCATCCGTATGTCAATCTTTGTTTTAGCTGCATACTTTGCTTTACTTTTACGCTTTTCTTTCTAGTTGTACTCTTCGTATTGGTCATTATTGTCATAATTATAATTATCTACTGCTGTCGACACCGGCGCGAAGGCTACCAGAGCGCCTACGACACTGATGAGGCACTTGGACACTCCCAGCTTTACTCGGCTGATGAAGCTCTGCGATCTAAGACTAACGGACACCCTGATGTAAAGCCCGAGCTCTTCATTTAGCACCCTCTTAATTATTCTTTTCATGTCCTCCATCCATCTCCCCCTTTTCCCCGCATTTCAGTCTCTCCTGTTCTCCCCAAAACTGGGCACTGTACATTTATGCATCTGTATGAATCTAAATTAATATGTGATTAATACCATACGCAACCTAATTGGACACTGCTGGGCTACCCTCTCCCCCAGTCTGCATAAAAATTTCCACACAACTAATAACTGTCCTCACCTTTACTTTATAATGACTCCCAAGATCGTGTACAGAGAGCACTCACAATAACACTTTTAATGTATTTAAGCAAAGAAGTAAGGCTTTGTTGCCCGATTTTTTTTTGTGGAGTGGTCAGCTTAGTAGTGTTAAAATAATCATTAGTCATTTGACGAATTAAAAGCGTACCAGACCAAAGTATAAATAGACTAACTAATGCAAATTGGGTCTCAATTACTTCACACAGAGCGCAGGTTATTTTACCAGTTGTGTGACGTAAAAATGTGGACAGGGGTAACACAGGCAGTAATTTGTAGTTAAAATTCATGAGGGAGCACTACGACACCTCAATGGACACTTTCTCCTGCAAAGTGGGTAAGTAACCAGCTAAAGTACGTGCTCCGCCGTGTCATGGGAATGCCAAATCACACCCCCATAACACTCACTGACAGGCTTTCATTGCCCCTAATCAAAGCAATGAAGAAAATTCTGTCGTGCAGCATTTAGCGCCAAAGACTTTTTTGGCGACCAAGAATGTGTGCGCTGGAATAGATTCATTTGGCACCCTAACTGAACTGCAATGTTTCCTTGTTGCGTCGGACACGGAAAACTACGTTGTGCTTACTCACACTTCAAATGCCATATGCTCCATATAGAGAAAAACTTACTAGCTTAGAGTCTCAAATCAGAGGCCAATGGCAGTCACCCGTCCTGCTGTCCCGGAGATATTTGGACCCGGTGACTATCAGCTCAAATTAAAACAGTTTCTACCAAAATATCCTAAACAGCTTTATTGAGGGTATTAATAACACAAGCGAAAGTAAAATGTCATGAATTCCCCCCCCAAAAAAGCAAAATGTACTGCTCGAGAAACAAATACAAGTCAATTGAAAGGTGGTAATAAGATAATCACCTACTTTGTGCAGCAGAGCGATATTTCGTTATTTAGAAAGCTTCCTTAGCATGGGATAAACATTCTCCATAATTTTGTTTAAGAAGTATAAAAAAGGGTTAAGATATTTAGGAGGAAGACTTTTGCAGAGGAACGTAGGCAAGTCTCTTTCCTAGACCGAATCGAAAGTGATGAGGGTTAGTTGAGAAGATAGGCTCCAGTACTTGTGCCCACTTATAACACTTAAGCATAGTGGTCCTAGCAAAGGCGGATTTATTTGCTGGCAATTACTGATTGTGGGAATCAAATGGGAAGTCCATATGAATACATACCTTGAAGAAGACGACTTGATAACGCCCACAATTAACTTCCGCTTTGGTATAACGGAATACACGATGCTTATCACCACTATGATTTAGGGTTAAGTTAATTGTGGGCATTCATTTTCGAAATTTGACTATACCCTAACATGTCGCTGGAAACCAAATTTTTAATGGACTGTTGTCACGACATAGCGTAAGTTTAAAAAGAAAGTCGTGACGCCCGTTCTAAAATCGAGACTCGTGCTGCTCACTTTTCAATCTAGCGATACACTACCGGATCCATGGAGGGAAAAAGCACGCACAGTTAAGCCTCTCAAATCTGTCGCATACCATTAAAAGAAGCTAAAAAATATAGTAAGAATTTATTCCCTCATGATGCTATCACTTGACATATTTGCTAACTGGTCGTTTGGGAAAAACGGAACGCCACAGCAAGATGCGTTATTTCCCTAGTAGAGTCATTATACTCAGACTCAGAGCATTTCACCTTTTTCCCTGTTTTAAACGCAACCGAACCCGTTTGTGGTACGATTCAGTTCAACTAGGCACCATAATCTGATAAAGATCACATGCGGTGTAATTGTGAAGTCAAGCTCCAATATGGGGAAGGAGTCATACACGTGCAAATTTGGTGGTTCCTCTGTCTCCGTTGATTCAATGAAGGTGATTTTGATTGAAGGTTCAACAGATGGTAAGTGTGAGTAGGCTCGTCTTTTGTATTATTGAGGTTAGCCACGTGTGCTCAACCTGTGCGGAGGAGTCACAGTTTATCTATAGGTCTCGAGGTCGCAAACGAATCAAATACACCTCGAGTTAACTAATTTTATGAGTCTTCCAAAGTCTGGATGCACATGTGACCATATGTGAGCACGCAACGACCTCAATGTGTCCACACCTCGTGGCCACAGCTGTTCACGTGTGACCTCGGTCTGTTATTACCAAGCATTTGACGGAAAAATCTACATAAAAAGACTACAAGCCCACCCAATAAGTTCCACCTTCAAACAAAAAATTATTTGGGTAAGATTTATCCCAAATGTGCGAACATTTCCCGCAACTACAGAATCATGCAGTAGAATTTCTACTCGAATAAATGCTTAGACGCCTGGAATAAAAATCATCCTAACTCTGTGTTTTGATTAGTTCAGGTGAGATCATGACATGGTAATGCAAGCAAAAAACATTATAGAATGACGGGTCAGGAGTCCCCTCAAGGAGACCCAGGTAATCATTTGTGCTCTATTTGGAGGTATGATCAAATTCACTCATCCCGCCAGAGCTCAAGTGACCGAATGAATATGGCTGCCCAAAGTTTGTAGGAAGTCACAATTTTTGTCATAACCCTACCAAGTCGCCATAAAGCAATAATAACAAGACATGATTAAGAACTACCTTGAGAATTCTCAATCATCAAAAACACCTATTTACACTTTAAGTAGACCCCAGTTCACTGTAGTGATGCCAACGTCGTGTTAAAAATGCATCAACGTTGTTGTTTGCTCAACCACTTACCACGTGTTGATATAAGACGACATTCGAATCATCATTACTATCAGAGGGATAAGTTGCAAATATACCTATTTACGCATGGTTTAGACTCACTCATACGGCGAGAGTTATCGCCTGAGTGGAATGAGAACAACGTCCGAAGCAGTGGATGGATTTTGAACGGTCGCAAGCTTCCGCGTTCATAAAAGTGACTGCTGATCAACGCCCAACTTCCGTTGCACCTCGCGCCCAATGCAGAGTTGATCTTATTCAAGCGTGTTTCGTCTGCTGAAAAGAGACCATTATCCTACTCGCGGTTTCAATCCTTCGTCAAAAGTGAACTTCGCTGAGATGAAATAGGCATACATATTTTTATTAATAAGAATGACAAAAACCAAAATAATAAATCTTCGTTCTGGTGATCAAATATGCCGAAAATCCTTCAAATACATTACAGTGTCATCGATGGACTCACATCCTGGTTGCGACCTTGGCTCCGCCACATTTTTTGACACTTTTTTGTTCTCAAAGGAAGGAAAAGGGATTCACTTGAGCAAAAGTCAATCAGAAACAAAAAGTCAGAGGCACAGTTGGGAAGTTGTGGTAAAAGTTAACTTTTATAAACTCGAGAAAGGATAAGAAGCTTTACAAAGTATTTCATTTCATTAAATTGCACAGTTTAGTGAGATATACGGCATGCAGGAGATGGAGGAGTCTTTCTGAAGTTCTGCTTCCACATTGGAATGGTAAATTACGTATTCTAGACTAAAACAAAGTTCACGCATACAAGCACCACAACTATCGCTTTCTGGAGCGTACCTATCCTCTGCTTCTAAGTGTAATTCGCATCTTTATAAGACACTACCATTCACAAAATAACCAGTTTGATACAAGATTCGTGCCCCGACATAACCTGTCTCCGCATGAAGAAAGTACACACAAAAACCAGAACATGCAATGTGGATAGAATGCATTCTAAAACGAATGGATGCACTGGCATGAGTATTCCATTTCGCGGTATTAGCATGCGGAATAAGCAACCCAACTTACAGATGGCATGACAAATTAAAAAGGTGGACGTTTATTAGGAATGCTTATTACATTACAACAATCCTTACCCTCAGGTAAAAAGCCAGAGTATACAAGTGATATTGATGGCAGTGTCGGTAAGCATCATCGTACACGCTTACAGAGCTGGAAATGATCTACTTAGGAGAGTTCCATCGACTTCGAAAGTCCAGAAGGGACTGTGTTCGCGTGGTGACGTCGCACACGTAGTGGCTAAAAAATCGTCAAAATGAAAGCTCTTTCACTAGAATCAGGGAAAAATGTCAGAAAAAGTGTCAAAATGGTAAAAAATGGAACAAGTAAACAACTGGCAGGCCTAACGCCACCAATGGATGGCAATGAGTTGAGTTGGTCAATAATTTGATAATTATATCAAAATAATATGTAAAATAGATAGTACAAAATATAACATATTGTTGCTTTGTCACTCACCACTTAGTAGTTTAATTTCTTAAATGCGATAAAGATCGCATCCACCGTTGACAAATGAAAAAAATGGGGTCGAATAACATAATTTGCAAACAAAAGACCCATCTTTTCGGTTTATGTTTTAAAAGGCATTGAAAATATCAAGGGAGGTAGAATATTCATTTCTGAAAGAAAACCAAAAGTTGTTTTGACAAAGTACAAAGCCTTAAGCTGTGTGGTTTACTTGCTCGTAGTCTTCGCGCCTGTTGCCACCCGAGTTTCCGGCCACGCATCACAAAGAACCGGAAGCTTAACCAAATTTAGCGACCAAACGTCGTTTCCACAATTATTCACGTTCATTCATCTTAGGTCTCACTAAACGCTACTTGGATTACACAAACAAGAATTAAAGGGATAAAGTTAATCTGTTATTAGAGTCATGGCAAAGTGGATCGTGAAAACTTTTTTATGGTTTTCAAAGTTTAGACAAAATTGCAATAGTTGAAACAATTTCGACTCCATCGGGTAACAGAGCTGTGGGTAGAAGACTAAAACTGTATCACTACAACACTTTTATGTCGGTACAGTATCTACTCACAAAGTCTTCAGTAAAAGATCCTCAAATACGCAAATTGGAAGTCTCGCCGCCAGTCTGATTCATCATGCCTAATATGACAATGTGAAATGCTACCAATGAAACAGCAGAACGTCCACAGGAAGCAAAGCAATGCCTCGATTCGGGGAGTAATCTCGAAGCTCACATAAGTATCCTTGCTACAAGATCATGGGGATCGAGTACACAGAGTTGTCTTTGTCAGTTTCACAATGCATGCCATATATGCATGGATAGTAGATTGTATTCATTCAAACAACGGGATTCACTCCATAAGGATACATGTCTTCTTGGCATTTAGTGACTGACTCGTACGAATTGTTATCTTTGAAAATGGACACATTGCATGGAGTATTAGTGACAAATCGACTTAAATGGCAAATGTGATAGAACTCTAACCTGTAAATGGTCAAGCTTGTCATTTACCCTGTATTCCTCCTTTCAAATTAGACAATTTGTTAAAAGAAAAGACACAAATAAATACTAAGTCAAATTGAGAGTCACACTGGCAGAAAAGCTAACTTTTATTGTGTTCCTTGTTTAAGAAAATCAAAACTTTTGGAAACGGATATTTGAGCGAGTATCTAGATTCATTGTGCAAAATAGACGAAAATAAGAGACGCTACTCTGTACTGTAAAGGGTCCACCTACAGTTTGTAGTGATCAAAAAAATTGAGGAATGTTCATGGGGCCCTAATGGCAACCAAGACCCCTTATACCACTTCACTTTCTAATCATGGAGAGTTCGCCTAAATTCAAGGCGTTTAGGATCACTGGCACAGCCCATGACCACTGCGCTCACATACGACTTGCCAAATCACAATCTTGTTTGGCCAAGACAAGCTACTTTACTAGGTGTTGGTGCCACTAAAGGATCCAGCGGAATTAGGCCACAAAAATATCAAACTTTTATTTGGGCATTTGGAGCATTTGGCCTGGGCGCAACGATAAATATGGAACCCGACTTTGGCGAAGTGGTATTTACATGTTAAAGGACAGAGGTATGCAGATATAGGAGACCGATTTGGTTGATGTTGAGAAAGCACTTCTTGAATTCTGCCTGGACAGTTACAACCGTCGCTTCGATAGGGATAATAGGAAATGCGTACACTGCTTTAAAATTGCCTCGATTGAGCGGTTTTTGCTAATGGTTCCGTGCCAAGTTGCAAAGGCACTTTAGACATGACTTTTGTTTACAGAAAAAGAAAAGGAAATAGAATAAGAAAAAAACCCCGAAAAATGCAAAGAGTGAAAGCGCTACTTCATCAGGGAGTAAAAGCACACAAATGACAATGGAGTTGTCAAGGTGACTTCCTAGATGCCAAATTTCATTGTCAGCATATGCGAATTACTAAATACATGATATATAGATTCGAACTCTTACAATTGGCGGCGGTGATGGATGTCGATAAGAGGGAGATTTAAGAATATCTTGTTGAGCAGTAGAAATGGGAAGAGAGGTTACGCCACTACCCAACGACGGTATGGATGACACACTAGGCAGCAAACAAGCATCCTGTCCTCTTTCGCGAGTCTTAAAGCAGAAAAATCGTAACAGAAAAAGCACTTCCACGACTTTGGTTGAAGGAGAGTAGAAGATCTACCACTATATCATCGAAACGTGCGAAATGTGAAAGCGTCCCTTTACTAGGGAGTACAAGTACATCTTCGTAATTATTGTTGGCAAGATGACTTCCTAGATGCTAAATTTCATTGCCAGTAGAGCCAGTTTTTAAACGGATCATAGATAGATTCAAACTTACATTCCGTGGTGGTAGTTGTGGTGGTGGTTGTGATGATAGTGATGTACGTAGACACGGTCCAAAACTACCTCTCGAATCTTTGATACTACCATTACACCGCGTGCTTTCCTAAAAGAAACCCAAGTAGATGGGGTAACTTCCTCTCATAGGAGGTTGAGAGCATGCAGATGGCAACTGTAAAATGGGAAAAAGACGTCCACAACTCCAATTGGACCTTTACCACTCTACTCTCAAAACATAAAAAATAACAGAGAAGCGCACCTTTATCAGTAAGGAAGAGCGTATGAGTGTTAATGCTGCCGCCAAGATGACATCCCAGATATCAACTATCATTTTAACACGCGGATTTTTGAACACATGATTGAAAAATGGACTTAAACTCCTACTTGCGGTGGTAATGTTGAAAGTGAAGGAGGAGGATTGGAAAGAGACGATCCGCAACTGCCCCCCCAAATTTGGATTTGATGATCCGACTGCGTTTTGCCTTGGAAGCAATCCGAGGAGTTGGAGTGACTTTCTTCCATAACAGTCGGCTGGAGTTCAGATCGCGACTGTAATTTGGGAAAAAACACGACCTCAACTCTAGTTGGAGAGTTGCAGATCCACAACTCTCTCGTTATGTTGGCACAGTTACTACTCATAAAACCTCCAGTAAAAAGTTTCAAATGCACAAAATGGAAGCCTCACCTTCTTATCACGCCTAATCTCCTGCCAGGCATTACCAATGAAATATATGAAAGGCTTGAGGGGTGATCTAGATGCAAAGATTGTAGTCCACAGAAATGACCTCAATATACTATCGTGGAAGTCCATTAGGCACTATTGCTAATCTTACAATTTATGGCATTTACGAGTGGATAGTACTTATGAACTCCCTTGAAAAGCATCTATAGGCGCTACCTCTAACAAATGATCCAACCTAGTGTACTCACCTTCAGTTACCACCCTCGCAGCTTCTTTGACCTTTAATCGCTCAAAGGCCATTAACATAACGTATCAAAACGTTTGTAATCCTCCCATGGTAATAAATTACCATTTTACATTTCTAACAGTATTCCAAATACGATTTGTGTCTGTGTACTGAATCTTTCAGCAAGAATTCAAAGGAATTTGCTTGAACCTCACAAAGCACCTTGAGGTCTGAACTCAATTTCATGCTCTTTGGACAGCACTACTACCTTTATCCTAGGTGTGTACAAACTGGCTCAAATTACAACTAGTAGTTGGCACACGCATTCGGAAATACACCTATTGTAATAGTTTATCAAATCGTGATCGGAATCACACAGTAATAGGTCAAGGTTTTGCAAATTTTGCACTGAAGAGGGTCCTCGAATAATGGCCAAATTAACGTAAAAATAACGGCTCACAGTCGATTTCGTAGAGAATCTTAAACTGAGATAAAAGTTGTAGAAAATAACTGCGTACACAAATAATAGCGCACCTTCTTGTAACCTCAATTGGCATCCCAGAGTAGATACTTTTTAATGCTATTATGAATGAACCAGTGCAACAAAAAAATCTAGTGAACTCTCACCTATTAAATTGGTGAGTATTTCGCCTTTGCAGTGATCGTCACAGTGGAAGAGCTACTGTTTGCACGCACGCACGCACACAAGCAGGTAGAGCAACACGACAAACATGCGGTTTGGATGTGGCCTTAGCCATCCTAGACTACGAGCGCTTCAACTGTCGCTGTACGGTTGGAGTACAGTCACGATCCGTGCACTAGTCGTCCACATTCTATTCATCCATACATACGTACATAAGCCCTGCCTATCACACACACACACACACGATACGATGCTCAGTACGAAAAGCCATTGACATTTTGCCCTCTCGTTAGGCATTGCAAAGATAAACCCATCATTCTATAGCTGCTGTTACAAACTATCCACTACACTTTTCAAATGCTCCGGCAACATACTAATAATTATCAAACACTTTTTATTGGGAAACTAGCAGTATTAATCGACATCCTTTAATATTTTCAGACAGCTAAAAAAGATTGAGGCAGATAGATGTAGAGAAGAATTAATTCGTTTCTTATACTATTTTAAGGCGATTAAAGATTGCAATTCATATCTCTTTAGTGAAAATTGGAGTTCGAAATCTCTGCTTGCTGAAAAACTGGAGTACAATACTCACTCTTGTAAGTTTCAAATGGGTCTTTAATAGCTTTCGTATATGCCTCACACTCCGTGTCTCGATGCTGTGCTTGTCAGCCCTGCTAGCGGGGCATAAATCTGTTGTGCCAATATGATCCGAGGGTTTGGGGATCCTTAAAGAGTATGTCTGGTCGATTTTTGACGGGGCCACACATCTAGCCAAGAAATCCATTTTCAGCGCATCCTCGGCCGCGATACGTTTTGATTCGCAGGGTTGTAGGCAGGCCTCTAGCAGGCTGAAAGCAGCCGCGTTTTCGCGCCAGTGACGATTAGAAGGATGTGTGAAACGATCTCTAAGAGGGGTTTTTATATCGTATGTTTGCAAAGTGGTGGCCGGATAGGATTCCTCCAAATTCCCTTGAATCGCCTGAAATGTTTGGTTGAGTCTCAACTCCGGCCAATATGACTGTGGCGGTATGCCTAAACGAAGAATAAATTAAAATCCCATCATCCCCTTTCAAAATGCTATCTTGCTTCACAATCTCGATGCCTCAAAACCGTAAACTGTCAAGGTCTCAGGAGAGTATCAATCACCGCAGCTCGCATTTTTGTTCTTTTTTGTGCCACCAATTGCCTCTTTATTTCAGCTTTCTTCTCTAATTTAGTTAATTTCGTTTTGTTTACGTGCGACAAATGGATTTCGGTGAGAAAATCTGCGTTACAAATGTGAAGGTGTCTGCAAGCGCCCCGCAGTTACGCAACTTTTGTCTGCTTCTATCCCATCCTTGAGACAAAAAATTGACTAGCTATAAATATCACACCACAGAATGGATCTACATGCAGAATTTAATACTGAACAAGTCATGTGCATGTATATGGATTTTGACATTTAACTTATTATTGTAAGGGGATATGCAAAAACTGACTTTGAGACCTAGAACTAGCCGGGGACTCCTTCAGCCACCCCTTTTTCTAAAAAATGTAAAAGAAAATTACCTACCGAGTATTTGGAAGATTTTAAAAGTCTGCGTTACAAAATCAGTCCCCTTGAAGAGCACTTCGCCGTTCATCATCTCGTAGACGATGCATCCGGCGCTCCATATGTCGATGCCAAAGTCGTATTTGCACCCCGTTAGGAGAATTTCCGGTGGTTTATACCTACGTTTTTGGAAGTGAAAATGCACAGTGATAACTTGTCGGGAGGATTTGGCCCGAATACTGATTCAGGGCTACAGGGTCTTATTCCGATAAATTACTTATTTTGTTAAGACGACTATAACAACTTTTAACCAGGGAATAATCCACACAAAAGTGTACAAAAGTGGCATCTTCTATTGCTTGCATTCGATGGTAAGAGAAATTGAAAACAACTAGTTGATCTCGCGTCTATAAAGTATTGCAGAGGTACCAAAACCGGTAAAGCAATTAATCAAGTCATTTCGCCCCATCTTGCAATGCCTCAAGCCAGTCTGTTTCCCGCCACTAATAAAGTGAAATTGACGATAGAATAAGTCAACAGTGACCGATGAGGTCGGCGCTTATATTATCCCAAGTGGCATAATCCTCAACAGTTGTATTTAGTCGACAATCGCATCTATGCATTGGATCCACCTGCGGCATAACCATATTCTCATTCAAAATCACACGTATTTTGTGAAATGACTCTTACTATTGGGTGCGAAGAATGGAGACGATGCCTAAGTGTGATGGATTGTTCCTTCTCAGTAGGTGCTTCGACAGCTTGACGCCTTTCATCAAGAGTACTCAAATAGGAGCACACTTTATGCTATGCTTTTAAGCGCAGGTTCCGTCGCGATATTTCTGACCAACATCTCAGAAGCGTCTTGGACGCACGGTAGGGACTTTCGCAATCGTCTTTTGCGACGAACCCTCCGCTCTCCCACTTCCACCGTCCAGCTCATTCTGCGTCATCTACCTCTACTGACTTCTTGACGTAGTTTCCTGTGCTGCAGCAACCGAAAAACTAAACCTCTCTTGATTGAGCAATATATTTACATATTTTTGTTTCAGCAGAAGTTAAGGGAATCATTCCAATTCCATGTTCAAAATTGATTAAAAAGACTTGGATGACTTCGAGAAACACAGAAAAAAGGCACATTCTAGGCTTGGAGCCAGCTACACAAGGCTCAAGAATGCCTAAGAAATGTTTAACACAAACTGAAGTAGTTTTTATACGACAGTGCGCACGAAGATTGAAGTGTCTACCTTTAACAGCACACCATCACTTGGTGCACACCAGTGAACGCATTGCACAACCTGATGGAGCGCTGAGCAAATACCATTTCTACTGGCTATGTTAAAGCTTTGTTTCAAGAGATCACCATCTGCTCGGGTGATCTACTGTGTTTTCTCCCTCTCATCTTACCAATATTATGCAATTTTTAAGAGACCAAAACAGGAATGAGAAGCATAGTTTTTACTTCTAACATAGAACAACACTGCATTCTTTCAAGTTCCATGCCAAAAATTTCAATCGTACTTTACCACAAATAGCTAGTCTCCACTGGTGGAGTGTTTTTAGCTTAGTACACACTAATATCTTCCTAATTTCACCTTCACGTATTTGTACTGTCTCTTTTTTGGCAGCTTAGTTCGTGGTCGTAAAACTGCGACATGTGTTCTTTATCAGTTTATTACAACTAACAAACAGGTCTTTAAGGTTACAATCAAGGAAATGTAAAATGTTCCTGAACTAAGGACAATCAAACAATTCAAATTTTATTTTTTACCAAACACTTTTCTTAAAAGCCAACGAAATGAGGTGGCATAACGAAACAATAAAAGGTTTGGGCTGCAGCGAAACTGTGGTAGCAGATATGCCAACTAGCGTAATGTAATAATAGGAGTCATTAATTCTTGTTATCAGCTCTTGATAGGGCTTACCAAAGGGTTGCAACACGTGTTTCCATGTCACACGTTGAAAGGAATTTCTGTCGAGCCATTCCTGTAAATTGAAGCAAAATAAATTCGCTCGAACTGGACCAAATTTCCTCTGTTCAGGGAGAAACTTCACGTTTACATCTTCACTCGGGTGCAGGTCTCGTGCGCTCCCGCGACAGGGTGATTTTTCCTCTTGTGATGTATTATTATCAAGGCAAAAATAACGACCGTCGAGTGATATGCAAGTATTAGTTTCGGTTTATCTAACTTGTGCAAAATACCTTTACATAATACCACTTCATGCGCATACAAACATAAAAACTTCCCATAGATCGTCTGTCAAATCACTTGTGGTTTTGTGAATACATAACTCTTTCAATTCATATTCAAGTGGGTTTACGAGGTAAACCTGGGTTCATTACTATATGAACCTACCAAAATCTGCTATTTTTAAAATGCCATTGCTTGTTATCAAAGTGTTTTCAGGCTTCAAGTCTCTGTGAAGAATATTCTTCTTGTGTATGTATGCCAGTCCTTGAAATAAGTGAGAGGAGAATCGCTGAACAGTGGCACTATCCTTCGGTAAATCGTGTTTCCCCATGTAGTTGGAGAGGTTGTCTTCCTAACATGATAACAAAAGCATCACTTTTAAAATAACTACGAAAAAACACTTAGTTTTGCTACAATGTGAATGATAAGTGAATGGAGATAGCTTGAATAACAGCATTTCTGATTATTGACGGCTTCTTAAAACGCCACCCAAAACTTGGGCTGTGCAGTGAGCTGGAGAACCGAGTTCCAAAAACAGAGGCTAAATTATGAGCTTCCATCGAAACATCATAAAATGAAAGTAACAGTGACAAACTGCTGCCTATCTTATTGCTTAAAATTATGATTCATTACATCCGGCAAAACATCCTCATATATCCTTATGTAAAAGTCCAGTCTTTACGCTTTCAAGAATGGACCGCATTTGACCCACTGAATCCTCTTTGACGGTGGCTTTGATAAAGCAAGACATCTTCTCTCGTAGGCAGTAGAAGAGGCAACCATGTTTCATTTTATAATTATTTTAGTGCAATGGTAAATCAGCTTCATTTTTAAATGACAACTGAATCTCTAGGGACTAGAAAAGAAAACCACACTACTACTCCGCAATGGATTCCGACTTCAGCTGAGAGCAAAGAACATGCTTAAAGGTAGGCGAAAATACTTTCCTTCAATGGTCCATCCGCGGATCTCATGCAGAGTTGCAACCACACATTTGAGGATTGACTAAACACGTTCGTTACTAGCACCGGAATATGTGTAAAGTGTTGACTTTCTTATTTAAACTCCTTTGGGTGCACCAGATCGTGCGTCTTCGGTCGGAGGATAACCGGATCTTCTTCTCAGTTTTTGAGCAAGGGTGTTGGATTAAAGCTGTAGAACAACCAAACTATAACAGACTGTTTTCTTCCTAAGATTTAGTTTACAAAAGTGTTGAATATGGAGGCGGTAATGGAGCACTTTCCATAAACACCATAAACAAATCGAAAGCTACTTACTATATATTCGAAAACCAGAGTTATTTTCCCAGGTTTATAGATGACTTCATGTAAGGTGACAATATTATCGTGCTTGAGCAGCTTAAGAATACCGGCTTCTCGAATAGCCGTTCCTGGGGCACCTTCAGAGGGATTCATCTTCATCACCTTCGCTGCCAGTACAGGCCCATTCGCTTCCAACTTGCATTTATAAACAACTGAATAAGTTCCCTACAATAAAGACATTAGGTTGACGTTAGGCACGAATAGAATTCAATGAATGGAATACAGCTGTAAAGTAACGCAGGAACAGGAGATTGGACACTTCTGATTTACATGCGTGGTCTTTTGGTAATCAAGGATCAGCCCTGTAAAAATCGCTTACAGTAGCCTAGAGGCGAAAGAGAGCAAATGGATTTGTGTGCGATCCTTCTTGAAGAAACACGCAATTAAAAACGCCTCTCGTAGATGGTCATATGTACTGTTGATACAACTTGCATGCAATCGCCAGTGCGAAAATCGCTTTTAGTAAGTCTTTTCTCAGCTACTGTTTCAAAAGAGGTAACGTCAACCTTCTTCAATATGCCTCCATTTTGACCAGCTATCAGTTACACCCTCCTACTTTTAAATTCGTCTACTACCTTATCCAATACCGGTTTCCCATAGTAGCGAATCTTTATCGGCTTCGTACCCTAACACTTTCACTGGGTTCCGCATTAAACAATCGAAGCCATCACTGAGGTGTGATGCAGTAAAGTCAATTGCGAATAACATGGGACGCAGATAAGTTAGCTACATATAAAATGAGGAGATTGCATCCGAAGGTGAATTTACGACAAAGTTTCCTCAAAGCATCCGACAACTATTGCGACTGATAGTGCCTATCTATCTATGCTGTTACCGCCAAATTACACTTCCAGTGTACCTAAAGAAGGTTTTATTAAAGTCCATTTCTTTTATGAACCTAAGTTATTTCAATTAAAAATTAAATAGTACGGATTTACCATACATCATTTAAAATTTCCTGGAATAACTGTATACACAACAGGAGCTTCAGTAGGCAAATAAGTAAATAACATGGAATGGTTGTTTAGAACAAGTAAAATTGTGCCCTAACAATAGAATGTCTTGTAATTTTAATACTAAATAATCCTACTTACACTACCAACTTCCTCCAGAAAAGTGGGGTCCGGGGGTCCATCAACCGTGTTCAAATTGTTCTAAGCAAACAAATAAATTATTCCCCCAACATATATGCAGAAGTGGTATTAAGTTGATAATTACCAGACTGCGAGCAGGCTTGGGGTCTAGCTCATTCCGCCTTGAAGAACGCGAAATATTCGGCTGTGACCCGAAATTCATTCTGCGATATTGCGCCGCCTAAACAAGGAAAACTGTAAAACAGGGCAACACTTTGTAAAAGTATTATTTTTAAACCTACCAAGTCATTCTCTCGCCCGGAATCAGGCCGAAAGGGTGTTATTTGTCTTGAAAAATTTGATGATCTGGTGCTAACATGCCAGCAAAAGAAAAATTAGACATTGATTCACAAACAAATGCTATCAGATGCAAAAAGTGGCAGCGTACTAAGCTTTTGGATTGATAACATCGTTCGCCATGTTTTTTTGATAATGCTCTCCACCACCCAAAGTAGGACCCTCACCTCCAAAACTGACCGCGTACATCATCTAAAGAGTAATTTACAAAGCATTAAACAACGCAAATACGGAACAAAGCGCAACCTTATTTAAAATAAACAAGGTACCTACATATATATATGTATATATATGTGTGTGTGTGTTTTACCGTGGGAACTTGACTGAATCTAGAGAATGACAATATGCCATGTACCGCGTCATCTAGTCCGCTGTCCTATGTACACACTTATCACTGAGTCATAGAAAAGCACCTAAAAAAACAATTTACCTAGAAGCCACCGTGACAAACTCATGGGTAAAAGTAAGAAAGTTAAGTGTTTGTAGAAGTGCACACAATTTTCTCATTTTTGTGTTATAATTGACATAAGTGATGGCTTATCACGGCCATTACAACTTGCATTTCTAGAAATAAGACAAAAAAACAGAAAGTAGATCCATAAAAACGAATTAGGCGAAATGTTGAGTATCTGCTGCCTAATATAGAAAAATGCACAGATTTCTAGTAAATTCTGGTACTTTGACAATACTGTCAACCGAAAAAGTTCTTAAATAACCCCATCATTTTTAGTTTTTCTACTCGTTTATTTTGCGAAAAAGGGCAGGAAGATCTAAAATATGCAGTGTTGTTTCCAACTGAGCACTCCATATTTCATGAGGTACATTGCGAATGACATAGAAGATGCTGCTGCAAGATACTACCATTGTATTCAAAAAATTTTTAACTCTGCTTTAGCGTCACAAAGCTAAGCACTTTCTTCAAATTCAATTTTATCAAACATAAAAATTGCAGACACAAGAAGTACAGACTGGAGTGATTCTATGGGTTGAGCGAAGCACAACTTACTAAAATGCTGTCTCGACTAAGCCAATTCCTTTGTTATCAGGGCGCAAGACCAAAAGAAATTGAATTTAAAATACTAAAAAAGGAATGCCGACACCATGAATTCTTACCCGAAACTCCCTTTGAATGCAGAGAAGACGGAACCAGTTGTCTGAATTTGCTGCTTTAAACAGCGGATTAACTGCATAGAGCAATATATAGTCTAAAGTCATGGGACGTACCAAATGGAACTTCTCAAATAGTTCGACCACCGCAAATTGTAATGAGGAAATTCAGTGCGCACACAGCAAAGAATTCAATCATTTTTCAAAGGTATAAACAAGTTTAAGGGCGTACAAAATAATGAACATAAGTTTTAAGTTTGCGCAGAAAAAATGTTTTTTTTGTGTTTTTATATTTAACTGCTGTAAGGATTAGGGTAAAATATGTGCTTTAAAGCATATTTAAGTTGATTATTTGTTTAATCGCCTGCACAGACACATTTACCTTGCTTTACACTAAAATAGCTTTAATGACTTACATTTCTTTTGTACATCATAGCACAAGGCCTGTTCTCTTAACTAAGCAGCTTTGTTATTTATTTCTCCTGCTAGTC